TCCTGAAGAATAAATGACATGATCATGTACATACTTTTTGATATTTAAAATATAATGTACCATGGACATACAATTTGTCCTTGCACAACAAATCAATGAAGTACTAGGTTGAAATAAATATGACTGAAGCAAACTGAAATCATACTAGAAGCCACAAAGTAATATTTCTATTAGAGAGAAATATTATGTTCTTTACAAATCAAATGAATTCCAGAAAATATAAAATCTTTACTGTCTGAACCAGATTGGAACACCTGCAGAGAGATTCATAGATTTATTAATTAGAAATGTGAATTCTATATTCCCATTCATACACTCAAATGCAAAAATAAATATTCGATAAATGTGTTCTCCAGTAAAAGTATCTATTTTCTAAATATATTTATTAAAACCATACATTTGAACATAAAAGTGACCGAGAGAAACCACTGCACCTGAAGGCTTATGTTTACTTGAACTTTGTCATATCATTTCAGGGTTGCTAAGTATCAGGAGGCAAATCCTACTGTCTATACCATAATTACCTTTCCATTTCTTTTTGCTGTCATGTTTGGGGATTGGGGACATGGCATATGTTTACTACTGGTAGCTCTTTTTTTCATTATCAAGGAGAAGAAACTTTCTGGCCAGGTAATGTTGAGTTTGCTGCAAAAATTGTTCTAAAACAATGTAGAAAATGTGTGTGTGTGGGTGTGTGTAGAGAGAGAGAGAGAGAGAGAATCTTTGGGTTACTTTTGATTTGGAGACCATGCATCAAGATTCAAGAGCAAAGGAGAAAGTGTTTTCTGAATATGAAGAGTTCGAGAAAATTGAGAACCTGAGTGAAATTTTAAGTGAGACTTGTAATGTATTGATCAGAATGAATTCATTTGTTATAAGAGAGTGAATATGTATTCAGATCATTTGAACTTGCAAGAGTATGCAGAGAATATGTATTCAGAATAGGTTGGCTTGCAGTACAACTTTCTGACTTAACTAACAAACTGGCTGACAGATCAGCAACTTGCCCCGCAAGTGACTAAGCGCCTAGAAGCTACTGCTCTTCTGATTACTCTGAAGAGTGCTAAAATCCTTCAAATTGGTGGTTGTTTTTACTGCAAGATGACCATAATTTTGTTATTAACTAGTGATGAAAATTCTTTAAAATTCTGTTGATTGCTGGTCAAAACCATGCAGATTCACATTATTCTGTCTCCAATTTCTGTTTAGTGGTATGTAATTTATTACTTTAGTTACTCTTTCGTAGTAAATTACATTTGAAGAGGTGTTTTTGTTACATGTGTATTATTTAAATTTCCAGTCTCTTTTAACATGAATCTTTGGGTAAAAAACAGAAACTGGAAGCCTTCACAGAGATGACTTTTGGTGGCCGTTATGTTATTATGTTGATGGCAGTCTTCTCAATATATACTGGTTTGATCTATAATGAGTTCTTTTCTGTTCCATTTGAACTTTTTGGTCCTTCAGCATATGCATGTCGTGACCCTTTTTGCAGGTTGATCAAATCCCTTGAATCATAACATAATATTATGCTTTATTTTTCAGAAAATTTAGTTACCGTTTCTCCCTTTTTCCGTAATCCTCTTTTTGATGCAGGGATGCTACTACAGTTGGGTTGGTAAAAGTGCGTCGCACTTACCCAGTTGGAGTGGACCCTGTATGGCATGGTACACGAAGTGAATTACCCTTTTTAAACTCATTGAAAATGAAAATGTCAATTCTTATTGGGGTTGCTCAAATGAACCTTGGAATTATAATGAGCTATTGCAACGCCAAATTTTTTGGAAGCAGAGTGAATATATGGTAAGTTTGAGTTATCTGTAGTATTGCATGTCTGGGCAGTGGAAAACTTATCTGGGGTTTTGGATGCCTGTTTATTGTATGTTCATGAAATGTCGTGTTTATTTTGTGAAAAAAATCCAAGAGTCTTTTTTTTAGCAGGGAAGAAGTTTAAAACAAAATCCTTTATGTTCTTTAGGAATTCTTCCTGTCCACAATAAAATTACTGAATTTTTCTCAATGATTATGAGCTTTCTTGCATATTTTTAATTGCAGATAACTTCATTTTGTTGTTTCAATCTTTCACTTTTTAAGGTTCCAATTTATTCCCCAGATGATATTTCTCAACAGTCTATTTGGTTACCTATCTGCTCTCATTGTTGTGAAGTGGTGCACTGGTTCTCAAGCTGATTTGTACCATATAATGATCTACATGTTCCTGAGTCCTACAGATGATTTGGGTGAAAATCAACTTTTTGTAGGTCAGAGAATTCTGCAGGTTCGTTCACTTCCAAGTCACATTTCCCTTATCTTGTTGGCTTATTTCATAATGAATATCACTGACATTCTTTGTTGTGTTCCCACCAGCAAATGCTAATACTTCTGGCTGTTGTGTCTATACCCTGGATGCTGTTCCCAAAACCTTTTATTTTGAAGAAGCAACATGAAGATGTATGCTTTCTTTTGAACTTTACTCAAGCTCTACATTTGTTCCTACATGAAACTGCTATCTTCTGGTTCTTATAATTATGTTACCCCAGAGACACCGGGGTGAATCCTATACACCACTTCAAAGCACAGAAGAGAGCTTACAAGGGGAGTCAAATCATGATTCCCATGGTCAGGAGGAATTTGAATTCAGTGAAGTCTTTGTACATCAACTAATACACAGCATAGAATTTGTACTTGGAGCAGTCTCTAATACTGCTTCTTACCTTCGTCTATGGGCTCTTAGGTATGTCTCTACAGACTCTGATTCTTGTCACAAACTTATACACAATCGTATGCACAATATTGCAAAACAGAATATTTTATAAAAAGTAATAAACAGAACATTTATTTTTTTCTCTCTCTTTTGAATGCAGTCTTGCTCATTCTGAGTTATCAAGTGTATTCTACGACAAGGTTCTGATTATGGCATGGGGGTATGTCAAGTTTATGAATCGCTGTTTAAATTATCTTGCTTTCAAGTTTCAACTTATTCAGGACATTGGGGATATTTATAGAATATATATAATCATAGAAATCAATTGTTTATAAGTGAAAACTAAATATGACTTATTGGAGTTCATTCTCCATCGGGCTTAGTGGTTTTTGTTGCTAATAGTTCATTCTCTACAATCACTCATTTTGTGCCCTCAAATACAATCTGATAATTTGACTGGTAATTGCTCTCCATAATGTTACAGATACAACAATGTGATTATCCCGATAATGGGTCTTATTATCTTCGTTTTTGCTACCGTTGGGGTGTTACTTGGCATGGAAAGTTTGAGCGCATTCTTGCATGCTTTACGACTTCACTGGGTAGAATACCAAAGCAAGTTCTATGAGGGTGATGGTTGCAAGTTCTACCCTTTCTCCTTCTCATTGCTAGATGATGAGGATCACTGATTCTTAAAAGAACCGAGGGGGTTTCTTTGTTTCTTTAGTCATAAGTCCAATTTGAATATTTGTTCGTTTTTCTTAATGTAATTGTTTATGGTGACAGTAATGATTCAACCTAAAACGCTTGTTCTTGTGTTTTTGTGTTTGTCATTTTCGATTTTGGTGTCTTTATGAGTTGGTAGTTGGGCCAATACGAGTGCTTCGTTATGGAAAAGGTAGTTAAGAAATAGATAAATAAAAATAAAATTCAAAATCTAAACAAAAGAGGATTAGAAAATACGAAAATATAAAAAATAAAATTAGAAATATATAGATATAGACATTTTTGATAATTAAGTTAATTTTGTTTTCTCATTTTGTAAGTTTTCATGAAACAAATTATTCCGGGGGCCAACGACGTCATCGATTGAGCAAAGAATATAATGTTCAGTAACATTTGGACCATAAGGTTTATTAAACAATTTAATGCTAACCTTAATTCTGTTCAATAATAAATTTGATTTTACTTAAAAAAAGAAAAAAAATCCTCTTTAATTAATTTTCTTCAAGTAAATTATTATAATGATTAATAATAACAATTAAGTAATGAATGTTACCTTTATTGTCATTTTGGATTCTAATATTTTATTGAATAGTTTAATGGCTAACTCAAATTATGGACTCACTTTATTACTTATTAGATACATGTTATCTAAAAAGAAAAAATATCTAGAGTTTGTGGAATAAATACTATGTGGGTTTAGCTTTAGGTTTTAAATCTCTACCAGGCCAATTTTAATTTTCACTATAGTTTTTTAATGATATTAGTAAGTTTTCTTATCGCTAATTTTCTTTTCATTAAAAAATGCTCCCCCGTGACCATGTGTCTTGGATCGGGGGCAGTTTCTTTTTCTGATAAAATGTTGAAGTATCTTTGTCTTGTAGTTGTAGATGGGATTAATTTATTTTCAAAAGCATCAACTATTTTTTTTTCCAAAGAAATCCCTAACAAATGAAGGAATATTAATTAAGAAAAAATAATATTTCTAATTAAATTTTTTTAGATTTACAAATTATTTCAATATATGATGTAGGTTTAAATCTTAAAATATTTCGGAGGCCAACTATATATTTTTAATATAAATTTTACTTGATATAGTTTTTACAAGAAAATTGGTATACATTATATGAGGGACGCGTGGCGTGCGTCAAGGAGTACATCTTGTTTTTCCTAACTGTCGTTGTTTCTTGATCTAGAGTTTTTTCTTTTTTTATTCCTGGATTCTTCACGAGCCTATCTAATAAAAAAAAATTTAAATGAAGGTATCCAATAAATTTAAGTCTATTTTAATAAATTTAAAATTATAAAAAAATTAATATGCTAAATCATTCAAAATAATAAAAATTATTTAAGAAATGTTTCTACATGGATTTAATTTATTTAAGAAATATAAACAAAATGCTTATCATAACATGTAAACTTTTACAACAAATTTAATTTTTTTAAAATAAATATTAATTTATTAACCACCAAGTCATTGTCACCCTTCTAAACAGTAAATTGAAATGTGGCGAGCAATCACTCTTTCGCTTTTCTTATTTTTGTTTATATTACTATTGTTATTATTATCATCATCGTTTCATTCTAAATTACTAAAATAGAGATTTTTCTTCTTTACCTGACTAATTAAATGCACCTACATTTAATTAAAATACTAAAAATAAGGAGTACGTGGAAGGTTGTAGAGAGAGAGGAGGTGGCGGAGAATGGGAGAGGCAGCGCGCGGTGGTTGCTGTCCGCCGATGGATCTGTTTCGGTCGGAGCCGATGCAGCTTCTTCAACTGATCATTCCCGTGGAATCAGCTCACCTCACCGTTTCATACCTCGGCGACCTTGGTCTCCTTCAATTCAAAGATGTTAGTTACACTGCTACTGCTACTCCTTTTCATTCTCACTCTTCACGATCATCACTTCAATTTCCATCACTATTTTTGTTTACTCTTATATGCCTACACTAATTATTAGTTAGTTAGTTGAAGCTCTTTTTTCGAGCTTCTTTAATCTCTGCTCTGCTGTGTGTTAATTGAATGGCGAAGATAGACCCTGAATAATTTGATAGAATTCTGTACTGTGTTAAGGTTGAATGGAAGAATGATTATGGCAATAACAAATTAAGCTGTCAATACAAGTCTCTTTCCAGGTCTAAGTTGTGCTTCTTTGAGAGACTTCTATAAATATAATGTGCTCTGCCCTGTGTTATTTTCAGCTCAATGCAGACAAGAGCCCTTTTCAAAGAGCTTATGCTACTCAGGTGCGTTTCTTTTGTATGCTGCTTGGGCCGTAACTACTCTTTCTTGCTTCTGGAATGTGGATGCGATGCTCTGCTTGTACTGAAAATTAGTGAAAAGATGGATGAAAGAAAAGGATTTTGCAATAGCTATAATTGCTTTGAGTGATTATAATTATGTCCTATCAACCAACTGACCCATGGCAACCGCGTGCCTACATTTTTTTTTACCTTTTCTTGTTCTTGGCTTTTAAATTTGGGGCATGACTTTGTTCTTTGAAATGGCTGTACTACACTGTAGTTATGAGACACAGGACGCTCTGTAAGAAAAAGGGTAAAGGGGAAAGGGAAGGAAGGGTGGCAGTGGGGGGGCATGGATGGTGGGATGGATTCTGCAAAACATTTTAGATTTTACCGTTGGAATTTATCATCATTTCTTTCATTTCACTTACATTTAGAATTTACCTCTTGGCTGCATATTTTGATTGTATGCTTGACTGGTGCTTATAAAGATAAAAAGATGTGGAGAGATGGCACGTAAATTGCGCATTTTCAAGGAACAAATGTTGAAGGATGGCGTTTCACCAACAATTTCCACAACACAGCAAGACGTAAACATTGATGACCTTGAGGTACCTTGATATGTTTGTTGATAATATTTTTTTTTCTGTGTTTAGTAAATTTTATTATACAAGTAACCTATGGTATGTCTTTTAATAGGTAAAACTTACTGAACTTGAGTCAGAGTTAACCGAGATCAATGCAAACAATGAAAAGTTGCAACGCTCTTACAATGAACTAGTGGAGTATAAGCTTGTTCTGCAGAAGGTGCAGTCCGTTTTCTGCTAAACCACAAACTATGTCTTTCAATCATCTATCTGCTTCTTTAATGATCTAGGGTAGTGTCCATTTGTCCAGGCATGTAATGGTTGTTAGTTATGCACTTTCAAAATATATAGTTAAATAAAATAGCTGAAGAAACAGAGTGAAATGATGTCCTTTCCTGAATTATAATAGAAAAATGAAAATAGTATTTATGGGTATGTCTAATCAATGTTAAACTACAATTATGAAAGCTTTCCTTTGCCCAGTAAAGTGAGTCACTTGTAAACCTTTTTGGGTCAAAATATTATGGTTATTCTTGTGTTGTAAGTCTTGTTGTTCAGCAGCCTTATTTGATTGGGCTAGGAATCTTATACTTATTGTACTACACTAATGACCTAATTAATTAGTACTAAAATAAGTCTTCATGGTTTGTGTCTAATACGTCATATTATAAGAATATCGATCAGATATGTTTTGTAGAATACGAGCCATAGGGGCCATAGGGCAACAGTAAGGTTGCTGCCTTCAGTGCCTTGTGACCTAGAGGTTTACAAGGTTAAATCCTAGAAACAGCCTTGCCACTTGCAGGGATAAGGTTGTGTGTATCTACCCTCCCTAGATGCTACTTGGTGGGAGCCTAAGGCACTAGATTGCTCTTGTATCAATCAAATCTCTTTTGTCTTTTCTATCCTCCACCTAATCCTGAAATTTCACCATTATTTTCTTCCCTTTGTAATCCTATTCCAAACTCAATTTATTAGCATATGTTTGTTTTGGGTTTCTTGACTTATGGAATTTGAAAATCTTGTTCAATTGATTCTGTAATGACAATGTTGGCATCAGTCATTGTTGCATGGTCAATAAGGATGGGCTTGATAGTAGTGAAAGAGAAGCATAATTTGATTTGAAGAATGGTTATAATTTCATGTGGTTCTACCCAAAAGATAATTACATATATTGACTGAGATGCTGTCAAATCTTCCTAAATCCACAAACATTCTCAATCCTGCTTTGATTGCTGAAGTTATGTATTTTTTTCTACTGAGCAGTGAGCATTTTTGTTCTTTGTATGCCAAAGTCCAGTTATAAATGACTAATAGCTTCTCATTGATTGTTAAGTCTATAGGATTGGCAATTTAGTAGTGTAATATTAATATAATATTATATGACATGCTAACAAATAAATAGTTGTTCATCATATTCAGGCTGGCGAATTTTTCCACTCAGCTCAAAGTCATGCCATAGAGCATCAAAGAGAATATGAATCACAACAACAAAGTGGTGAATCTATTGAAACGCCTTTATTACAGGACCAGGTAAATCTCATGCCTACTCATATCTAACTTTTTTCTCATGCAATATTGACAGAAACCTTTATTCTAATGAAACAACTCCTGGTTTTCTTCCCCTTCTTTGTAAAGGAATTGTCCACTGATTCATCAAAGCAAGTTAGGTTGGGGTTTTTAGCAGGTCTTGTTCCCAGGGAGAAGTCCATGGCATTTGAGAGAATTTTATTTCGTGCTACTAGAGGCAATGTGTTTTTGCGGCAGGTTATTGTTGAGGAGCCTGTCACAGACCCTGTTTCTGGTGAACAGGTATTTCCCCCATCTACACAATCTGCTGAATAATTAGTTGCCTTGTTGCAAGCTAGTTTAATGATCATATGTTGTCAGTTGTCACATTTATTATAGCTTATACTGTGCTGGGGTATGTTAGTCTGGATCAAATCAAATGTTTATTTTCCATCCAAGTTTTGTGGTCCTATTAGATAGCTATTATGGATCATTTATGTACCAAATGGAGGAATTATTCTCTCGATATAACTTCTTAGGATACACATGGATATATGTTTCTTTTTAACAATTTATCCGTTCCCAGACCTATCACTTCTTAGTTGTTTATTTTTTTAATAAAATACAACCTAATTTGACCGTTCCTTAATGGCATTGATTAGTTGAATATGGAGATCAGATTATCATCATGTAAATAAAGTTTCTAATCTACTGCTTTTATCGGAAGGCTACCTACATCCGTGGTTGTATTATGTCCTTGCTTGTACTTATGAATTTGTGATCCCTATTAGTGAGCATAACATAATAAAAGAGGTCATGCATTTTGGGTAAACATTTATTGTCATTTACAAAACGGTTTTTTTTTAGTTACATTTCATGGTGAGTTGGGAATGTCAAACTGCAGGTTGAGAAAAATGTGTTTGTGGTCTTCTATACTGGTGAAAAAGCCAAAGGCAAGATTCTGAAAATATGTGAGGCATTTGGTGCTAATCGATACCCTTTTGCTGAGGAACTTGGAAAACAAGCTCAAATGGTTTCAGAGGTTTGCTTTATGATTCTTACTTCAACCACAGAAAAGATTCAGCACTTCCACCTCCCCTGCCAATTTTTTTTTTTTTAAATATTATTAGTAATGTTTTTGGCTAAGCTCCTGTTGTACTGCATTAAAGCTGTAATCCTGAGTTTTAAATTGTTTTCGTAGAAAATTAGTGATCATAAGTAAACTCTGGACAAACCCATCTTTGCATTTTCATTGTGGGAGTTATGACATGGTATTATTTGACTACAACATCAAAGTTAGGCGAAGTTACAGGTTTTACTGTGGCCCCAGAGTGGGCAAGAGAAGATTGGGTCAATATTTTCATAATCATGAGACATCCAATGAGTGGTTGCAAAATTACCATTATGCTGTAAAAAATTATTTCCTTGGGGATATCTTGCATAACCATGCTTGCTTGCATTTGATATGTACTAAGTATACCATTTTATAATCAAAATTCCAGAAAAGTGAGTGTTTGTACTATTGTATTCTGTTCAATGTTTTACTGTTTCAGATATTTACTTGATTTATTTTTCTGTTCTCAGGCATAAGCTTGTTATTTTGAATGTGCAGACTAGTCAGAACTGTTGATAGTGGACTGCTGGTCTAAATGTTTTTCCTTCACAGTTTAATTGCTCTGATTTTGTCCTCTTTTAAATTTTAATGATACTCTAGCATATGAAAGAAATTATAGAAGGGACTATTGAATATAGCTACTTGAAGATAGGATAATTTTTTTAATTTACACAACATAATGACATTGAGCTGTTTTGTTGTATGGTTTATATTTTTAAGAAGCCTCATCATTTTTCTGTCTGTGCTAGGTATTCAGTAAGTTACTATTTTTTTTACTTTTATATTGAAGTAATTCTAAGTTTCTAACAAATTTACCTGCAGGTTTCAGCAAGACTTGAAGAATTGAAGACTGCAATAGATGCTGGACTGCTGCACCGGGGCAACTTGCTACAGACTATTGGGATTCAATTTGAGCAATGGAATTTTTTGGTATGTCAAATTTTATACTCAACTATGTATTTTGTTTTGTGTTTAGGTGCAATGAACATGGGCATCTATGTCTGATCATCTACTTTTTTTGTGTGCTTTTTATTCACTGTAAATTTTCATTTCATATTCCAGAAATTATTTACGGATAGTCATTTTATCCTGCTGGCACTAAAATGGTCTTTTGACAATATTTCTTTCAATCCATGCAGGTGAGGAAGGAGAAATCCATTTACCATACCCTGAACATGCTTAGCCTTGATGTGACCAAAAAATGTCTTGTGGCTGAGGGTTGGAGTCCTGTTTTTGCAACAAAGATGGTATTTATTGTTCTTGTGTTCCCTTCGTTATTGTTTTTTCCTAGCTTGAGTTAATATTCTCCTTATTATGATTACTGCATGATTGATTCTGAGAAACAATGTTGGTTTTTCAGATCCAGGATGCATTGCAGCTGGCAGCATTTGACTCTAATTCCCAAGTCAGTGCCATTTTCCAAGTCTTGCATACTAGGGAGATGCCACCTACCTATTTTCGTACAAATAAATTTACTTCTCCATTTCAGGAAATTATTGATTCATATGGGTGAGCATCATGTTTGTTTCTTTGCCTGCTTTTCCCTTTTTTATTTGTGGGGATGGGGATCAAAGTGGAGGTATACTTATAGAGAATTTGTGCAGAGTAAATGCAACGTATGTATTGCCTGCATGATCACATAAATGTTTTCACTGTAATATGGGGTACCATTGGAGTTTTCTGAACCATGGACAAACAAATTTGTCCTTGCACTGTATAGCAAATTAGCAATAACAAACTAGGGTGAAATAAATATTAAAATCTTATTAGTAGCAGTGAAGTTTCTATTACAGAGAAATATTATGTTGTTTACAAATCAAATGAATTCCATAAAATATAAGATATAAAATATATACTATCTGAACTATATTGGTACACCTGCAGAGAAATTCATAGATCTATTATTTAGAAATCTGAATTCTATGTTGCCATCTATGCAGTTCACATGCAAAAGTTAAACTCAAGGGACATTTTCTACATTAAAAGTATCCAATTTCTAAATATATTGATCAAAACCTGACATGTGAAGGTAAAAGACTGACAAGAACCTTGGGAGAACAACACCACAAAAGCTAACTATAGTAGTTGGAGAGTCTAAGGCCTTATAAACCTCATATTAGAATCTCATACTTCCAATGTGGGGCTCTCAAATCATACCTTGCAAATGCATCCTAACAAAGATGCAGAGAGAAACCACTGGACCTGAAGGCTTACCTTTATCTTAGTAGTGATTCACTGGATGGGGTGATAATCTTAGTAATGTATGAACTTAGTGTACTAATACTAATACATTTGTATTTTTGTTATGAACAATTGTACTAATACATGAATTTTGTACTATCATTTCAGGGTTGCTAAGTATCAGGAGGCAAATCCCACTTTATATAGCATAATTACCTTTCCATTTCTTTTTGCTGTCATGTTTGGTGATTGGGGACATGGCATATGTTTACTATTGGGAGCACTTTATTTCATAATCAGGGAGAAGAAACTTTCTGGGCAGGTAATCTTGAAGTTTTCTAAGAGAATTATTCTAAGAAAAGGTGAAAAAAAAAAAATTCTTATAATGGGAGAAAATTTTAATTGATTTTCTCCATCTTTTTATGTCTTGAGTAGTTGTTTTGTACTATGTGCTGAGTCTATATGAAGTATCATTATTTATAACTTGGAGATAACTAATGCTTACTTTTTGGTAAGCTTAGAATCTATTTATAGATCAATGAAAACATTTGGCTGTGTGATGCATGTTGTATTTGATTTATTAATTACTCTTTCTTTAGCCACACAGAACTCTTCTGTAGCAAATAATTAAGTTATTAAAACCAACTTTCAACCTAGTGGAATAGGTTATTATTGTTTTATTAAAAACAACTTTCAAGTGGTGTATATTCCTGCTTGATGAATGAGAGAATCTCTGGATTACTTTTGCTCTCAAGACCATGCATCAAGATTCAAGGGTAAACAAGAAAGTGTTTTCTGAATAGGAAGAGAATGTTTGAGAAAGTTGAGAGAAACTTAGATGTTTTAAGAGAGAATTGTAATGTAGATCAGAACGAATTAAATTGTCACTAGTGTTATACGGGGAGAATATATATTCAGATCACTTGTAATGGACTGACAGCTTGGCAACTAGCTCTGCAAGTTATTCAGAGCCTAGAAACTACTTTCTGCTTATTACTCCGAGAAAGAGTGCTGAAATCCTTTAAGGTAGTAGTTATTTTTACTCCAAGTTAAGATGACAATAATTGTATTTTTGTTTTTATCTAGATGATTAAAAATCCTTAAAATTTTGTTGATTGACAGTGAAATCTTTCAGATTCACATTTCTCTGTCGTCAATTTCTGTTTAGTGGTTTGTAATGTGTTGCTTTAGTTACTCTTTCAGAGTAAATTGCATTTGAAGAGGTGTTTTTGTTACACGAGTATTATTTAAATTTCCAGTCTTTTAACGTGAAGTTGTGTAAAATGCAGAAACTTGGAGACATCACAGAGATGACTTTTGGTGGTCGTTATGTTATTATGTTGATGGCAATCTTCTCAATATATACTGGTTTGATCTATAATGAGTTCTTTTCTGTTCCATTTGAACTATTTGGTCCCTCAGCATATGCATGTCGTGACCTTTCTTGCGGGTAGATCAAATTCCTTGATTCATGACATATATTATGCTTTATGTTTTAGAAAAATTAGTTACCGTCTCCCTTTTTCCCTAATCCTCTTTTTGATGCAGGGATGCTACTACAGTTGGTTTGGTAAAAGTGCGTCGCACTTACCCATTTGGAGTTGACCCAGTATGGCATGGCACAAGAAGCGAATTACCATTTCTAAACTCATTGAAAATGAAAATGTCAATTCTTCTTGGGGTTGCCCAAATGAATCTTGGAATTATAATGAGCTATTGCAATGCCAGATTCTTTGGAAGTGGCGTGAATATATGGTAAAGTTTGTGTTATCAGCAGTAATGCATGTCTGAGCAGTGAAAAACCTATAAGGAGTTTTGGATACCTGTTTATTGGATGTTCTTGAAATGTCATGTTTATTTTAGGGAAAAGCCGACATAGTCCTGTTCTTTAGTAGGAAAGAAGTTTAAAATAAAATCCTATAGGTTCTTTAGGAATTCTTAATGTCCACAATAAAATCACTGAATTTTTCTGAATGACTATGAACTTGCTTGCTAATTTAAAATTGTACATAACTTATTTTTTGTTTCAATCTTTCACTTTTCAGGTTCCAATTTATACCCCAGATGATATTTCTCAACAGTCTATTTGGTTACCTATCTGCTCTCATTATTGTAAAGTGGTCTACTGGTTCTCAAGCTGATTTGTACCATATAATGATTTACATGTTCCTGAGTCCTACAGATGATTTGGGTGAAAATCAACTTTTTGTTGGTCAGAAAATTTTGCAGGTTTGTTCACTTCCAAGTCACATTCTCATTATATTTTTTACTTATTTCAATATGACATCACTCACATTCTATGTTGCATTCCTACCAGCAAGTGCTTTTACTTATGGCTCTTGTGTCTGTACCCTGGATGCTGATCCCAAAACCTTTTATTTTGAAGAAGCAACATGAAGATGTATGCTTGCTTTTGAACTTTACTCTAGTTATCTGTTTGTTCCTGCGTGAAACTTTTATCTTTCTTCTGGTTCTGATAATTATGTTACCTCAGAGGCACCAGGGTGAATCATATGCACCACTTCAAAGCGCAGAAGAGACCTTACAAGTGGAGTCAAATCATGATTCCCATGGTCACGAGGAATTTGAATTTAGTGAAGTCTTTGTGCATCAACTCATACACACCATCGAATTTGTACTTGGAGCTGTCTCTAATACAGCATCTTATCTTCGTCTGTGGGCTCTTAGGTATGTCTCTGTAGACTCTGATTTCCCAAGGAAGGAACCTCACATCATGAGGTTTCTTTTCCAATTCGTCTATGGATCTGTTTTATGTATGTGCATATAAATTATGATGATATATCTACTGATTTTTCCCCTTTTTAATCCAGTCTTGCTCATTCAGAGTTATCCAGTGTATTCTACGAGAAGGTTCTGATTATGGCATGGGGGTATGTCATGACTATGAAGCGCTGTTTAAATTTTATTGCTTTCAGCTTATGATGTAGAAAATAGGAATAGAATTGGAGAGTATACAATACGTGATTGAACGGAGAACTATTCAGGACTCAATTTATTGGCTTTTAGAATTAGTACTTCTTTACATGTTTTTTTAACTTTGGGTCTTGTTAACCGATACTCTAAGAATCAACTAGATTTTTTATTGGAAATCACACTAGAGATACAACACGGTGAGAGTGCATCAATAACACTTTATAAGATTTATTTATCTTTTATTCTTTACTAGTGCTTTAAGGGTATTCATTAACATTTGTCTTTAACTTTTTAGAACTACTAACTTTCTATTTTTGAAAGGTGTCCTGAATTGTCTCTAATCGAGCTTATAGTTTTTGTTCATTCTGTACAACCACTCTTCCTGTTCCCTCAAATCCAATATGATAGTTTGACCTGTTGTAATTGCTCTCCGTTTTGTCAGATACAACAACGTGATTATCCTGATAGTGGGGTTTATTGTCTTTGTTTTCGCTACCGTTGGAGTGTTACTTGTCATGGAAACTCTAAGTGCCTTCTTGCATGCTTTACGACTTCACTGGGTGGAGTATCAAAACAAGTTCTATGAGGGTGATGGTTACAAGTTCTACCCTTTCTCCTTCTCATCGCTACATGACGAGGATGACTGATGCTTTAAAATCTTTGGGGTTTCAATGCTTTAAACCTGTGTTATAATTCTTTCATTTTGGTGTGGCAAATCCGTGGTTGCACTATGCGGCATTATCTACGGTGATTTCCTGGGGACTTTGTCATCCAACATTATTCTGTATCTTGTTTATTTATATGCCATTGAGGGAATAAATGTATCCCTATTAGGGGAGTTTCGTATAGGCAATGTGAACAGAGTGTAACAGTTCTGTATAGTTATCATTATTTCTCGAGTGTTTCTCTTTTTAAGCTTTATTTTGTTATCGTAAATTGCAGGACATTAAAGATTATTTTCCTGTATTTAAGAATAAAATGTATATTTGCTGGGCTATCGAAGTGAGCTTTGAGGCTTTAACTTCTATCTCTTGGGGCAATGTGAATGAATCTCTATATCTTTTTTTGGGGTGTCAATAATGAATCTTTATATCTAGTCCTACGGGGTAGACACGAACTGCAAACAATCTCACATATTGGAATGAAAAATGATATGAAATGTACAGTCTTTATTGTTTCAATCGAATCAATAATTAAGAATTTTAGTTTCGATTTAAAAAAAGATTGACCATGAATTTGTAAGATAAACTAATTAAAGCATCTAGTTCTAAATGTAAGATAAATTTAATTTGCAAGATGAATTTTTTTAACCATTCTTAACTTTATTTTAATTTGGAAGATAGACTAATTAAAGCAACTAATCCTAAATGTTTTCTTTTGAAAAATCAAACCGACCATTAAAAGGATGAGAGCTAAATCGTTTTTCACCACTTAAACCCTTGATTTTGAAAACCACGCATCCTCTAGACCAAGAACAAAACTCCATTGTGACTCAAATGGGTGAAGGTAAACAAATAAGTCAGTCAGCACACATCATATTAAAACAGTCAACCAAATAACCAAGTGAATATCTCTCGTTACAGGTTGAGTCACTGGAAAAACTAGTTATCTTAAGCCCTCTGTTCAAATTTCAGCTTGATCCAATAATAAACGAATGTTCAATTACAACTCTACTTAATTATCAATTGAGCATGGTAGTTGACCCTCTCATCTCTTCTTCTCTTTTGTTAGTTGCGTTTCACTTTCAAAGTTATGCTTTCTTTAAATATCATGATCTATCTTCTTTATTTATGTAAGGGACACATCAAGCAAACATACACATTTAGTCTCTCTCTAGATGGGACCTAATAATCAACAATAACTTGTACTACTACATGAATGGTCCTAGCACTGCCACATATTAAAAAAGAAACACACAAAAAATTGCCTAATAACAGAGGGTCTAGAAATAATTTAGCGAAAATGATTTGTTCACACCTCATTGTGGGGTTTGGAATTTAGAAAAGGAGAGAGAGAGAGAAAGAAAAGGGGAAGTGAAAAATAGACACAAAAAAATATTGAATAGTCAAAATTTAAATCGTAAATAATCCTAAATGTCAGCAATTTATTATCAGATAGGATTCTATCCTACCGATCAACAACTAGTCAACGCGCCATCATTCGTAAGGCCCTGAAGTGGGGTAAAGCAGAGAAAATTATTGCCCGACTACCCACTAGCATAGCTGAAATAGATAAAGCTATTGGTAAGTTCTAAGTTATTCCACGTCATATTTTTTATTTTTAAAATAATAAATAATATTTTGAAAATTGGTAATTAAATAAATTATCCAAAAAAATTGTTTTTTCACAATAAACAAATCTTCTTTAAAATGATATGCATTTTGGATTCTCAAATAAGTGTTCTATTTTTATTAAATATTTTATTTAAACTTCTGAAAAAATGATTAAACTTTTATGATTTTATTAATTTTGTTTATTACTGTAAATATCTGATCTTAAATTTTTATTTATCAATATTGATTACTAAAGGTAAGAATATAATACTTTTATATTTCATGATATCATTCAACTTTTTTCATTTCTTAAGATATACACGTTAGCGAAAGTCTTTAAATTTCGTATTTTATGCTTGTTAAATGAATTTAAGATTAAAAACAATTTTATTTCTACAAGTTTCAAACATGAAAATTTGATTCCAAATCATTGTACTTGAATGTTCAATTTCAACCGATTATAAGCACATTAAATATGAGTTATCCCGTGGATGAGGTAACTATGCACAACAATTAATTAAAAAAGAAATTTCAAAACACAAATAAAATACATTACTCCATTCTTTTTCTTTCAATACATTTTTTGTTCTTTTTACCCCAAACAAATTTATCAAAAAAACAAAAGGAATCCTACGCAAACTTCAATGTATACGTAAAAGATACAGAACAACACGGTATGCATCAAGAAACAGAAAGAAAAGCTCATCATGAAATTAAAGCAAAGCACACCACAACCATCTTGAATGTCTGAATCATAACCTCAGTGAGAAGCACTGTCCTTTTCTTTCTCTTCCTCTGTCTTGGGATGATAACCAGGAAGCTTCTCTTTTATCTTCTCTAAAATACCTTTCTTCTCCTTGGCCTCACCTTCATGACCACCCTCACCATGCTCATATGATGCTGCAGGTGCAGGGGAAGGGACCGTTGCCTCCTCTGTCTTCTTGTGACCACCTGGTAGCTTCTCCTTAATTTTGTCGAGGAAACCCTTCTTTTCCTCAGGATGTGCTGCATCAATTACCTCAACTTTCTCAACTGGAACACTCGTGTCCTCCTCCTTGTGATGATCATCACCACCAACGTTCTCTTTCAGCCCTTTCTTTTCCTTCTTTTTCTTCTTCTTCTTCTCCCCTCCTTCTCCTTCCTCCTCGCTTGACTGCATCATGATCATCACATATATAGCATATACCAATCAAAACTACATTTAACATTTTTTTAACATAATAAAGCCTATTATTATACATTATCGGATCATTATATCATTACCTATCTCATGAAAACTTCTAAAATAGTGTAATATCAAGATTTACATAAGAGTAAGAATATCTAACTCGTTTAAATTTATATATTTTTTAAAAGGAGTGAAATACAAAACATGATCTTCGTTAATCAAGAAGTATGAATATGATCAACAAGTTATTGTTCCATGCAAAGAAAACAAAAGGAACTTACGGAGCTTGAGCTGCTGTCAGATCGGTGAAGCTTCTGGAAGAGGGTGTGTTTCTTCTCTCCTTCGTCTTCTTTTTTGTCCTCAGACACTGTCACCTTTCCGAACTCAGTGACGATGACTTCCTCTTGAGGCTTTTCTTCTTCCTTTTTCTTGCCGAGGAAATCAAGAACACCGCGATCCTTGATCTCCGTTTCGGTGCTCTGAGAGGTCTCATATTTGTTCTGATTCTCTTCAGCCATGATCGGAATTGGGAAGTGAAACAAAGTGTGTAAGTGGAGCTTCAGAAAGTAAAGTATATGAAAGTGTGAATAAGATGATGGGTTTAAGGTGGTGTGTGGGACAACATTTATACTTGATACAACGCGCCCATCCCGCGATTAACAAAATAAAAAGCAAGTAACGGACGTGTTCATTAAGTTAACAACATGGCCACGCGCCTGCATGAACACTCGCTCCATTCACGCCTATGAATTTGGGTACATTGTCAGCCTCGTGCATGTTAATTATGGGATAAAATATAATTATAAAAGTTAATGAGATACTATTAAGTATCTTAAGCATGAAAAAAAAAAGTGAAGATGATTAATAAAAAATGATGAGGGAGAGAAGGTGTAATTGTGGATCTGTACGCAACGAATGGGAAAGGGACAAGTGGAGAATAACGTGGGAAGTGTGTGTGACCCCAAAATGTCGGTCTCCAGAGGATATAATTTAGCCAAGTCGGTGCGTGTGTGGCAGTTGCGTCGTGTTTTGGTTTTGGAATTTCAATGTTCAATGCTACTCTCAGACTGAGACGTCGCTTTTATCCGCTCCATGTGCTGCTTGTCGTTTCCCCTTCACACGTTACTGTTAGGTTCTAAATACATTTTCAATGCTAAATGCCTCTAATTATTTACCACTTTCATATTCTTTTTACTGAAAAAATGGAAAAAGTATACATAAAATTAGACACACATTGGTAATGAAACTTAATAAAAGACGTGAATTTTACGGGAAAATACTTTATACTATATTTAAGTTAATAGTTGTGATTCTTCCATTAATTTAAAAATGATAACGTATTAATTTTTTTTTAATTAAACTACTAACTTCATTATTTATTCATATAAAATTAATGATAAAGATTGTCTCATATAAGCATTTATAAATAAATAAAAATTATTAAAAAATTATATATTTATTGTATTAAAATTGTAAGAAGTATAATAAATAATTTTTTAATTAAATTTTATCATTATTAATTACTCATCTTTAACTTTTTAGATTAAAAAAACCTTTTAAATAATTAAAATCAACGGTCATTTAATGGCAAACCCCAGTTATAATGTACATTTAACTATCAAGGTAGAAAGTTGTAATTTTTTAGACAATGGGACCGTTGAAGTTTTGTTATACGACAACACTGTATTTGCAATGAACTATTTTACTAAAATATTGCAATTTAGCTTCAAATTTACCAAATAAACATGTTAACAAAATTAAACAACTTAAAGTGTGTCATACTCTTAATATATTACGTATAAAAGGTGTTCCTTCTATTTCAAATTGTTTTAGTTTTAATTCCTTTTTACAAAAAATTAAGGAAAGTAATAAATATCTTAATTAGTAAAACAATGTTACTGTAAATATCTTTATCATTTATTAACTATATATTGAACTCTTACAATAAAATATTATTCAATCAGGAAAACATTAACTTCAATTTTTAAGATTATTTAAGCAACTAAAAATAAAAAAAATTTATTAAAAGGAAATTATTTATTATATATATATATAGGATTCAACATGCCACAATTATTTTTCTTAATATATTTGTGGTTTACAAATATTTTTTATTTGATATTATTTACTATAGTCATTAATTAAAAATATAGAAGTGTAAGAATATCATGATGGATAGTACAAGTTTCACATAAATTGTTTAACTAATAATTTTTAAAAAAATAAAAAAGTTATAACAGACAATAAAGAACAACAATAAACACTCTTCAACAGTAGTATTTAATAACACACGCTTATAATTTATTTAAGACATGATAACTTATAATTTATTTTCTTAATAAAATTATTTAACAAGTAAAAAATAAATGAAGCTTATACTTTTGAAAGAGAGCCTGTGACTTTTGAAAGTTAATATATGAAAAATGTTTCAAGTTTTTAACCTAAGATTTCTTCCACCTTCCAATAATTTATTTCATCCTTAACCTTAACTTTTAATAATTCTCACACGTAAAATAACCTTACATTATTTTTTAATCATTTAGTATATTTGAACTAATTTTATTAAACCGTTTAATTCAATTTACTAATTATAAGTTATAAAGTTTCAAGTAACTTTTAACTATAAGCTACATGCTACAAACTTTCAATTAAATTTACCAAAAACAGGTCTGTCGAACTCGTAGAACAAGTTTTCATTCTACTGATCGTGATCATCCGGTGGTTGAGGCTGCCTATTCTTTTATTTTATTTGGTCTGAACCTATTCTTTCGTTTAAATGTAAAATACTATTCTATTCTTTTGGTTCCGCTTTGCATCTTGGGTCGGTGCAAAGCCTAAGGCTGTATCAAATTAGCTCTCAAGCCCAGTAAAACCGTCATTTTGGTCTTTCATATTACATGTTCAACCTTCTTTCTTTTATTTGGTTCAATCTTCATCTCTTTGCTGTTGGTATAGCTTAGCAGGGATAAATTCGTATATAACTCTAGATTGTTTCTGCTTGCGTGTGGCTACCTTTTGCTCTTTCTTTAGGACGCCGCTTGCTTTGGGCCGTTTGGGCCTCTCTTGTTTGATGTTTGGGCAACTTCGTACGGATGACCAAAAATTTCTAGTTGTTACTTCCTCAACAACACCGTGCTTTTACCAGTGAATAGAAAGTCTTGATCGCTGCCTATTTTCATCGGTACAAAGAAAGAATAAAGTCTCTACTGCTCATAAATAAGTCAAAATACTTTACAAGAGTCCGAGTCAGAACAAGGACCAGAAGAGAAGAATCTACATATATATAATTACATAAACACGTCCTCCACTTTCAAAGGAAACAAGATGGAGTACTCAAACCAAATAGACATGACAAATATTTCCAAATTAGTCTCTTTCCATGAAAGTAGAAAGACTACAGCTTACTATTAGATAACACTGTCTCCGTCTGTTTGGCCCCTACTCAGGATTAGAAAAGCAAGATCTCCAGTACAGCATCCATTATAGATCTACCTCATTTTATGCCTTATATACTACCACACTATTACCTTCGACGGCGTTTAGTATCCACCTGCAATACCAGGCAAAATATAAGTGTTAATACATTAATCCTTCCTTCAGTAAGCAGAACGTTTACATGAAAACAGCAGTCTCACTTAAATCCTTAAAATGCATAAAACATTGTGTTTTACCCAGACAATGCCCATGGAAAAGAATTCAGATATATATCTACATTGTTAGGGTGGTCAAAACTGACAATTCTTATGCATATTATGGAAAATTTTCATAAGTTAGTAACCCGAATAAAATGCTAGCCTTGTTCGTAAGGCATTCAAGAAGTTCAAAAAGAAGTTTCATAGGAATGAAAAGAGATATCATTCTTTTGTTCGAAAATTTGCATTAACCAGGAAGAAACTTGGGTAAATTAAATAGGAGTGGAAAGTCATATCAAATTCTGAATGCATGTCTGTCATAATTAGGTTTTGGTTATTCATCAAATGAAAATTTCATTTGCAATGGCTGTGCACATGATATCATGTTATAAGAACACAGATTCTTGTACTGAATAAGTGAATAATAGCTGAAGAAAAACAAAGCAACTGATAATTCATCTGACAGAGAATCAAATAATACTGAAGGCATAATCATATGACGATGGAATAGGAATTAAGAAATCAATAAAATCAGACTATCAAACAGTAATTATAAATACCTTTGTATCTGAGTGTCTTGAAGCAGAATGAGAATTTTGCAACTTCTTTTGACCTTCGGCAGAACAACCTTCACAAAAGAAGTGGTCAAGTCTTTTTGCTTCCTCCACAGTCATGTCTATACAAGCAGGGTGAAACCTGAATAAAAAATATTATGATGAAGACTGCATTCACTCAGAGCCTAATATCAATATTATAATGGCCCATGTAGCATAACAAGCTTTTTTCTTTTCTGAAACATACAATTCCTCTTTGAAAAAAAACTGAACCAAAAATCTTCTATTTATAATGATTGAGCACACAAATGGTCTCTAAGATAGATCTTCAAGGCCCATTCTTAAAAATGGATGCCTAATAAATGTTCTATGTCTCCCATAAAAATAAGTAAAAAATCTCAACATTGACAAAGCAGGTCTTCGGTAAATTTTATAGTAGAACAACCATCTTCCAGATGATTGACAACAATGACATGGACATGGCAAATGCTGTGATAACTTTGACGTTCTCCTTTTTTTTTTTTAACTAGGCTTCAAGGATTTTAATTCAGTTGTTTCACGAACTCAATAGTTGATCAAGATTTAATAATATGGGATAGCCATGTAAGTCAAGTTCATCACTCCATACAATTAAATACTATTCCTTAATAAGTCCATGCATGAACTAATATCAATCGCCTCCCCGAATAAGAAAAGAGGGACCATCCCAAAGCATTATAAATCCTCTGAATCATCTTCATTTCAGATCTTCATTAACCTTATATTTTTGTTACAAGTATATTTCAAAATCAACTTAGACAAATATTCAAAGGAACCTCAGAGCTAAGCCATGAATTTGGCACTCATTTGAGTGCAATGGCAAACATACATGCAAGAGTGAAAGCACTAAAGTACAATAATAAATCCAAATGCATAATTTTTTTAATAAATTCTGTTATGGTTTTCCAAACAAGAAGATACGAAATTTCTGAAATAAAGTAATTTTGATAACTGCCTATATTAGATAATCATAATAAGGAAACAAATAACGAGACTTCTGATCAGTGGGAGAAGACATGTTTTGCCAAATTAAGAAAGCTGAATAACATGACAACTACTTAAAAAAGTATTGTTTGTTTTATGTTCCATCTAGATCTTACATGGTTATGAACAATTACCAGCAGACATAATCAAAAGAACTTGAGTACATTCCAAATGTCCATAAACCGAATAAAAAATGAATTAAACATTAAAAAATGCACGCAACAATGCATAAATAGAAGTATATGCATAAACAAGTACTATAAAAGCAGAATTTGAAAGGTAGGATGGGATTATTGAAAGCGTAAATAAAAATAACAACTGCCTGGACAGAGGCAGAATATGTAAGGATGAAATAAAACAGAACAACAAAGTACTGATACAAAAATAGTCATACACACAAGCTGCTATTAAGAATTGTAGCATTCATCAAGCAATGCCACTAAAATATCAATGGAAAAGATTAGTCCAAGTTAATTGGAGAGTCTTACACAAGGAAAAATGATGCCTGTGTACAATTAGTGCTGACTTAAAATACTTGAAACCAGAAGAAAAGGGATAAAACATCGAATAAAATTCTGAAATTTAAAACGAAAACCATCAGGACGATGCAAAATATCTACAGAACTGACCATACAAGAGTTCAGAAAATCAGACAGATACAGGAACATAAAACAAAACAACAGAGCAGACGACGAATAAACTAGCGGTAATATCACCGTATATATTAAACTTACCAATCACTGCAGCCCTCACACTGCACCATTAGGTCATCAGGGTTGTAGGGCATCTCACATTTACAATACCTGCGATGAAAATTTTAAACAAGTAACATCACATGAGCCAGAATCCACATAAGATCCCGTAGCTTCTCGATTCTAACAAAAAGCTGTTACTTTCCATTTACCAACTGAAAAAGACAAATAAAAAATCTAATAACATAAAATAAGCAATATATGTTTTTAAAAAAATCATGGCTGATGAATCAAAACAGGCCTATGCAACAGAAACATAAAGTGGTCATTAACCAAAACACAGTCTACATTAATTGCAAGTTGATGGCCACTGAATAAACTAGAGAGCCAAAATCCATTCCAACACAAAATCCTACCGTAAACAAAAAAAAAAAAAAAAAAAAAAAAAACCTAGACACTTTGAATTTAGCTCGGCAGAGACTGTAATAGAAAGATGTATCTCGGAGAAGGGATCAACTCACACAGCGACTCTGTCAGGATTGAAGGCGCCAGTAGAGGAATTGTACTCGAAGCGACAGAAGAAATCGTCATTCCCAACAGCATCGAGCTTGGTGTAGCTCTTGAAACTGTGGACCGTACACTTGCCTTCGATGGTGTCAGCGCTCTGAACGTCAAAGTGATCGGAGAGGAAAACCTCCTTGGAGCCGTGAAACTGGCGGCGACCTCCGATTGACTCCTCCGGCCGGTAGTACCAACGGACGTGAATCTTCACGTTCGCGCCTCGAGAATCAGCTTCGATCCGCTCGATCCTAGCCACATACGACGGTTTCGACGGATCCGAGGGCCGCATAAGGACGCAATCGCCAGCTGAGAGACAACAACAGAACGTGTATTTCGATTTAGAAAGCAAACAGAAGGAGCACGAAAGATAATTAATCGATTTATTTCCGAGAAAACTACATCAATTTATTTCCGAGAAAACAAGTGAGCGTTTGTTTACCTCTAATGGTTTTGCTTATGTGTTTGACTGAGTATGACTCTAGGGTTCGCCTTGGAGCCTTCGGTTTAGCCATGGAAATGGAAGCACGCGATGGAGAAGATTGAGGAGGGCGAAAAAAAAAATACTGATAAAATATTAACCTTTTTCTATTTTTATTATTTATATATAATTAACAGGTTATTTTCTTTATTGTTTCGGTGCTTCGCTGAACAGGGTGAAATGGTGCGTCGACGTTTTTATCAGCGTTGGCGTGGCATGCAATTGCACGTACACCGTACACGGAATGGACCCATAATTTGTAGTGATAACGCAGGGCAATGTGGTAATTAACGTGTAAGTAATGGAACAGAGTCCACGTGGCATTGACACATAAATAATCCGGTGCGTGCTTTACACATCACGGGAGCGTGGACCGTTCCGTAAGTTCAGCCTAATTCCACTTTAGGCGTTCGTTACCATAGCGTCCCATTTCTTTTGCTTTGCCATTCCAAGTGCCAATTCCCAACTTTGGGTATAGTATTCTATTTTTATTGAAAAAGTAACATTGGTTAATTGGAGAAATCGAGAGAAATTATGTACATTAAAATTCTTTTTATAAGAAAAATATATTAAAATAGAGTTTCAGTTTTTCTTTTTTTATTTTTAAATTGTTTTTAAGTTAAAATAAAAATAAAATTATTTCATAATTTTGTAATAGTTAAACTTATACGTAAAATTTTAGGCTAAATATTCTAAGTAATATTATTATTAGTTCTATTTATAAAAAATAATTGACAAAAAAGTGATCATATATTATAAATTTATATTTTATTTTAAAAATTATAATATTAAATGATTAATTTGTTCTAAAACACAAATATTTTTTATTTAAAATAATGTCGTTTAATTTTAATAAAACTATTATAGATAACAAACCTCTTTTTAAATTTGTATTTTAGTTTTTAGTATTAAATGGTATATTTAATATTGTATATATTAAAAAATGTATTTATCTATAAATAAACAATAAATATCTTATAAACATAAATTAATATAATTGTAAAAAAATAATAATTAGAGCAATAAATATTGATAGTTGTTTTTATTATAAACCTAACATAAATAAGGAAAAGATAGACATCAAAATATTTTAAAATTGTATTTTTAAGTGCACTCAAAATTAATTAATTTTGTAATGGTTTTTTACCTAATGTTTCTTTTTTAGAGAAAAAATAATAAATTGCATTAAACATTGTTTGTAAATTGTAAGCAAATAAAGAAGGAATAAATTAAAAGAAAAAGGAAAGAAAAGGAATAGTGTAATAAAATAAACATAAAAAAGGAAAAAACTTTCCTCCAAACCTCCATAACAGGAAAGACAACAATAAGAGAAAACATGAACATCTCTGTTTCACATCTTAATTATTTATCCAGCCATGCAAAGTGACTAAGATTCTCTCCTCCCATTATTTATTTACAAACCAAACAAAGAAATCACACTCTCTTCTCAACTATTTTTGAGCCAAAAAAGGTCAACTTATTTAAAATACTTCTATTTAGTTTGTCATGAAATATCTCCACCAAATTTTTATTTATCTATTGTGATATTATAGTCGAGAAAAATATTTTATTTTCCTGCACCTCTCTTTGTGAACTAATAAAGTGAACATCTCCTTTTTATCTACAATTTTTTTTCTCCTCCTACCCTCCTTTTAAATTAAACAATACATTAACATTTATTCTAATAATTTACACTCCTTAAGCAAGGTTTTTTCTTTTTCTTACTATCAATTGAGCAAGGTTTTCATTAACTCTCTCTCTATACATGTGTTTGCTAAATTCAATCTCATAATAATTTAACATGTTTGCATACTATGAATATTATTGTCCGTATTATATATGGACATTGTCTAAAAAAAATTAATTATTGACATTAAATATTTTAAGCATTAATTATTCATTTATTTAATTTTCAGCGTTATAAAATGTCCCAGACATAGGCGCCATACAAAGGAAAATATTTATTTATTTTATACATACAATATCTATATGTGTACTATATATGGATATTGTCTGCATTATATATGGAATGTAGGCATCATTATTCAATATAATATATTAATATTATATCAACCGTTTTTGCCTCTTTTCTTTTTATATTTTTTTGGTCGGTTGGGTTTTGGGCTTAAAATGCAGAACTCTTGTTGGACTCAAACAAAGGCCGAAGTGCAGCATTAAGAGGTTGCCCCAAATATAACTCCTGGTATAGCCTCTAGCCCAGCTAACGAAAATAGGGGGTTCATAATTGTTGATTTTTTAATCAATGGGTAATTTTTTTTAATAATTTCACAATTTTTATACGTAATATATACCCAAACATGTATTTTGTTATAAAACATCATTTTACTCATTAAAGAGGCAATACCATAAATCCTTAGATGTTATCCCTAACCTCTTTGGTAGTGGAGCTATGCAGCATTTACATTTTATATGCAAATGTTTAGCTCACAGCAGAGTAAAATGGATGAAAAAACGAACGTGCAAGCTAAAACTATAATATATAAAGTTTTGGTTGGAATGAGTGACTCGTAGATACCAATTGAATATGCTTTTGAGAAGAATTTAGCAGCAAAACTTTGCTCAGCCAAACCAACAACTACAAAAAAAGTTAGCAAATGGTATGAGAAATCTTAAAGCAAAATCAGATAAAAGATAACCAGAAGATGGCTTGGGGAGGTTTACGAAAAACGTTTAGGTCTGTTCTACCAACTGGTGGTTAGGGATTGATCTCCTTAACCAAACAATCTACCATCCAATATAAGAAACAAATTGAAGATTCAACAGATATAAAAATGATAACATTAACAGGTCAAGCATAGCCTGGAATCAATTACAGTTGAACCCAACGTTTATGTACTTAAAATAAAAGCAACTGCCAAACCAACCTTCAGATAAAAAAATTGGAAATATATATATATATATATATATATATATATATATATATATATATATATTAATAGTTAGAACTTAAATGAAATGTTATAAATACTCTTGATATTAATCTTTAAAGTTTTATATTGGAAATCTACATAATGAAAGTTAATATTAAAAATTGGCACACTAACATTGAGAATCAATATATACTATTAAAACAAAACTCTAATTTTAACTAAAGAATAACAATAATAGTATTTATAATATTTTATTTAAAATTTATCGTAATAAATTAATAGTTAAAATAAAGAGTTAGAAATGATTTTTAAACAAAGCAAGTGTGTATTTGCATACATTATTTAAATGATGTATTATAAATGCCATTGATGTTATTCTTTAAATAATCCTATTTATTCTTTAAACAATGCTACATATATTTTAAGCAATGTTATTTAGTAAAATATTTTGTAATCTCCTCGCCTTAACACCAATGTTACATTCCACAAGGGTGTGAAGATTGTAGGAAATTTGCAAGTGCCAAGCCTTAGTCCCTCTTTAATTGCTAAGGTTAGCTCCGAACTCATATATGATTGGAAAGTCAAACATAACTTTAAAATTTTTAATTTTATTCTATTTATATTAAAGAAAAACAATACAATATAGACAATCAAATCACAACGCAACTTCTTATACTATTTGTTACTCGGTAATAAATGCACAACAAAAAAAGAAAAAAAAAGAAATGACATTTAAGAAAAAATATTACCTATCAGCAGAAAACATTAGTAATTAATCATCAAATTGGTAAAGACATTCATTTATGTTTGATTTATTCAATTGAAGTCAGACCAATAATATATATATATATATATAATATCAAATAATAAAAATTTATATAAAAAAAAATTAGTTGAAATTTTAAATTAGAGTGAAAGTATCATATTACATCTCTTATAAAGTAATAAATTAGAATAAATAATTAAATAAAAAAAATATGCGAGTAACTTATATGATTTATTTATTTAAAAAATAAATAATTTTAAAATAAACTAAAAGTATTTTTTTATTAAAGACTTGTTCAATATGATTTTTTACACCAGTTTTCATTCACTTTTTATTATATTTTTGCTAGTTTAATTGGCTCTAGATTAATTTTTTGAAATTTGATAATTTAATTAGTCTAATTGAACTGACCAATATGATCTTATTTTAATAATTGTGGTGCTGTGCATGAGTCATAAACGTTGTTTTTCATTGCACTCAGTAACAAATTTTACAATATTTGTCTTACATTTGACATTTCATTTTATTCTATTTCATGGCTATATTTAAATTTTAATTTTAAAAACAAGTGTTTATGCAGTTGAAATCCAATTTTTTAAGGAGTCTTAATTTTTATTTAATGAAATATATGTAAATTTTTACTACAAATAAAAATAAACTAAAAAAAACATGACAAAGAGTGTACTAATATTTTTTCATATAATTTTTTAGTGGCATAAGTGAAATTACTTTTAAGTTAGTAAATATAAGTTATTAAACACATTGCTTAAAGAAATAATTTTTTTTATTAAAACATGTAACAAGTATAAAAAGAATTAAATATTTAGTTTTTTTGAAGTAATTAAGAAAATTAAAAAGGTATTTAACGAGACTCGACAATAGGATACATAAGTATCATGAATAAAAACACGTGTAACTAAGCTGTTTTAATTTGAGTATTAGTTTTACAATGTTTGTACGGTATTTGGATGAGAAGGAGTGACGCAAAATTAAGCTGTTCCCAACAGCACAGTGATAATGCAGCAATCCCAAAGACAGGGTTGTATTGTATATTTGTATTTGTATTTGTATTTCTATGTCAACTCTCTGCTCTGTGCTCTCCCTGCTCTGCACTAATTCCCCTTTACCTCTTCCTCTTATCTCCTCTCTTTTTCTTGTCTCGTGTTGTGTGGTGTTCTTTTCTGTTCTCTCATATTCACCCCTTTTTATCTTCCCTTTTCTTCATCTTCATCTTCATGACCACACACACGCAGAGACAACCTATGAATATGAAGCAAAGCTTGTACGCGGGGCCCACTTTTTCTTTCTTTATATTTAAATCTTAGTCTCTCTTGTTGGATTCGATTATGATATGAAATGAACCGAACCTACTGCTTTGTTTCATTTCTTTGATGTTCCACTTCCTTTCTGCTTCTGAAGCCATACCATAACCATAGCTTCATGTTGTTGGGTACTTATCCTCTGCAACCCGGAGTGAGTCTAACTCTTAAATCATTTTTATTTTTCTTCTCTGTTTCTGTTTCATGATAAATAAAACAGTTTTTTTTTTTCGCGGTAGGTGGTTTGGCTTGGTTTGTGGAATTTAGAGTTGAGAAACGAAGGTGTGGTGGGGAATGCATCTTTATGAGCGGTTCCGTAATCTAACATAATAATATCAGTTTCCACTGTCCAAAAATTATGGCGACTTATTACTCAAGTTCATGTTCAAGTAATCAAAGAGATGCTGTGCCTATTCTCTGCCGTAGGGACCCTTTGCCTAATTCATATCCCGACACATTATATGTCAACTCTGCTTCATATTCACAAACATTCTCTGCCAATTCTCAGCAGCAAAATAATTGCTTTGTCATTCCATCATTAGGTGCTTCACATTCCACTCCTCAACAAGAAGAAATCTTAGCCAATGTTTCCGGGTTCCAAACCTTACAAGCCCAGGGATTATCTCTAAGCCTTGGAACCCAAATGCCCTCAGGAGTTCAAATGCCTTCTATCCATGATAGGAATCAAAGTTCAAGTTTTGATTCGTTTTTGGCTACTAATCCATCAATTTTGGGCAATGGGGCCTATAAAAGTGGCTTATCTAGGAATGATGGTATGAGACATTCTGAAAATTTTCCATCTGGATCACCTGAAGTTAGTCAAGATTTGAATAGAGGGGATTTTTCGTTGCATGGAATGTCCAGTCTTGGAAGAACAGTTCCTAACTCGAAGTACCTCAAGGCAGCGCAACAACTGCTTGATGAAGTTGTTGATATCCGAAAAGCTATTAAAAGACCAGGTATGATGAGAAGTCATAGCACACATGGGAACTGTCGGAAGAATTCTAGGGAGGATGATGAGCTTCTAGAATATGAAGGGCCTTCAGCAAATGGAGTGCCTAATTCTCAAGCTTCAGCTAGTAACTCCTCTTGCGAGCTTTCACATGCTGATAAACAAGATCTTCACAACAAGTTAACCAAGCTTTTGTCAATGTTGGATGAGGTAAAACCTCGTTATGCAGATTTTCACTCTCTTGTAACTCTTATCGTCTCTTCAAACAGTTGAGTTTGATAATATATATCTTTGAAACCAATGTAATGCATCTTAAAAGAAAAACGTGCATTTTCTTAGTGTTATGAGTGGCTGGCTGTAACATAACTATATCTCTCGTGTTTGTGTCGTGTGTCAGCATTTGTTGGACAAGTACAGGCTAAAGGTGAGGCATGTGATAGATAAGCAATTAGGGTTGATTATTTATGGCAAAATTTTTTTTAGTTAAGGTGTTCTGGCATGCCTGCAATTCATTATTGATGAGATTACGCAGCAACACTTTCTTCTTTCCATTTACCAGGCCCGGGGGGGTTTGAGAATTAGCTCTGACAACTGATAACCCGTGGGGCTATATTATTTTCTTGAACTAATTTTGTGTTGTAAGTCACTTGCTGCCTCTTAAATTTTGATTTACTTAGAACTAATTGTTTTTCTTAGTGTTTAATCTTTTTATTGTTTGATGGATGGATTTGACTGGCATGCCAAAAGTAAAATTCACATTCATAATTTATTGTTTTGGTGTAATTTAGCACATAAGATGATGTATCTGATGCCAATTTTATAGTTAAATCCGTAACATTGATTGAGTCACACCAAGACTAACATACGTGCTGCTCTTCTTCATAGCAACAATATGGTTTTAATGGCCACCTGTCAATTGCTGCAGGTTGACAGTGGGTACAAACAATATTATCATCAGATGCAGATTGTGGTGTCATCATTTGATGTGATAGCAGGATCTGGGGCAGCTAAACCATACACAGCCCTTGCTCTTCAAACCATTTCACGTCATTTTCGGTGTTTGCACGATGCAATCACTGGCCAAATCAGTGCAATACAAAAAAACCTTGGAGAGCAAGATGCTTCTGGAAGTAATAAAGGAGTTGGAATAGCAAGACTAAGGTATGTTGACCAACAAATCCGACAACAAAGGGCTCTTCAGCAGCTTGGCATGACGCAACATGCATGGAGACCACAAAAGGGGCTTCCAGATAGCTCTGTTTCAATTCTTCGGGCTTGGCTGTTTGAGCATTTCCTTCATCCGTAGGCCCTCCAATATCAACCTTTGGTCTTTTTTTCGTAAAATTTTGAGATTGATCCAAGACCTTTGTGATTATTTAATCTAATTGGCATAATGTATTTTTCACAGCTATCCAAAGGATTCTGATAAGATCATGCTAGCAAGACAGACAGGCTTGACCAGAAGTCAGGTGGAGGAACAAAATAAAATATGCTTTTAGCAACTTGCTTGATAGTGCATCTCTGTGTTCATTTTAAGATTATTTTTTTTTTGGGTTCATTTGTTGCTTGAAATTATTGATTTAAACGAAATCTGGAGGTTGACATTTTAATTTATGTTTTTGTAATATATGTCTTTTGCTTGAATTAGGTCTCAAATTGGTTTATAAATGCACGTGTGCTTGATAGTGCATCTTTGTGTTCATTTTAAGATTATTTGTTTTTTGTTCATTTGTTGCTTGAAATTATTGATTTAAAAGAAATCTGGAGGATGATATTTTAATTTATGTTTTTGTAATGTATGCCTTTTGCTTGAATTAGGTCTCAAATTGGTTTATAAATGCACGTGTGCGTCTATGGAAACCTATGATTGAGGAGATGTACAAGCAAGAGAATTGTGATGCTGACATGAATTCAAGCTCTTCATCTGAAAATGCATCCAAGGTAACAAAAAGTGATGTCAAGACCTCCAATGATATGGGTGATGATTCGCAGCAGTCTCAAAGTCCAATAATAGCCGATAAGAATCACAGTGGTGGACAACCTAAAGACCCCAGATATGATCAAGTTCTTGATACAGAAATCATGGCATCCACTGGATTAACCAGTCTCATATACGGAGGTCATGAGACTGAAACTGAATATAGATCACTAAAGCTGACCGAGGAGCAAAAGCCAAACTTGGATGACTGTGGTCTCTTCTCAGATGACATGGCCGTTCTGTCTGATGGAGCTAACAACAGGTTTGTGGCAGCTGGTCTAACCTGCCAAATGTCAGAGTTTGGGAGGTTCAAGTCAGGAAGTGGAGTGTCTCTAACATTAGGTTTGCAGCATTGTGAAAGGGGTAATTTTTTGCCTGGTGAGACCCATCTTGGTTTGGTGTCCATGAGAGAGGATGACATCTACAACGCTGCTGCAGCTTCTACTATAGGAGCAGACACAGCAGAACTTGAGTGCATTGGTGCTGGAAACCAGCAGCAAAGGTTCAGTTCGCCGTGTATTTTGCATGATTTTGAAGTATGAAATGAAGTTAATCTGTTGCAATCACTCTGGATTGAAAGGGGAAGGAAAAGGTGCGGTGGGTGCTAATGTTAGGACCATTTACAATGCTTGACAGTGAGGCATAGAAGGAACTCAATGGTCCCTCAAGGGCTAGGACTGACTAAAACAGTACCATATTTTAGAGTTAGTGTGTAGAAGGCAACACGTATAATTTGGTCTTTGTATGCAGTGAAGAAACATGTGACAATGGCAAATAATAAATGGATAGAATTGGCTGATTGTAAATTTATGCTTTGAATGTGATTTAGTTTATCTGCAACAACAAAGCCTCTTTTTTTTTTTTCACTAGGTGGGATCAGTTACATAAATCATTGGACATCATTAAAAAGAAAAGGTTTCACTAGGTCATTTACTCCTAAATCTTTCTTAATGGTTTGACCTATAGTTTTCCTTTGTCTCCTTCTACCTCTTATTATTTGACTATCATCCATATAAATGAATGGTATTCAGAGTTTTAAAAAGAAAAGGTTGCATATGGACTAAAATCTGAATCAATTACTGCACTCGAATTTGCATTTACAGGGAAGTTGACTGTAGATAATTAATTCAACACTTTTGCTGCTTTAATCTTATTTTTAACCCTCGCTTCAGATAGATAATAGTCGTTCTCCCCATGCCTTTGTGTGTAGCAGCAACGTGTGCTCAAATCTTGTTTCTTGGGCTTCAAACGGACAATGACATCTGCCTACTGTATGATTTTTATTTGAGCATAGAAAGTTAATTCAAGGAATAAAAATTGTAAGTTACAATGAGAATGAGTTTGGTTGGTCTAGAACTCAAATGATTTTTAAAATTCTTTATCTTTGCTTCCTTCCTCTGTTCTTAAAATAAAAGTGAAACCTCACCGCAAGACAAATGTATATACCACATGTTCATGACAATTATCGAATTTAAGAATAGCATCAAATATGTAAAGAACGTGTTTATTTCAATCTCTCAAGTAACGTGGCAAAAAAACAATGGCAAAAAGGGTTAGACTCAATCATAGATTTGAGTTCAATTTTCTACCCTGACACAAACCGCATAAAAGCGTTACACTTTTGCTTTAATAATAACCAGCTTACATATATATACACAACATGGGGTGGGGGTGAAAAAGTAGAATAATGAGGGGGTTGACACTAGAAAATTAAACACTACACATTGACAAATGTACTAGTCAATTGAGCGCAACTAGGTGCCCTGCGACACGGATAGGGAGCAAGGTTGAGCAATTCTTTCCTATGAGAATGTTTCTTCCTTTTCTTAGCATCAGGATGTTCTGGTTTCTTCAAATCCTCCACCGAATGGACATCTGCCATGCATGCAAATGATCTTGATTTGCCCGAGTAATACCTTGACAAGCCTCTCCTAAACACACCAAATCACAAACTTTTACACCAATAATTTAAAATAAGGAAAAAAAAAGAAGAAAGATGCTCTTATGTTTATGTAAAGTGAAAAAGGCCCAAAATAATTATAGTAGAATTCACTTTTATTTGTGTAGAACTCATTAAGTATTGTATTTTTTGCCCCTTGTAATGTGACGTTGTCATATTATTTACTAATCACAAAATAAACAAATGAAAAACAAGAAGTAATTTTTTTCTTTTGGGTAACTGAATGCTCTTACTTTTGTGGAAAGGTGGTTCCAAGTGAACCCATGTTGAATATCAATTTGTCAATTTCTTGCTCCATATAGCCGGGAGGGAAAGAATGACGAAACAATGCTAGCTGATTGTGAGATTCTACAGAGTGGATTGTTTGTGAGATAAACTGGTGAATCAATGCTCATTCGTTAAGGATAAGGTTTGATTTCGGGTTCAATAAATATGGGTTGGTTTTGAATCTCTAAAATTTGCATCCATTACGTCTGGTGTAAATAGACATAGGGTTATGACCACATCCTTGTCTACGCTTCCTCTCAATCATTCAAGATGCTACTATTTTCAGTTGAATGTATGCATGTAAACCTATGCCATTTCTCCTCATTTTTCATTATAGTATGTTACTAACCACCCTTCACATGCTCTAAAATTAAAATATAGGCCATAATTAAACTAATCACACTTTCCATTTCAGAGAGGAAAAGGAGGGCTATACGAGGGGACAGATTTGGGCAAATGTCATGTCACTCTTGTAGTGTTCAATTCCAATGTTGTGCTTTAGGTGAAGTTAAAATTTGGACCTATCTTCTGGCTTTCATAAAATTCTAATCTTTGAATGAACAGAGTGCTCCAATCCTTTGTATTCAATCTAATCATCAATCTAAGTATGACACACTGTGGTTACATCAAACCAATGGGGAGTGATGTACTTCAATAAAGAGAAGAATATTGTACCTTGATTCCGCTCATTTAGAGCATGTTTTTGAAACTTTAATTTTTGCATTTTTTATAAAAACATATATTTTGATTAAAATGTGTGGTTTAAATTAATTTATACACTATTTTAATTATATTCAATAACTCAAAATTAATTTTATCAAAAATAATTTTGCTTAATTTTAAACTAAACAAATAATTTATATGAAAACGAAAATATTTTTTTGACATGTGGTTAGACACCATGTTTATACTATAATGTAACATATAAAAGAATATAGTAAAATATAAATATATGATGTAAATGTTCAAAATTATAATTCAAATAACAAAATTCTTAAGAAAATGTTTAAGTCTTTCCTAACATCATAATTTTCAGATTTAAATAAATTTATGCATTAAAAAAAGTAGTCCCTTCACCATTATTTTCCGGCAACGAGACTAATCTCTGGTAATATTATTATTGTATAATTTTTCTTTCTTTCGACCCTATGCTCGTCTACTAAAAACAATTAACGGACCCATTTCAAAAATCAAATAAAAAAATATGTTAACAAATTATTATAAAAAATTTTAAAATTACGATTTAAAAGTAATTTTTATATATAAAAACATATTAAAATGTATTTTTTATCCTAATTTTTAAGATGTTTTTTTTTATTTCAATCCTTAAAACTCTTAATCACAATTCTCAAGTTAATTTTTTTAAGGCCCTAAAAAATAATACAACAAATAAGCTCTCTCAAAAATAAAAATAAAAAATATTATTACTTTAACGTAGTTTTCTTGCAGAGGCGGCAAACGAAGTTGTCCCAATACATTTGACGAAGATGAAAGAGTAACAGAATGAGAGTGGTTCGTTAACGTTGGAAGATGTCGAAAGACACAGAGGAAACTGCACGACGTGGTGCTGCGGTGACCGAGTATCGTAAGAAGCTCCTCCACCGTAAGGAGCTTGATCCTAGAGTCAAAGGAGGTCAACACCAAACCCTCTTTCTTCTTCTTTCTCTTCTTCATCTCCCGCATCAAAGTCTCTTTCTTCTCTTTCACTTCTGCATTTGAGTAATTTCAAACCTTTTTCACTTTAAAATCAATGGTTTTCTTTTCTTTTTAATAATTCAACTTCCTTTTCTTAAAAACAAAATGATTATCCTACATTTGATTCGGTAAAGGAGCATGGTTTTAGTGGATTGATTTCGAATTATATTGTACTCAGTTAGAGAGAATTTGCGGCCTGCAAAGGAGGTTTTTTGAAAACTGAGGATGATCTCAAGTCCTTCCAGAGTGTTGGCCAAATCATTGGTGATGTTCTAAGGCCTCTTGACAGTGAACGCTGTAAGCTTAATTTGTTTCTTTATCCTTGCTACCTATATTGATCTACATGTTTCTAGATTCAATACTATGTTCGAGTGTGACGCATTTGATGGTTTAGGTGTTTTATCATTCGGTTATATTGAAGCTATGTTTGTTTTCAATAAGCGCGATGGAAATGGGGTGGGATAGGATGGAAAAGTTCCGATTTTTACTAGATGTCACTTTCAACTCACTTTTATGCCATGCATTGTAAATGACTTGCATTCCATTGTCAAGTTCCCACATTTGTGACGCAACAAGCAAGTGCAAAGTGATTTAACCTTTCTACTATCATTTACACAAACAGGCATAACCTTAATTTTTTCTTTGCTGTATTCTTTTCGTAAATTCTGCTTCATCTATCCATTTGTTAGCCTACCCATAAGTTGGGGGTTGGTTAGAGATGATTAATTAAACAGTATATATTATTTGAATCATTTCAGTGATAGTTAAAGCAAGCAGTGGGCCTAGATATGTAGTTGGCTGTCGTGGTAAGGTGGACAGGGAGAAGCTAACTGCAGGAACTCGAGTTGTGCTGGATATGACTACACTAACCATCATGCGAATTCTTCCTCGCGAAGTATATCCATCCTCTATTCTTGGATCATTTCTTGTCTCTGGCTGATTACTATCCTACATCATTGACTTGTTAATATTTTATTTGTCATTTGACAGGTTGACCCGGTTGTATATAATATGCTTCATGAAGACCCTGGAAATGTTAGTTACTCTGCAGTTGGAGGGCTTTCAGATCAGATTCGAGAACTCAGAGAATCGATTGAACTGCCTTTAATGAATCCCGAGCTTTTTCTTAGGGTTGGAATCAAACCCCCAAGGTATGTAATGTTGGGGAAATATTTGTATGACTGAAGATTAATGCTTCATTAAAGGAAAAAGTACTGAATATGTTTCTCGCAGGGTGTTCTCCTTTACGGACCTCCAGGAACTGGGAAGACATTATTAGCAAGAGCCATTGCCAGCAATATAGATGCTAACTTCTTGAAGGTTCTTCTCTGTTTTTCATGTTCTGTGTATGTACGATGTGCTAGATTTGGCATTCTAATAAAAATTTTACTTTTGTTTAGGTTGTATCTAGTGCTATAATTGATAAGTATATTAGTGAAAGTTCAAGATTAATAAGAGAAATGTTTGGATATGCCCGCCGCAATCATCAGGTAGGAAGAACTTCCATTGCATCAAACAGGATTTTGTTCATACCTACTTAGAATTGATTTTCACTGCTCCATCCTTTTTGTTTAGCCTTGCATCATATTTATGGATGAGATTGATGCCATTGGTGGACGGCGTTTCAGTGAGGGTACAAGTGCTGATCGTGAAATTCAAGGAACCCTCATGGAGCTGCTTAATCAGCTGGATGGATTTGATCAGCTTGGAAAGGTTATTTCCCCTTCTATGTTTGTGTTCATAATGCATAGGAGATCTGCACTTGCTTAGAAAATTGACTACATATATGTATATTCATTGTTGACCTTGGATGGTATATCCAGGTTAAAATGATTATGGCTACAAATAGGCCTGATGTTCTTGATCCAGCCCTTCTATGCCCAGGTCGACTTGATCGGAAAATTGAAATTCCATTACCAAACGAGCAGTCAAGGATGGAAATCCTCAAAATCCATGCTGCTGGAATTGCAAAACATGGTGAAATTGACTATGAAGCAGTTGTTAAACTTGCTGAGGTAGATCAAGGCTGGGTTGCCTATGCATGTTGGAAGTATTTCACATTCTTTTCGTGAATGTTTTATGTATTGTATTGACTTCAGGGGTTCAATGGTGCTGATCTTCGTAATGTTTGACTGAAGCTGGTATGTCTGCGATTCGTGGAGAACGTGACTACGTGATTCATGAAGATTTCATGAAGGTTAAGAGCTTCTGTTCTTGTACTCTTCATCAACAAAGATCAGTAGTGTGTTTTTGAGTCCAAATATGATTGTAGGTTTGAACTTTTATTGACCGTAAAGTTTATCCATCTGTTCAAGTTTTATCGACTGAATTCCTCGTATAAACTCCAAATGTTTTGTACTCTATATGAACAAATATCAGTAACTTTGTTTAGTCCAAATATGATTACACAGGTCTGTAGATTTTAATGCAATGTGGTCATCTGCTGAGTAGGTTTTTTTAATTGATTATATCTCATTTAAGAATGAATCAAGCTAGAGCCTAGAAGCTCATAACGGAGTTCTGATAGACATCATTATTTTTTTGGTGGGACACCTATACTAAATTCTTAATTATCTTTGCTTTTGTCTTTCTGATCCTTCAGGCTGTCCGCAAATCGAATGAAGCAAAGAAACTGGAATCAAGCGCCCATTATAATGCAGATTTTGGGAAAGATTAAAATCAAATTATTGTTGGTAACCCAAAGGACTTTTGGGCCATGAAATACACAAATTTTCATTATTTTGTCTCTTCTAGCCACTAACCAATATAGTCGTGCGATGCAAGCTTAAACAGTTTTCAATAGTTATAGGTTGTGGTATCACATGCGCAATGTTTATATTCTTTTCTTTTAAATTTTATTGGCTTGTTTTTGTAAAAAAAATTACGGCAATTTTCCTAATTCTCCAAAGCTCAACCAATCAAGCTCTAAGAGTGTCAGGGAAGCTCTATTTTTACCGTTTGCGGCCTCTATAAGACACTATCCTTCTTGCATATTGTTTGTAGTTTACTACTATCCTTCACTGTCTCGACGCCTGACTTTAAGTGGAAATAATGTTTATAAGTATAGGTTTGAAATTTAAACTAGGTAAAGATTAAAATTAATTTGATAAGAATTGAAAATATTAGCATATAAAATTACAGAATAAATAATGTTTTTTGAACAATCAAGTGGGATAAATGTAAGTATCCTATTTAAGTATCAAATGTATTTTTGAGACGTGTATAAAAAAAGAAAAAAATAGTTAAATATAATAATACATTAATTTTCAAATAATAAACTGTAATAGAATATTGGATAATTTAAAGATACGGTACTTTGTTAATGTTATTTTTCTGTTGATATCAATTTATCCATTGATATTTACCTTACATTGCATTAGTCACTAAATAAAATTATTTTGGCCATCAACATATACTTTGGATTAATTAATCAATCTATTTTAGAACAGGCTGACTTTGACAACCGAGTATAACAGTATCATTAAATAGAAAATGTACACTTACAAGATAACATGATACAAGTTCGGAAATATGAGGTGAACTTGTTGGTTTCTTCAATTTTGGAACACTTTTAGTTTGATTTTTCAAACTTGTTCAGAGAGTAATTTTGAACTTGTTTAATTAAGGTGTTGAAGAGTTTACTTACCCCCCAACCGAGAAAGAAAGGTTAATTTTTGCAGGAGCTTATTCAAGATTCTGAATACCATGGTTTTTTCGACTTGAATAAATGCCGAACAATGGTATTATAATACATGTCCTTAGGAACATCTGAACCAGGACAGCTTACAGAGAAAATTATAAACTTAAATTGTAAAAAATTTCAATTCATGCTATCACTTCCACTGTAATGAATCTAGAGCTTGTTGATGAATCTGTTTGTCACCAGCGGCCGCAACGTTAAAACCTGCCACATGCAAATAAGACGAGGCTTCAAAGGACCAATATTCAACAAGTGACAAAAACTTGCATGACTTTTGGGCTTAATTTATTCAAGATTGAAAGAAACCAAGAATGAAATTGAAATGACATGGCCTGAGAGAAGGGATGAACACTTACTTGTTGCGATTGAAAGAGGAGAAGCTTCCCAATGAAGTTGATGTCCTTTCCAATCAGTTATGACGCCTCCAGCGCCTTCAATAACGGGTATCAACGCAAGAAAATCGTATGGCTGAAATACAAATTTTACGAGATACTCGAGTAATGAGTATAATATAACAAACATATCTTGTTTTAATCATTTTGGGGTTTTACTCCATATGGGTCAAAAGTTTCTAAAGTTAGAGGAGCAACCAAAGGCGAGAGTAATAGAGAGAACAGCATACCTTCAGACCAGATTCAATTACCAGATCCACAAAACCAGAAGACAAAAGAGCATATGCATAGCAGTCACAGCCATATAATGGAATTTTAACCTGAAAGGGCGCAAAGCCGGAATAACTGAGTGACAACAATGAATATATATTTTAGAAAACAGAAATTCCATTTTAGCATCACTGTTTGATACAGTCTTCATACTTCTAATAGTTAAACATAGGGACATAATAAGCAGAAGACAAAGTGCAGGGCAATATTGTTAACTAATAGAATAAAAAATGTACGAAGTCCAAGTTATTCTGATGTCTTGGATTTTCGTTCTCTGTTATGCTAGAGTAGTTCAGAAGGTTGAAGTTGAAATGGTCAAAAGGTATGGTAAATAATATGTGTAGGTTTTAGAAATTGATTGACCAGGAATGGAGGAGTCAGCAATATAATAATGGATTGTTTGCAACACAAGTGGATTCATGTGTGCAAATCCTGCTTGTTTTGTAAATAAGATTTAAGTAATCAATGTTTCACTAGAAATTAACCCAATATTAATGTTAGGAAAAAGCACCTCAAAGTAAATATTCTGATGGTCTACCGTATCCTTTCATGTTTTTGTTTGGAGTACCTTTATGTTAAATATGCAAAAAAAATGTAACAGACCTTGTTTCTAACACGGATGAATGCCTCTTCTGCATCTCCACTGAACAGATGTGGGCTTGTGGTGTACCTAAAAGGGAAAAAAATGAAATTTGATTTGGTAGGACTTACAAACCTATGGTAACCATGTCAAAAGCTGTGCATAATGAAAATAAATGCCAACTTTTATTTTCATCCAGAACAGCCTTCTTTTTCGTCTTCCACTCAAGAAAAATCCACAGTAAAATTTGTCAAGGAAAAAGAACGAAAGTATACAAGTATGCTTGAGAAAGATCTGCACAAGTGCGTGTAGATACTTCTTGTCCGTTCAGTGTAGTTCTCTTTCCAGTTATTCCAATCCATCTTTCTCTTAACACAGGTTGATCGATTATGCCAAGGATCTGAAAAATTCCTAACCAAACTTAAGAACATAAAGTTTAATAATTTATCAACTGAAAACGATGTCAATATCAATTTCAACACGTAGTTCATCTTTACAATATCCCCACTTTGTCTACAACGTAACTGTGGTGGTAAAATACCAAGTATCACTCGCAAATGAACAAGTCTGTCAGTTGATAAAAAGAATGCAATCAATTGATGTTGACATTTTTCATCATTTCCTTTTCCTTCAGTTTCATTTTGTACTGGATAATGAGAAAAGACTCAGATTTTTTTAAAATATTAAGAAATCAAGATGATTAAATATCCCATTTATCTTCATTCTATATAAGCATTCAAGTGGTAACAGATTCTTACTGGTGTGCCATTTTGTAGAAGAGAAATGAGAGTACCAAAGAGGGGTTTCCCTGACATTGATACAAAACAAGCAGATTCAAAGTGAAATTTTGGAACTCTGACCCAATAGTAATATAATCATGAAAGAAAATTACCAGTAATGAAGCTCTTAGTCCCATCTATGGGATCTAATACCCAAACATAATCAGCACTTTTTTCTTTACACCTCCACCCATTTTCCTCTCCAAAACTGCAAATTAGTGGAAATTGAGGCTCGCGCTTCAGCAATTTTAACTACAAAATCTACCATCCCATTGCAAATTTTATGGATTATGCTATGGGTTGTGCTGCTGATTGCCCGAACACATAAGCACTAGGGAAACAGCAGTACAATACACTTCTCTCTAGTTTTATCTGTCAATTAGTAGCATAGATCTCAATACATATTTATCAATTTGAAGGCTAGAATTTTGAAGCATTGAAAAGCTCAAGTTTTCGTATAGTAAAATCCCTTATTTCATAGCTTTAAGGGGCATGACAGGGAATGATGGCTTTGTTATAAAATGGAACTAAGTAACCACTTCAGATTCCACGTCAAAAAATGCAGAAAATGAGTGTGTAATACTTTCAGGCTATTAGCTAATGCTTCAATTCATATACTGTATTGTAACGAATTGAATGTCAGGCAAAGATAAATGCAAGGCTTAAAATTTTATTGATCCTATTCTCTTCTTCAGTTCAGAACAGAAGCAAAATCATACTCTCCTTTTTTCTTAAAAAAAAAAAAATCAAATTACTCTGCAACAACAACAAAAAAACAGCAATAATAATACTAATTAATAAAAAAGGAGAATTAAATAATTACATCGCATGAGAAGGGAAATTGTCTAGTATGATTGAAACCATGGCCTCTTCAGCCGACTGATCTGCAATGGTTACTGGACCTGAAACATTAAGTAAAAACATGGAATATAAGCATTCAATTTCAACGCAAGCTAAGATTGAGAGGGATAAAAATATGAAAAGAAGTGGAGAAGTTACTGAGATCATGTTTTTGAAGAATGTCGAAGTTCTTCCTGAAGTATTTGCGGATAACTTCTCCGGCGGCATCGGCGACTTTGTTACCAACCTCGGCGAAGCGATTGAGCTCGAGAGGTGTGGCGTGGGGCGCCATGGCTCTGAGACGAAAGTTTGTGGAGAGGGTAGTGTTGGGAATTTGGGAGTGGGAGAGAATATGGCACTGTGAGAACATTGCACTTCGATTTTTTGATTTGGGTTTGGAGTCGCACCCACACAGCCACACTCACTCAGCACACAAATTACAAATTGCAAAACAACTCTTCCAATTGCAACGACCACGTTGTTTTAACATCCTCTCTTTAAATAATAATTAATTTCTCCTTCCAAAAATTTTCAGTTTTCTTGTTCTATTTGGATGATTTCATAAATTTTAGTAAGAAAAAATAATATAAAAATAATAAAATATTTTTTTAATTTATTCATTTTTTATATATTTTTTCCAATAATACATATGATTATTTAAACGTAAACATAACAGCACAAGAATGAAAAGTTGTCAAACTCACCAAAAATCATTATCACGCTCATGCGTATACCACTTTTAATATGCAAGATTACAAGTATAGGCACGCACACTGTACATGTCAGATGAAAGAAGATAAATGAATTGATACCATAAATTAGTATGAAAAATTTGTTTTAGTCTATTCTCAATTGTTAATAAATTTTCAATTTTATAATTTGTCAATTTATTCATTCTAATTTTGAAATAAATTTAATATAACATATCAAATTAATAATGGTGCAGCTCTTATTGTATTTGTGTTTCTTCAAATATAAAAAATAATTTTAAAGAGAAGTATTCTTTTTTTCTTTAGCCACTTTGTGACTTCAAGTTCTTTTTTTTTTTTTTTTTGTTTTGTTTACTTTGACCTCCCATATCCAAAACAATCTAGCATCCCCAGAGATTAAGGAGGGATTAAAGAACAAATAATTAATCATTAAATGCCTAATTTGTAATATATTAAAATTAGTTATTGTCTACTATAACGGGTCATTTTAAGGTTGGCCCCCATATGGACTTTTTAAAATTCACTTGCAAAACAACACTTGCTTCAAAGGCCAACTTTATAAACAAGTACCTGTAAATTTGCATGGATATTTTGTCCTTCAAGTAAAAATAAAAATAAAAATGAAAATAGAGTAACAAAAAGAAACACTATTTTATAATGTTATAGATTTGTCTCCTTAAAAAGAATTATAAAAACAAGATAAATTATACTTTCTCAAAAGTTGGTGCTTGTATAGTTTTTTTTTTTTTTTTAATTACCGTTCTAGTGTTACTTCTGAAGGAAAAAAAAAAAAAACAATTTAGGGTAAGTATCAGAAACACAACTCATTAAAAGGTATAAAATAATAATCTCAAAAGAAAAAAAGGCATCTCAGATTTTGCAAGTGATAACAAAATATATTAAACAAAAAATAAGGTGAGATAATAGACAAGAAATCGAAGGAAAGAAAGAGATTTACGAACTTCAGATGCTATGAAATATGACAGAAAAAAACATCAAGGTTGTTTTGTTTTATATGATAAGAAAAAGTACTTTGACTCACTTTAAATATCTCTTCAATATTAATTTCATTATAATCATATTTTGGAAAAGAATCATTATAAGAAAATCATTGTGACACTGCGTCATAAAATGCATAATTTCGTATCCAACCTTGACGATCCTAAGTTTGAGGCTTCTTTAACTGAGTCAGAACAAATACCATAAGCAAAAGAACAAAATTGCAAGTAAAACCCACACTTGCCATGAGATATTAATTATTTCATTTCTGCATGATTCAAAAGAAGTCTTGCGTAATAAAAAGCAACTAATTATTAACCATTAGCACTGATCACGTACACACAACACAGATCTCAAATACTTAGTTACATACATAATGCAAGCACAAACAAAGGTTTTTTCCCTTTTCAGTGGCCGTGGTGGCCAGGCAATTTTTCTTTGATCTTCTCTATTATGCCCTTCTTCTCATGCTCAGTGGGGCTAGTGGTGGTTGCCGTTGGGTGGGTAGCTCCAGGAGCAGCGGTTGTGGTGGGGGTAGTGGTGGTGGCGGCGGCTGTGTGTGCATGCTCCTTCCCTCCTCCTCCTCCTGCACCTGGTATCTTCTCTTTTATTTTATCCTTCAGTCCCTTCTTTCTCCTTCCACCGTGCCCATCATCCTCAGACTATATATCAAACGTTGAAACAAAACCGATCCAATAAGTGTGATGAGACAACACATCAGACTCTATAGAAAAATATAATTTGTACATGCTAATCGATGGATTATAGAGTTTAGAAACAATCGATTTTCCGAAGGTGACGTTTGTAAATGATAGTCTAGAGGTAATATAAAATTAATTGCATGTGATTCTTTTCAAGCCAAGTCACTATTTTGGATTAATTGTTTAAAGGAAAAATTGAAAACATTTAGATATTGTTAAAACATATGCGAATATGATATAATGATACTCAAAAGAGAAAGAAAATATATAGGACAACGAAGGGTGTAAATATTCCTTAAATATCGAGTACATTTTAGGTAAAATTAAATAACAAATATATCTTTCCTTCTTTGGTCACTTTGAAAGGCGACGTAATATGTTTGAAAAAATTATTTGTTATTCTTTTTAAAAAAATTAAGAGGCAGACAATTAATTGAACTATTACTCTTTTTTTTTTTTTTTACCTTTTTTATGTGAAGCTTTTTCAGATGCATCAGATCTAAATCAATTCTAGAAAAAAGAAATTCCGACAAAACATAAATTTTATAATAAAAATATTAAAATAAATTAAAAAAATTTAAAATAAAATTCAAAATCATAAAAATCGTAAATTATTTTTACGTTTTTCCTTGGAAATTTTTTAAAATGCCCCAAAAATGTCATAGTTTACAGGAAGGTAATTCACAGGGCCATCATAATATTAATGATTGAAATAGTCATCGAGATTAGCTGACTTTAAAGCAACGGTTGAAAGATCTCAACAACTTGTGAGTTAACAAAATTCTTGAAAAATAAAAACCAGTTTTAATAAAATTGTGTAAATAGAGAAATGAAAAGAAAATGAATAAAAAGAAGTAATGATAATGATACCGAGCTAGAGCTAGAGCTGGAGGAACGACGAAGCTCTCCAGCCTCCCTCTGATGGTGCCTAGTTGGCATCTCACTCTTTCGTTCGGTTCCTATTAGATCTGCCACCGTGGTTGTGCCTGTGGTTGCACCACCACCATATGCACCAGTACCGTAGGTCCCAAACCCAGAACCTGTTGTGCCGGTGGTTGCAACATAATTAGTCCCTGCTGCAGGGGTTGCGACGCCGGTGAGGTGAACGGGTCTGCCGTGCTCGTCGGTTAACTTAACAGGGTTACCGTATTGATCGGTGAGTTGGATAGGGTTGCCATGCTGGTCTCGTAGTTGGGCTTCAGCCATTTGAATTCCTTCAACTTCAGCTTGAGTGACAGTACGTAGAACAGAGACACTGTGCGTGTAATTAAATCCCAGAAACAGTGGCGGTGGAGATGTGCATGTAACTTGGCGCCAACACGTGGCTTGAGAAGACACAAACACACGTTGCCACGTAAGAAAAATAAAGACAGCTGTCGCTTTGTAAGGTCACGTGTACATATGCTTTGTATGTTTGTTTCCCTGCGCTGCATATTCTTTTTAATGAGCTTATCCAGTGTTTTTTTAGTGATTTCTATTATTTTACGTCAAAATCTACTTTATTTTCCCCGACCTTTGGTTATCTAAAATTTAAACTTACTTCCAACGCTCTATAAAGCGCATAAAAAAGTATTTTTACTCAACTATTTAATTTCTTCATACAAATGTTTATCATCGTATAGAAAAAAAAATAAAGATTTGATGATATTTTTGTTTTAAAAAAAATTAGACAACTAAATGATAAAACTACTTTTTTACACATTTTAAAAAATATATACTATCGTGTTGCATACCTTTAAACCATTAAATATATAAGAGAAGTAATTTTCTGTTATTTTATAGGATAAATAATTTATTTTAAGCAAATTAATGAATTTTTATTTATAAAAATAAATCAAAATTAATATAAAACTTTTAATATAATATTAAATCTTGTTTATTATAAAATTATTTATTTTATAAATTAATGTTTAAATTTTGTTTTTAAATATTTAAAATCGGTTTAGAAGTTAATTAATTATTGTTTTATAAAATCAATGAACAATTAAATTTTTATTTTTTAATAATTAATGTATGGTTGATTGAATGTAGTTATCTTACCTATTTTTTATATTATTCCATGCTAATATAATAAATGAGGGATAAAAAAAAAATTTTCATAACATCAAAATATCAAATTCTATTTTTGTTACAAAATCGTAAATGCAAAAAAAATGGGAGTATAACTTATTAAAAAAAATATAAAAACCAATATCAGAAAACTAAACAATTAAACATAAATATCTTCTTCAATTTGAGGGGGAAAAACGGACGTAAGAAATAACCCCATGCTAAGTTTTGATAAAAGATTCTTGAAAAGGCTGATGAGCAGATGGATAGGCGACTTACCAAACTTTGAAATTCCCTAAAATTAGAAAGCGTCCATTGACAAATGTTCTCTGACTTCAACTAGGGATTCTCAGGGCCCATTAGCGATAGTGATGTAAATTAAAGAAACACAAACATAACGCTTTAGTCTTTAGTCACAGGTAACATTACATAATTTGCTACCGACTCCTCACCCTCCATAATGATAGAAGCATACAACCCATCAATGAAAATTATATAGACAATTAAATTTGCTACTGAAATAAAAAAATAAAACAAACTCCATTAATTTGACGGTAGGCTATCTGAATCCCTTTTTTCATTAAAAGCAAACACAACTGAATAAAGTCTATAATTCAATCTTCTACCAACAAAAAAAAAAATACTAATTTGCAAGAACATAGGCTAAAAAATCCTGGAAAGTGGGAATGGTTCGCAGATTTCGAACAACTAGAATGACTGAAACTAATAAGATAGCAATTACAACCCAAGAAGTAATAAGTACTTGGGCATGCACTTAGAAACCCCCTATTTGCCAATAGAAATGTTGACCCACTTCCACAGCAGATATATCGTATAATCTTTTTAATGTGTTGATGGAACATAATAAAACATTCATATTGTCCTGCCCTCTTAAAAGAAATTGAAATTGAAAGGGAATTATTTTAATTCAACCATCTCCTTTCCTTTTTGATTTGTCTACTTTCATTTTTGATTTTGAATACCGACTAATCACATAATATTTCCGTTTGTTCTTTTTATATTTTTCTCTTTCTTTTGTGCGATTTAGTAATAGTATAATAACCGATTTCATAAATCTATGAATCTCCCCAACCAAATCAAATAATTCATTTATCTTATTATTAATCAAAAATTTCGTATATAGCTAGAACGACCCTCACAAATTGCAAATATTAATTTGTTAAGAATTAATCGGATTGAGGACCATGCCCAGCACCAGAAACTCCGAGGGGGCGAATGACATGCATTACATATAAGCAGAATCATGGACAACAGAACATCATTTGGATATAAGAATTATATCCATGCAATAAACAAATTGACCTGTACAATACAAAAGACCCTTGGTCTCAAAACACTAATTTTTACGTCTCTATATTCATCTTATACTACTGTATGTCTTCTTTACAGAGTAACTTCAGCCCCTAATCTTGATGAAATCACAGATTAGTGTATACAGATGCTCCAAATCACAAATAGTATCTTGTCCTTGTCACAAACCTTTTGAGGATGCAGAGAAGAATAGAGGAACCTGTCATAGGTAAGGTGAAAAGAAACGCGTTAGGTACAGAAGAATTACTGAAGATTTCAAGCATGCTATAGCCTACAGCTTGGGTAGATGAAATGTTTGAAGTTCAGTTTCCGTTGCACATGACCAACCGCAAAAGAATCTTGAAGCACAATAACTTGCCAACCATTGAATGGAAAAGAAGCAATACTTTATTTCTTGATTGGAATGCATGAGATAAGCTAATTTCAAGGATGCTATTGATAAACAGGTGCATGCAACAAACGAAGATAATGCAACTAACCTCCAGACAACCAACACGCAGCTTATTCCTTGCTAGATTTTGCCCAAAAAAAACCCTTTTTTCTTGTAGGGTGATTATCTAACATGGATCTGGAACCCTTTGATCCAAACGAGAAGTGTCGCTTCAAAAAAGGTTTCCCAAAGGAGCTTCTCCCACTGGAACTCGAGCCCATCCTAGGACCTTTACCTTTAAGCCCTCGCCCTTTAAAGTGATCAAACACAACAGAATCATCATCAATATCACTGTCCACAACCCGATTCTTTGATTTCCTGCTTCTAGCCTTTAAATCCATTTCAGCTTTCAGAGCTTTTTCAGACAACTTCATAGTTTGTTTCTCACCAAAAGTGCAAACTGGGCAAGCTGGATCATACTTATTGATATCGGGTGTCATGCTCTCCAAACATTCAGCATGGTACACATGTCCACAGGTAAGGACAGCAACTATGGAAAGGTCATTATTTGCAATTATCTTTTGAGTGCTCCAAGAAGACTTATCCGCTAAAAGCTTTGAGCAAATACCACATGATTGCAAATCAACTGGTGAGGCTGAAAACCAACTACTGGATCTAGCTAATCTTTCACGGTTAAAACCAAAGGACTCGCTATCAAATGACCACCTGTCTCTGTGGGGAGTTCCCATCAGGTCAGAGAAGCCAGGTATAGACCAACCATCTGAAGATCCACCATGGGAGCGCATACCTGATTCATTGCTCCAGGAAGGAAACACGGGCCTTTCTTCAGACAAATAGAAGCTGCTGGGTGACTTAACTGCTGGGACTCGGCTATCAGAAGCTTGCCGTAATAGCCGGTGTCCAGGTGAATGGAAGGGCCACTTTAAATGGGTTGAGCTGGATGGAGGTATGTGACATTGGGATGACAGAGGAGATGCTGACAATGAAGTTGAAGGCAGTGATGGCTTTGTGGGAGATGGACAAGAAACTACTGATGATTCTGCCAAACCATTCACCTAGAAAATGATTCATAGTTGGGGAGTGTGTCAAAGAAATCACATCCAAACAACTAAGCTAACACGCGCCCACGCACACACATAAATTCTTCACTGTTATAAACCTTACCTGTTCCACACTCACATCTGTGGAGACAGTCCTTGAAAAAGATTGATCTGCAATAACCATGAATAACCATGTCAGATACTATAAAAGAACCAATTGACAGGATAATAGTTAATCACTGGATTAGTTAAATTTAAAGAGTGTTATGTATATATTTTAATTGGCCACGAAGCAAGCAATATGAAACCATCTTATTTGTACTTATTTGCTTAGCTGCCTAAATTATATTTCCAGGTTTTCTCAAAGGAAGAATTTATAAAAATTCACCTATCCCAATAACAAAAAAAAAAAAAAAAAAAAACTTGAATATCCTGCATTGAGCTGAATTCGTTGAATTCTACCTTGTTCACTCTTTAGTAACCACTTTAAGATACAAAATACATGACAAAGGAACTTTTTATTTTTCAAACTTGTTTGGTAGAACCTCCAGAAGAAATAGAAACAAATAATTTATAATAGATAACTTTCAAGATGGGATGATGGTACAGTGCTTCTTCAACCAAGTAGAGAGACCACAAATGATTGAAGAGACACCTTGATTATTTTATAGGGGAACACATCCAACTTAACTCATGTTTGATTCATCAATTGTTTTGATTGAAAAATGTTGAAATGAATCGTTCTAATTCATGTTTCAGTCTAGGTTTTTCTACTACAACAATCGCATGCAACACACCCTGTCTGTGTGGGTGGGCAGGTGGGGGATATCCTCCCAAATAAATCTACGATTGTCTCAAAAACAGGGTGTCTTAATCTCACTAGCTGGAATTCAGTAACTAAATTTTTCCTATTCAAGTTTCAAAATAAACAAATACGGCCTCTTCCATTGATCATCTTTTTTGTTTTCCATTCCTTTCTGGTTTATTATGCGCACAGTTTATCTTCAAACATTGATTAGCACTCTGAAAAATTCCAATTCCTAACAGTTCATTTCTCTTTGATTAATGATGCTATCATATTTAAAATGACAGTCTAATCCTCAAGGCTTGCTAGAGAAAAAAAGTGATAAATAAAGCTAAAACCGATGATAGTTCTGCACGTTCTGCTTTTACTTGGCAATGCTAGTTTCTCTCCTCCACTCAGACAGAATTTCGCGCTGTTACAGAATTGTCATTTTAAGTAATCATATTTGATGCTAATTTCAATTTTTCCTCGTGTCTGATGGCTGTTGACACTGAAACATATGTGAGAAGACATCATGTCTCCAAACTTAATATAGCATCATGTACTAATTCCATATCTTTCACACATCTAGGTGATTATAAGTGTACAATGAACAATGAAATAATTGATACAGAAGCAATCCTAGAAAGTCCAAGTACAATCAAAGTAGGTCCATGGTTAAAACCAGAAAGCTGATTTCACGAAAGTTACCTGAGGTTGAATTCCTCACATGCGCAGCAGTTCCTTCTGAAATTGGGGATTTGTGGCACATATTCTGTTGATAATTTTGTAACGGACTTCCGTCCTCTGATACATATGCTGATTCATTTTTATTCTCTGATCCATCATTCCTGCTAATACCATCGGAAAACCAATTTATGGAAGTATCTTCACCAGCTACACGCCCTCGATGATCCCACCGAAAGCTCCAAGTTGGGGAGCATCGAATATTCCGATGCAAAATATCACTGTTTGATCCACTTTGTATAGTTTTATCTCTTGCAGCAACACAACAAGCCGCACCCATTGTGAAGTAGCAACAGTTTTTAGCTTCTTATACTACCATAACCACCAATTGCATGAGCAAATACAAATCTACACCATTCACATGTGAACATAGCTCTCTGCCTGGAACAGAGATGAAAAAGGCACACCATCAATTACACAAATCAATAATATGACAGTCAAAAGCACGATCCAAAGCATGTTATCATAGCTACTCAACCAGTATAGTCTTGCTAAAGTTAAACAAAATTCCAAATCAAAACAGCCCACGAAAAAAACGAACACAAGAGAGACCAAAAATAGGTTTAGAATCAAAAGTGATTTGAGAAAAAGTGTAAGGACAATCAGTCTTTTCTAATTTCAAGGGGACACCAAACTGACCCACTTAAAGACAGAAAAGAACTTCTTAAGCGATCCAAACCAATAGAACATTGATAGTGATGAACACACAAAAACACAAAAAATTCAAAACAGTAGAATCTGCAGAAAAGGGGAAAAGCGCCTATGGTATTATGATAATAAACAAACAACGATATCCTACTCTCATCACGGATATCAGTACCGAGTACCAACCTCAAATCCCTGGCAAGACAATAAAAAAAAACGAAAATGAAAGGAACACCCAACAATAATTGAAAAGGGTGTCGGAGATGATCCAATAAATCTGTTATACCCTTAAATAGCGAATTCAAATCTAGGACACGGAAAGTCCCAAATAGTAGAACATTCAGCTAACTCAAAAAGTCAGAAGGATCCGAAATTAATGCTGAAGAAACGGAATTCACAGTCAAAACCTGCAGAGTTTGAACAGTAACAACAATAATAATAAATATTCAAGTGATTAAGGAGGGAAAAAAACTAATAATTTTAAAATTGGATGCATAAACACGGTTTTGGTAGATATGGTGTGGTGATAGCAAAATGAATACATCTTATGGCTACGACGCCGACGCTCCCGTACCTGTTAATCAAACCAAGTGCCACGGCTTCATCTAGAGAGAGAGAGAGAGAGAGAGAACGGAAAGCAGAGTAACGTTTCAGATGACTTCTTTTACGCCGTTAAGACCCTCCTCCCTCTTCAGTAGCGGTGTCCACTTCAGTTCTCAAATACTAAAACAAAGAATGCTCAACAATTTTGTTTAACAACTTCTCAAAAAACTTAAATAAAAAATTACTGTTGTGTTTTATTTATTAATTGTAATTAATTTATATAATTTTATAACAATTTTGGTATAATAATATTACGAGGTTAACTTTGTGCTTGCCTTCGGAATTTTCTCATCCATATGCATATGTTTCTTTTTCCTTTTTCATAACCTTTGCATATATTCTTTGAATTTTGTGCTGACTACTCTTTCTTTTTAAAGATTTTTTCAAGTTTTAAAGGTTACAAATTTGTAATTTCAATTTATGAGATTTAGTTTTATAAAAAAATTTAAATAAATATTCTGTTAATTTTTTTAAGTTCATTTAATTATATAATTTATTATAAATTTAAAATCATAATGCTGCAATCTTCCTCTATCTTGTTGAAGTTTAGTAAAATTATTATGAATGATAATTTTTTAAATATTTAACATAATTATATTTATTGAGTATATATTATTATATTTATGTTATTACATTAAATTTAATTATTAAATAATAATATAAAATTAAATTATTTATTTACCTTTTAGGATAGAAATTAAGATTACATTATTAATTACGTGATTAATATCTTTTTTAATTCTTAAAAGATTAATTATGAAAAAAAAAGAAAAAGTATCTATAAAAGATACTCAATCTATTGTAATATTTTTGTAATCTAAAATAAAACCTAATATAAATCCAGTTCAATTAGTTTTAACGTTAAATAATCAAATTAAATTAAGTTATTATTATTTTGATCCAAATTAAGTTATTATTTAAGTTACCTGTAAAAAGTTCTACACGGGATTTTTAAACTACATCGCAAGAACTAAAAATCAAAAGCCTCCTATTTTCCGGGGCTCCTCTAAGCAATCTCCTAAATTATTTTTAGGTTCTCTGTTGCACCTAAATTCTATTTTAATCATCATTTTAAAAAAAATCTCTCTGTTAAGTTTCATGCTTAATTTGCATTTACACATTTTAGGTTTAGCCTTGATTTTTTAAAACTATTTTTTTGCTGAAATAAAAACTAGTAATTTTTTTGTGCATTTCATCTATATTATTAAATTAAATTAAATATTTTAATAAATGATTAAAAATATATTGTATGATTATTTTTAAATTTAATAAATTTTGTTAATTTAAAAAGGAGTTAATATTATGATTAATAATAATAAATATTCTACTAAATTAAATAAAAATAAGCAAAGAGAAAATTTTAAAATATTAAAAAAACTCAAATTAATATTTGATTAAAAATAAATAATTTTTAATATAAAAAACACTTAAAATTATGAAGAAAAAAACTTATAAAAACATTATTGTTTAAAAATTTTAAAAAATAATAGTCAAAATTATATGGAAAAATTGACAAATTATTTGTTAACTGTAAATTTGGAATGGACCTTTTGGTTTAATGGGTGCCTACTCCAGAGTTTTACACTTTTACCTCTACAAAAATTACCATAATAATTAAGCTAAGCATAATTATATATAAGTGTTTAGAATAGTGAATAATGAGATAGATATATTTGCCTGGAAGGTTCCCTCATACACAGTGCTGTGTAGTGAAAAAAAAAATTACGATTCATACTTTATATATAAAAGACTGGGATGAAAATTTAATACCCAACACAATCCCCAAATATCATATCAAGCATATTTAAAATTAAATGGTATGTTATTGCACCCAAATAAATAAATGAGACATCAATATAAATGTTAAAAATCATAAGAAAAAAAGTTTGAAATTTTAAAATATATTTAATATTTCATGTAATACAAATAAGCTCGAAAGAATTGTAAATTGAAATTAAAGTTTCGTGTAAACTAATACAAAATGTAGAACTGTGTTCTGCATTGAGTATGTGTTTCTGGTGAAAGTGTGGAATTTTGGTGGGGCAAAAGGTTTGAGGCAACACTGTCTTGTGCAGTACTCGGAGTGGGGTGTACGCATTCCCTGCTTTTCACATTAATTAAACCTAATATTTAGAGAAGAGATTCTTAACAAAAGTTCTTATTCTCTTTAATAATTCCTTTCTTCTTATTTTTTGATTCCCTTTTATCGCTTTAAAATAAATAATCTCATGTTTTAGTTCATTAAAATGTCAATGTGATAATTAGATCATAATGCACCCCATGTCTGTGATCCTTTTCCTAATTCACCTTTTTTATTTTCTTTCATGCAAAAATTAAATGAGAAACCATGAGGTAAGCTAAGTATAATTTTGTGTATATTTATAAGTAGGTGGATTTTTGTTGGATGGTCCCATGTCAAACAAGATACCAACCATTTTAATTATAGCTATTTTCGTTTACGGATTGATAATGATAGAGAAAAACAATCTGAATATCAATAAATCAACTAATCGCAGATTGCATCTTCCTTTGAGTCAAAAGCCAAGTCAATTTGAAAAATCATATATATGCTCTACCAGTTAGATTTTAACTCAATTATATTATTCAAAACAAGTATAATATTTACTCGTTGAATGAATTTGAATCCAAATTTGTCTAATTACCTGCACAAAATTTTTTATATAAATATTTATGTATCTACGTATTTTATATTCGTACATATATATTAATATATTTTGTTTTAAATAAAATAAGTTTGACCATGCTTATTACAATTTTGATCATCCATCCTTAAACATTCACCGGAGAAATCATCCCATATTTCTCTTTAAATATAAAAGATTACAAAATGTTCAATATTTTATTATTTTAATATACTCAATTTAAATTTAGTTGAATATAAATTTTTTTATATTTACAAAGTATGTGGGAGTTTGTTAGAGATCCCACACGCTGAACAGGTACAATAAATAAGAGGGAGATTTTTAATGTGACTGTGAGAGACAAATTTTAATTATTAAATCTAATAATAAATATGGATAATATTAAAATATTAAAATTATGTGATATTTTAAAATAATCATCTGACTATTCAATAAATGTTTTTTAAGGCGCATCACTTTTTTTAACACTAAATTCGACAAGAAAATAAGTATTGAAAAAAATTTAGATATACAAAAATGATTAATAAAATATTAAAAAAATATTAACAACAAATTATTTATATATCCACGTGTCCCGTCTGTTTCACTCGTTGCCGAAAAATGAAGGTTATAAATGACTATTCACCCCTATTGGGTCACAGTCAAGCGTCAACGGTTAGGGGCGTTGTCGTGCAGTGGTGAGAGACGCCAAGTATTAATCCATCCTATAATTAGGTTTTAATTCCATTAATTAACTGCAAAAGTTAAGACTTCAGAATTGTTAATAAATTCACAACCCAATTTCAATTCTATTTTAAATTCATCGATCTATTGCCATTAAGATAGAAGCAACTACAAGATCCTGCTAGATTGTAGTTAGCATTGAACATCAACCACAGTTTTGTCTAATCGTGTTTCAAATACGGTATTAATATCAAGTATTAACTTTTATAAAATTACACTTATATAACAATCCAGGTTTGATTTTTTAAGTCATTAGAAACGAAATCTTACAATAATTCATAAAATAGGGTTAAAGCTCTTGCTGCTGTCACTCTCCACCTTACTTGATCCATCATTTCGGGTTCCTAAATACTTAGGCAGAGCTTCATATAGTTGAAACATGATGGCCCGCGTGATGTTTTGTGTTTAAAACCAACAGATGTTAGAAAATATCGTACATAAAACTTAAATGAGACTTTGCGGAACAGATCCAGAGAGAGATTTAAAATCGATTAAATAAGATAAACATTTACAATAGTCACAATATGTAAAACCTAAATATTCGTAAAGATGCAACTAATAATGGTAAAAGAGGAGATAAAGAAGTGCGAGTGTCTCCATCGAATGTCTCATATTCTTATGAATTGACGTAATATGTCAGTAAAATCATATCTCGCTCGTGCATTCAAACTAATACAAAAATATACATTTCCTAAGTAGACATAATTTGAAGACAGAAAATTCAAGTTATTAACTTTTTTTTTTCAATATTATATATATATTGTCTTAGACAAACTAATCTAAAACTGATTTTTATGGGGCCTCGGGAATAAAAGATTTCAAGAAAAAGCAAAAGAACTTGGAAGCCTCAGCCATTTATGCTGTGTTGTACACAGGCCTAAATGTTCTTGGACCATAAAAAATTCAAAATATTCACACCTTAAGCTACCTTTCAAGATTATTGGTGATGGTTGCCCAATTTCACAAGGAGATTGTCGGTAACAAATTAAATGGGATGAAGATCTCATGATATACACACAATTTAATCATAGTACAACGGTTAGATTTACAAAAATCCTTTTTATTGACGATGTGCGTGTGCATTAATTACTTCATACATATAAAATTAAAATACAGATAATAAGGCTAGAATCTGATATCCATTCATGATTATTCTTGCTTTTATGTAAAACAGTACCGAGTACACACACATATAAGAAGACATAGAGAAGCACGTACTATTCTAAAATATACGGTTTTATATAAATACGGCGAAATCATTCGTTTCAGAACTTGAGAAGTATTTCTTTATTATTTATATGTGTAATATATTAAGATAACATATAATATCTTTGGTATTTATTCCGATACTACATTTCCCGGTAGCTGCCAACAGTATAATGATATATTGTAATTAACATCAATTCAGTTGGGTATGAGCTTGAAAGGAGGCTTAGATAGAACGGGTGATGGATCGTATTTTCCATAATCTTTTGTGTTAGCCCTTAGAAGCCTCTCGTGCATGATGGTTAGATCTTTCACATTCAGTGGCTTCCCTTGTGTTCCCTAGCGAATTAAGTGTAAGAGGATATATTAGTAAAAAGACTTTAAAAATGTGAAATACGGGAAAGCTAGAGAAATTGAAAATGAAAATTTGATAGCGGCTTTCAGTTTCATGTTGTTAACCCAAAAATAAACAAAAAAAAAAAAAAAGGAGTAAAGAAATTGATAAGAATGATTTTATGTTTCACGAGTTCCATCAAATAGATGTAGTTAGCTCATGAGTCATGCGCTATATATGTTGTTAGGTACAAGGCTTCAAAAAATAGAGAGAAAAGCAAGGGGAAATGCAGTAGTAGAGTTAGATACTTATAGTTAATAGATTTATTCATGTTATTTTTTCTTTTCTTTTCAATGTTCATTGTAGTAGGGTGGTGAGGATAACTAGTTCTTACAGCATGTACGTATATACTAGCTTGGACCTTAAATTATTTCTGAAAAGGAAATGAGGCTAAAATATAAATGATGTTCACTTACCTCCTTTAGGATTGAATCCACATCTTCTGCCAAGTTATTGATTAGCTTTGATCGTGGACCTGCTAATTCATCAAACACTCGCAAGGTTATTTTCTTCTTTTTCAATTGTCTAACAAATTCAGGGCTTATATATACTATATCTATATTTGAATAACAATGCAATGCACGTTCATGCCAATCTCTATTCTGTGCACTAAAGCTTGATCAATTTTAATTTAGTCATGATGGTACAATGTGAGTAGGGTTGACACTAAAAGTGGAACAAAGACCCACCTGCAATAGAAGTTGGTAAAAGTGATCCAGAAATGAGGAGGAAGAGAAGGGTGAACATCTTGAGAAGCATGAGAGCCATGACGTGCGAGACTTAATGGGTATGTTCTGTGTTTGCTTTCAGAAAATGATCAATGGAATTGCCAAAATGATGTTTCCTATCAATTCTGCAGGGAACAATAAATTCCCCTCTAGTAGAAGCCCAGAAGGAAAAAGTGAACTTGACAATTTCATTGTAAAGAGAAAACACGCTTTTATGTTCTTAGTTATAAATTTGAACCGAAAAGGTAAAGGGAGACAATTTCCTTTTGTTGGGGCACTAGTGGAATGACATATACTAAATAGGATAATAGTTGAAAATTGACCTTAGTGGAAGTTAATGTTTAATCCCTGAACTTGTTATATATGACAAATAAAATTTTCTAACATACAAAGGGACTGCATGCGCACAGGAAAATTAATAGAAAGCATAAGATTAAGGAGATATCAATCTATTGGTTCTACTCAAAAGAATTATATTAGGTTGGCATAAAATAATATTTGTGGATAACAAAGTGCTCCCAATTATCTTTGATGAAAAGGACAAAGCACCAAATACCAAATGAAAAGACATGGGTGGAGAATAAGGAGAAGCACTGTACGATTTAAATACTCTTATCGTCAAATTCTTTTTCTTAAAAGTTGTTTTAACATGTTCATGGGCACCCTTAATTCAAGCATTATCTTCTCCACCCCTCTTTGGACAAAATAATTGATCAGCTCATAAGGACTTTTGTCGTGCTTAGCGCTTAAATTTTGGATAAAAAATCGTGCAAGACTTGCATGTGAGGCATCCATGAAATAATCGAAGATGAGAGGATGAAAAGTAAACTAGTTAAACCTAATGAACATCTATTTACATAGTAAGTATTGCTATGTCAAGGACTAGCTTGGTTTAGAGTTTAAAAGAAATAATTTTGGTGGAATTAATTTGTGTTTAGATATGATATTTAAATGTAAATTGGAAATAATTAATTTTGTTAAATAAGATAAAATAAAATTATTTTTAAATGAAAATTAGTGATCAAAATTAGCCATGCGAATTAATAGGGATGAAATGAGAATTTCACGTCTCGATTTAAATGGTAAAAGTTCAGTTGCGTTGAGATGTCTATTTTACCCAAATTTACAATCACGAACGCTGTTTAATTTTGTCCAATAAAGATTTAGTTGCTTCAAACCTCAATCCAAACAGGGAAGTACATGCTTAACTATAACTAGGTCAACTTGTTTGCTTTTTAAGAATTTTTTTATGCCGTTCGTTACCACAAAGTTGTTTCTCATTTTAAATGGTGAACTTTAACTACGAAAAAGGAAGTCGTAGAAATTCAACGATGAAATGATTATGGAACAGTTTCTTAAGATAGCCTACCTTCGCTACAAAATGTTTACAAATTAGTGTTTTCTTAGAAAGTAAACCGAATAGTTATGTTCCTATGCGTATTTTATTTTTGTTAATTCTATTTATATCTCTCTTGAAAGATAAAAAAACAGCAACAACAACACGAACAACGATTTCTCTTACAAGCTTAGCAACCCAATCTCTGTTTCCCTCTTAGCCTTCACAATCTCAATCTTTCAGTTAACATTTGACTTCACTGAAACAACGAGTTGAAATATAAATACAAATTGTTACTGTTTATAACAACGCATGTCTTGGAATAAACTGCAAGTATTAATTGGTAATGTTTTGTCAGTTTCTAATTAAGATTAAATTAGCTTTAGATGCTTTAATCATTTAAAAATGAAATTTGAATTCTCTGAAATAACGAGTTTAAACTGGGCCAGGCACCAAATGAAGGCCCAACATGAAAAGAACGTTGAAGGGGATATGCATGTAATTAATTGAAGAGTTTACTTATTTATACAACATTTTTCTATAATACTTTCCGTAATATTATGTGTAAACTTATTTAGACTGCAATTTGTTTATGATGTTGAGGAGTGTATGATCTGTTGGTACACATTATCTGCAAACTTAACCTAACCATGAGATCACCACTTAAGCATGAACAGAGCATTCTCTGTTCTTTATCTATATATTTACTAAAATACATGCATTCTCATTTCATTAATTTCCAATTTTATCAAGCAGCATATAAGTGAACAGGCATGGCTAGGTTCCTTAAGCGTTTTCAAGTATTTGCAACTTTCTTGGCTATCATTCTCCTTGTAACTTCGGGCAAGTCACATTAAACCACTTATTATCACATGTTATTTAGAGATGTGGTGTGTGGTCATTTATCAAATTAATAACCATGATTAGTAAATTTTTCCGTGTAATGTAAATGTAAAAGTATACATTTGATAATGGTGTGTAAATGTAAACGTAAATATATATACTGTTTATTTTATTAATGTGGTAAGTTATCCTTTTGGGCAGCTTCGGAAAGGAAGGAATCGAGAGAGAAATGTTGGCGCAACAGCAAAAAGTGGCCCCATGGAAGATGCTTCCATTCTTCAGTTTGTAGTCATTATTGCAAGACCTCAGAAAATGCAATCTCAGGACAATGTGGTTTCTTGTTCAAGAAATGCAAATGCAAATTCTGCGATGACCCGCTTTGAATCAATCACATTAGTGCTCAATAAAATCGAATCTCGATTCTGTTTAGGGGATTAGAATCTACTTTTTAAGTAATTTAGTTTCATGAATAAAATAGTTCAACAATAACCAGTGGATTTGGCGTTCATGTGTGTGATTACTGCATTCGCATAATATATAAACTTGTATTGTTTGCCTAAAATCAAAATTATAAGTAATGATAGTCATAAATCGTTTTTCTTTGCATTTAAGGAAAGCCTCATTCTCCTTACTTCTAATGACAAATAATCATCCATTAATCATGATTAATCACTTTCTCATTTTTTTTTCCCAAAAAAATCACATGAATTTATACGCAATTACTTAAGGATGACATAGTGAAACGATATATGAAATAATTAAATTGAATTTTTTAGTAAAAAACTAAATAAAAAATATCTTCGTGCATACGATATATCAATAATGAAATTTATACATTAATAATGTATTTTTATTCTTTTATTTTTTTATTACCTGACATTATATATATATATTTTTTACTTTATTTCTGATTTTTTTAAGTCTCTTTTCAATCATGTAGCTAAAAATGAGATACGTGAATAACATATACATATATTAATTATTATCTTTATTTTTATCTATTTTATATATTATCTTTCTCTTTCCTCCACTTATTTAGTAAGTGTGACATAACCTTTTTCATACACATATACACACATATTATTTAAATATTTTTAAAAATTATAAAATATGTAATATGATAAAATTAAATTAAAATCTTCTATTGATTCCCTTCTTTCTCCTGCTAATGAATTTTGACACGTCATAATGTTGGATTTTCTAATCACATGGTATAATTATCAACGATAAGATACAAGATCATTGTATGTTTTATAAACAATATGATTCGGATCCAATGAGAAAATATGTACATGGCTTAAGAAATTGATTCATCTCAGTTTCTCAAGAGAAAAAGAAAAGTAAACTACTGTTTGCGTAACAAATTGAAGAATGTAGATGCTGCATGATGAAAAATAGTTACAAACTTGTTAATAAGACATTTTTTTAATTAAATTAGCTCAATTATAAAATAGTCTAATTAAATATCCATCAATTGATCCTTTAGTATAACTAAATAAATAATAAATATTAATAATTCATAACATTTTAAATGATTAGCCAATGTTAATTTATAAAATTAAATCGACAATTACAATACTTAAAATAATACAACACATAAGATTTAGAATTTGTAAGATATTTATCGAGGAATATTATATTTGAAAAGAAAATTATATTTTTAGAATATTTTTTTGTGTTTTTCTTGAAAACAAAAGAAAAAGAAAAAGAAAAAGGAGTAATTAGACGAGTGAAGAAATGTGATAAAATAAATAAAGTTATTATTATAGAAATTTGAGATAGAAAAATGCCATAAAATATGCATGAAAATTGAAGATTGTAGGTGGAGTTGTTGAGCATGGAAGTGACAACCATGTCGGAGGCTCTGCAACTTCACGCCCAACTTCTTAAACTGGGAAGACGACACAAAGACGCCTCGCGTAACCTCTCCAACCTCTTCACTTTCGCCGCTCTTTCCCCCGCCGGCGACCTCAGCTACGCTCGTCTTCTTCTCAACTCTATTCCCACTCTCAACTCTTACTACTACAACACGCTCCTTCGTGCCTATTCCCACAGCCCCCACCCTACCCATCACTTCCACGCGCTCTCCCTCTTCCTCTCCATGCTCCACCACCTTCCTCTACCCGACAACTTCACCTTCCCCTTCATACTCAAGTGTTGCACGCGCTTGAAACTCACCCCTTATGGAAAACAGCTTCACGCTTTCATCGTCAAGATGGGTTTCGGGTCAGATCTTTATATCCAGAACGCTTTGATCCATATGTACTCTGAGTTTGGTCATTTGGGTGCTGCACGTGCTCTGTTTGATAGAATGCCTCATAGAGACGTGGTTTCTTGGACTTCCTTGATTGACGGGCTTGTTAATCATGATCGCCCTGTTGAGGCAATTCAGCTTTTTGAACGAATGTTGGAAGCTGGTGTAGAGGTGAATGAGGCTACCGTGGTGTCTGTTTTAAGAGCATGTGCTGATTCGGGAGCGTTGAGTATGGGGAGGAAAGTGCATTGGATTGTGAAGGAGAGGGGAATTTGTGCCAATTCCAATGTTAGCACCGCTCTTGTTGATATGTATGCCAAGAGTGGGTGTATAGAGAGTGCAAGGAAGGTTTTTGATGATGCTGTTGACAAAGATGTTTTTGTTTGGACAGCAATGATTTCTGGCCTTGCTAGCCACGGGCAATGCAAGGAAGCTATGGACTTGTTTGTTCACATGGAAAAATCTGAAGTAAAACCTGATGAGAAAACTGTGACCGCGATTTTATCCGCTTGTAGGAATGCTGGCCTGCTCCATGATGGTTATGTGTTTTTTAGTAATGTACAAAAACGTTATGGAATAAAACCTACAATTCAACATTTTGGTTGCTTAGTGGACCTCCTTGCTAGAGCAGGGCGTTTGAAAGAAGCTGAAGATTTCGTTAATACAATGCCCGTTGAACCCGATGCAGTCCTTTGGAGGACACTAATATGGGCCTGTAAAGTTCATAGGGATGCTGAGAGGGCTGAGCGATTGATGAAGCACCTTGAGGTAAAAGAGATGAATGCAGATGATAGTGGTAGTTACATACTCGCTAGCAATGTTTATGCATCGGTGGGGAAGTGGGGTAGCAAGGCAGAGGTGAGGGGGTTGATGAATAAAAAGGGACTAGTAAAGCCACCGGGGTCTAGTAGAATTGAAGTTGATGGTGGTGTGCATGAATTTGTGATGGGAGATTACCATCACCCTGAGGCAGAGAAAATATTTGTCAAATTGGATCACATGGTGGATAAACTAAGAAAAGAAGGGTATAGTCCGAAAGTATCAGAGGTCTTGCTCGAGATAGATGATGAGGAAAAGGCTGTTCAGTTGCTTCACCATAGTGAGAAGCTAGCTCTTGCTTATGGACTAATCAGGACAAATCAAGGGTCTACAATCCGGATTGTGAAGAACCTGAGGTCTTGTGAGGACTGTCACGAGTTTATGAAACTAATCTCTAAGTTATACCAAAGAGATATCATAGTGAGAGACAGAATACGTTTCCATCATTTCATTAATGGAGACTGCTCTTGTAAGGATCATTGGTAGCACGAGAATTGGCCTTGGATTGAATTTGGTGGCTTAAAAAGGAAAACTTGTGGGGTAATTCACATGAGCATTTAATTTTGATGCCTCATTTGGCCTTTGACAGAATGCAATGCCAAGGAATTTTCGATAGTTGCATGGTCATGATTGAAGATTTTAAAACGAAGCATATGAAAGAAGGGCCTGTTCTGATCAAAATATCAATAAACAGGAAATGTTGTTATCAATTAGTTCATAATATTTTATAGTAAGCACTCCAAATACGATATACTTCAATTCATAATCCATAATAAGTGTGCATGTTAAGAGTATGTTAGTCATTTAATACATAGATTGGCTCTTCTATTCGGTTATGCATAACAAAACTAATTCAGAAAAGAATATGAGGAACCGCATTCATTCTTTGGAAGTTAATTGGTCAGGTATTGTTCCGGTTTGCAGGTACGTGGTAAAGATGTGTGAGTGCGAGTATCAGTACTTAGTGTTTACATTTATGTAATTTTGTGTATAACATTCATTTGTTTAGTTGAAGATATTGATGATACTCGAACGTAAAAGAAATATTGATATTCCCTCCATTTTTTTCTGTCTATTAGAAAGATAACACAGATTAAGAAATTTAATTAATATCCTTATTTATGTCAAATTGTTGTTAACTTTAGTACAACACTCATAATGTAAAATATTTAGGAATTGGGTAGAAACAGAGGCATAAATGAAAGACTAATTAGACTAAATTATCTTTAACTTCATTATTTTATTTTATTATTTTAAATATATCATGACAGTAATTTTTTTATTTCTCGTCCCTCTTTCTTAAAAACCGGATAAGGTGTCTTTTTTCTTTCCTTCCTCTCAATCAACAATGTCTTAAAGTGTTTAACCTTAGTTTCGAGATAAGTATTGGTAAATTAATAAAAAAGAAATTAAAATTTCAAAATACTAATCCAAATCCATTGTGAAATATTTTATTTGTATTTATATGCCCAGTTTTGAAAGAAAATTTTGCTGTTGTTTATATTTTCATTTAAAAATTTAATATTTAATTAATTATAATTAAAACACCTTGTTCAAGAGTGGATCGAAATTAAACTCTTTGATGCTTATTGGACTCTTCTTCCTGCTGAGCCATGGAAGATAACGAAAAGAATACGAAGCTTCGTGCTGTACCAGGACTCCTTTCTGATTCTATTGGTGGTTTATATATATTGTATTGTCTGGATTAAATGCTTTACGATATATTGTTTTGGTCTATGGCGTCACATAACTATGAACTTAATGTATCTTACAAACAATCAAAATCTCTTGGCTGATGCCACTAACTTTTCTTCGTTGCCCTAATGATTGGTTTTAAAGTTAATGCTTGAACAGATAATTTATCTGGCAGGTATCGATGTTTGTTCTTTTTGCTATTTATCTAAATACATTAAAATTTTCTTTACCATAAAAAAATGCAGTGAGCATTGTCTAACTGGTTAGACAAATATCAATTAAGATTGATTAAAATCAATTAGAATGATAAGTCAGTAATTAAAAATCATATTTTAGGAGACAAATTACTAATGAAATATCAAATTGGGGGTCAAATTAAATGACAATTAAGGACTGAAATCAAATGACACATTGAGCATCACTTTTTTTACATTTTAAAACACTTAGCCCCACTATGTTGCGCTATATGCACACCCACAACTACTGAAATCTAACTAGCTTCTTTATTTTTGGGTCAAAAGCTGAGAAATCTAACTTTATTGAGGACCAATGGCGTCAGAAATTCAGAGTTCTTTTATTTTAACTATAAACGTGAAGGGAATGGATTCTCTCTAACTGGAACCATTGCTCCTCTTAAGTTAAAACCCATTTTGAAGGAAAGAGTGAGAGGTGTAAATCATTAGTCATTACTGATAAAATAAACTGTTAATATATTTTCATGGTTCATGATAAAACTTGGAAGTCGCCATCTATATCATAAAATTGCCTTTTCTAATGTTCTAATTTAACAGGAGATTTCCATAATCAGGGATTTGTATGAATTTTAGTGCGTGTTTAGTTTCAAATATCAACATAATTTTGATTTTGATTTTGATTCTAAGCGATCTTACTTCACCATTTCTCTCTCTCTCTCTCTCTCTCTCTCTCTATTTTGTCTATAACTTGACCTAAAAAATTCTTATGAAAGAAGCATTAGAAAATTATATCGGTTTAAGCAAACAACTAATAAATTTCACAATTGTTTTATTATTTTGTATAATTTATTAAAATTGCATTTTAAATTTATTTCAATAAATTTTATAATTAAAAATTTATATCATAAATTCTCATTTTATAAGTAATTATCAAACAAATGCTAATTATTTATCTAAACACACACCCTAACATTGTTAATATGAAACTTTCTGAAAATCTTTGACTACAAAGGGAAATGAATGGATGAGGATCCTCGCGTTCGAAAACTATACTACAGAGATGTCTAGCTTTCAATCTAGCCATCCAATTTTATTAAAATATAGTATAATAATATATATATATATTTGATGGCTGATATTTAATGTAGTTGTACAGAAATGAATACTGCCTTCAACTCCAAGCAATCCCCTCTATTGATGCTTAGTGCTAATTTGATCACATAATACTTAGACACCACACGTCATTCATCTAATATCATCATGTATAGTATTTTTGTTCTATTCTTATTAATTAGTGTAATCCATCTCTAGGAAGTTGAAATATTCTAGAGCTCTAAATGAATGACATCACTATAACCTACTTAAATTAGATCCCGATTAAAAAATAAGCCTCTTTTAAACATACTCAGAATTAGGACAACTTTTTACCGGAGCATGTGAACCATTCAATAGTATGGTTGGCCACATGCTCGTCCTCTTTCCTATAAATAAAAGCCCTAAACTTACTTTCCTAACATGTACTCCAATCCGAAAAGAAGGAATCATGGGAGATTTCATCATCCTTGTCCCCTCTTTTCAAATGTCGGGGCCTGTATGCATACATCATAATATAATAATATGAGCTTAGTACACACTCTCTCTCCCAGACGTAGAATTATAAACCAGATTAATATCAAAGTACACCAACTTTCATCATTTTGCATGTTCAAATTTGATGTCCTTTCATATTTGTTCTTTTGTATTTCTCATGCAGGAGAAAATGAAATTTGAAATTGGGTAGTCTCTATTTTTAACTTTATTGTCAGTTATTATGCAAGAAAATGGAAACCGATTAAGACCCATCTTTCTTGTACCTAAGCCTAGTATTGCAGGTGTGGGAATATTATCAGATATATTTTAACTCAAAAACAATGAATAGGTACTAATAATTTTTATCCAAAAACGCATTACAATACTATGCTTCTAGAAGAGAACACATAACCAAATTAAAAACAAGGTAAGGGAACTTATCTTTTATTTATTGCCTTACTGTTTCCCTACTCTCTTTTGCTAATAATGGTTCAAAATCCCATGAAAATATATAAAAGAGAAGCTTTATGATCTGATTGAAATATTACTGTTCAAGAAATTTTGTTCTTTACAGAAATCTTGCTTTCACACACACACATAAAATAGAACTATAGAGCGTCACTAAAAGATATATTTAATCTTTGCTTTCATCTTATGCCACTAAACCGCCCATTTTTCTATATTGCTATTCTTAGCTGGGAACTATTCTATCTTCATTTGTGTACCACAGTTAAGGGAAGGAACATGAGTTAAGCATAGAAGGTAAAAAGAATATATAGAAATAGAATAAGTCTGATAAGAAATAAAGCGTTACGTGGGGTTTTATTCTTTAGACTGTGATTGGATATCTAATGGTAAATGGAATAGGATGGAAGGAACAGTGATATAAAATTAATAAAGTTATCATTTTGCTGTTTAGATATTTTTATAATAGATTAATAAACGAAAAAGAAAAATGATTCCGTCCCACAACTCAAATTGGATAGAAATAGGAGCGAAATATAAGATTAAATTAAAAATAATGGATCTCATATGTTCTATTTCCTTATATTTTCTTTTAAATCATCGTTCTTCACTCTATTCTATTCTTTTCCATCGATTCAAACATGGGGTTATAGTATAAATTAAAATTGCAGATATGTTCTGAACAATATATTATAATTGCAAGTCACGTCTGAAAGCATCAAATTATTCTCCCAAATTTGTTGTCAACCCTCCAATTGAAATATGGTGTTATATGCAGAGAAATATATGCCAATTCAGCTGTAGCCATTAAACTGTTGACTCCTAAACTTTATAGATTATGGCACTGAAAAGGAGGAAGCAACTAGAGATCATATTCCTCTTTAACCTCATATCCGTGTTTGATCAATCGAAAAATCTTCTAAAAACTTTGATATGCAGACTAAGTGGAATTTCTCCTTTATACTATTTTGGATATATGAAACGGAGTGCTGTTTCTGTTCTTTCAGCACAGTGTTGGGTACTACTCTTGTTTTGCCGCCACTGAGTCAAAGCCTTACATGATACTCAATCTAATTAACGCTACCATACTTTACCATAGAATCACACTCGAATGTATTAATGAACCATTGAATCAGATCCCTTATACAACTTGGTTTTGTCCGACAATGTATTCTAGATGGTCGTAATTTGTGGCTTCTTGGCTTGCTATTTTTTTGTGCTTTTTCACTCTGTACTACTTAACACATTTATTTGTTTCACTTTCTTTCTGGTTTTTTAAAAGAATTTTCTGTCCTAATTAATTTCTTGAGTTCCTATTGTGTTTACTTAGTATAATGTAAAGAATCAATATTTTTAATATTATATTGCACATATAATAGAAATAGAAGTAACAAGTACATTAATCGCATATAAGTAAATTTTGATGAAAGTCTCATTTTTAAAAGGTTAGAAAATGCTTGTTTCACGGTTTGCAGCTGTAAATATCCGGTACTCTTTAGACATGCAAGCTCATCTTATGTGGGCATGGTGCTACGTTTGTCTAATGCTTATTGAAGCTTTAAGAGGTGGCAACTATCGATAATGGTACCCATCTTAAAACCTCAAGTGCAGTGATTGTGGATGGGAGGGAAAAAAACTCGAGTGTGCGTTTTTATTACTTTTTTTCATTGTTTAAGATGGAGTAGTGTTCATCGTTCGAATGTTATAGGAAAAGTACGAAGAAAAAGAATCAAAATTTTATAATTATAACTTATGAAATATTACGGTGTACATACCAAATAGAAGGTATGTTTGTATGAAAAATTAACATTTATCTAAGCAAAAAACTAAATTAAACGAAAGTATTTTTAAAATTTAATTATCTTCCTTGGTAAAATAACATATAACTTCTCTTGTATTATACATTTTTTAATTTAATTTAAATTTATTTTTTTATAATTTTTAATTTAGTTTTATTTAAGATAATAAATATTTATTCATAATAATTAAAGTATTTACTCATTTGAATTTATAAAAAAAATAAATTTAGAAGAAATCATTTATTATATCTTAATTTTATTTAGAAAGTATTTTAATATATTAATACTTATACAACACATGAGAAATTTACTAGTTAAAAAAATAAGGCAAAAACTGAAATATACAATTCAATTGAAATTGAAAATATTTAATTGGATTGCTTCAATTTTGATATTATTTTCAAACTAACCTAAAATGAATTGAAATTTTTTTTTATTGATTGAGTAATTTTCACTTTAAAATTAATTCAAACCTAATCACAAATACTCTTATTTTTCAACTTTTCCTTAAAAAAAAAAAGAAGAAAGAAAAATTGTGTATTTTTCCTACAAATTTAATTGTTTTATTTTAGTGATTATAATTTTTTATTTAATCACTACAAAATGATTTCTTTCTTCCTATTTTAGTTCTTTTGTGTATGTAATAGTGTTAATTTAATCGAAATACACATCTTCAGTTCTTGTTAATATATTTACTTTGTTAACTAATGACATAACAAAATGGAGCTACATCACGTGTTAATGATTCGTTTGTCACGTTATCATATACCAAAGTTTATTTAAAGATTAAAAACTATTTCAATAAAATCAAATATCAAATGAATTTTTCCTATAGGGATTAATATAAAATTATCTTTCAAAATAAAAAATGAAGTGAAAAAAAGTTATTTTTATGAAGAAAGATAAAGGAATACATATATTAATGAAAGGGAAAGTTCAATATCTATAGAAAAGTTAGATCCATAACAAAGAAATATTCACGAGGAGTGTCAAAAACAAGCCAATTTACCTGTCTTCTACGCTTGTAAATAAAACGCGCTACTTTATAAGTACAAGTTGGCGTGCCTACTTTTCCTTTTTGAGGCATTAACTCCAATATCTAGGACCAAGCAGCCTTTGCCATTGCAAGAAGCTCTTCATCCTCCTTTTCTTCTTTTGGAACAAAAACTATGCAAAACTTACAATAATATGCAAAATTAAGTAAAGGTTATCGAACAATTATGTTATTGCTGTGCTTCACTATTATAAGAGCATTTCAGCTTGTAACTTTTTTATTTTCCTGCTCCTTTTTTTGCACCGTACTATACTCCATTAAGGTTCCTAAGTGGCTTTATTAATTTACAGCGTTTGATACTAATTTATCTTATAAACCATACTTTAAACTGAATTTTAGTAAGCTCCACGTGAGTAAATCACATGCTTGATGTCACTTTGCTATATAAACTTCATAAGGTTCGGCTAAAAGTTACTGAGCATAACACAGCATATGCAAACCATGAATTCAGTACTCTGAGCTTTCAGTTCCATGTCCAAAGATACTTCCTCTGAAAACTTTGTTCCTAGCACGTGGAACTTGTGCCCTGCCACACAACAAGAGCGCACTCGTCTCTCTGCTCTTATTACTATTGTAAATGTTAATGTGAATGTTAATGTTAATAGTACTTCTTAAAGAATTAAATAATATATATCAAAACATATTATTAATATGCTTTTATTAAGATTTTCAATGCACTTAACATGATTTTTAATACCAAATTATTATTATTTTCTTAACAGTGTGATTGGTACAGTGGTTAAGAAAATACTTTTTTTTACAGACAAGCAAGGCCCTATTCTTAAATAATGTCTCTTTGTAACTTTCCAAGAACTTGGCGTAGCAGCTTTAACTCAAAGTTGTAACCTTTACTTTCATTTCTTAGTTGTCAGTTTAGCACTCCTGTTAAACTTATATTTATCTTTCCTTAGACGAATTAAAACAAAAAATAAAAATGGTGGAGCTGAAATGTCTTGCCAGGAATATAAGTTAGCTAATAAAACAGCTGGAAATTTAATGGTTTCTCAATTGGAGTTAGACACATCACAGGCACACAATGCCCTGACATGTTTGTGTGTGTCACATTTCAAGGAATTTCTTCTATGCAGCGAAAATATTATGAGGAGATTAGTAGTTGGGGTGCCACGGCCAACTCTCCTCTTCACTTGTCCCTTTCTTTTGTTGGTCAGTTTTGGACTTTTCCTTCAATTAAGATGCGTATCTCTGGGGATTGCATGAGGCCTCTCTAGAAAAACCTAATATATTTCTAGCACTAATAACACCTTTAACTGTTACTATTACTAGTCCTTCACCCAACTACCCAGAGTCGTGGAAATTTGCTTAAACACATGAATTATGAAAACTCAATATACCCAATTCCTATTTTGTGGGATCAAAAGGGCCAACCGATCAGTAGAAACCCACTGAAAAGACCACACAACATAGAGAAGTAAATTGATGCCTGCGCCCACTGAAGAGAAGAAGAGTGCATGCCTCATCAAAGTTCAAACGAGAATTACTATTATAATAATGAATTCAACTTTGTCCACTAAACCATCATTCAAGAGCAAGTATCAAAATTGTATACCATCTCGAGTTTAGTCAAAGAAGGCACTAATTCCATGATATACAATAATAATAACTTACACATAGCATTTGAACCAAAAAAATAAAAAATAAATAGATGACATAACTTGGACAATAATAGCATTATAATATAGCAAAGGAGAGTTACAAGTTACAACAATAATAGGCTGATCTCTGAACCAAAAGGGCCCATTTACAGAACCAGCAACCCAACAAGCTTACCCGCTTTATGATATGTTGTCATGTTGACACATTCATCATCATTATTCCTTATCGCACTCACTATCTGGCAGTGATTACAACTTCTCTAACAGACTCAAACCTAAAAGAAAACAAAAGCAACACCCCTCTCCTCTCCATCTAACATCTAAAAACATCTCATCTCACTCAGTACTGCAACATGTGATCTGCAGAAGCCATGATGGGCTGGTTCAGATATGCCATATTCAAAGGGTTGTTGAAGAACCCATAATCGGGCTCATAGAAGGAGGCCGGTACCGGTGGTCCAGCAGGCCCAAAAACCCCATTGGTGGCATTCAAGAACTCGATGATCTCGTTCAAAGACTCCAATCTGTGGCTTAACTCACCCACTTGAGCTCTCAGAACCGAGTTTTCAGCCTCGACAGCCAAGTACTTTTGGGTAGTGAGGTTAACTGATGTCAGCATCTGGTGATTCTCGTTCCTGAGCTGAGCCACGAGTGCAGCAAGATCATCCAAGTGCTTCTGTTTCCTCATTCGAGATCGCCTTGCAGATTCACGGTTTGATAGCATTCTCTTCCTCTTCCTCTGATCCATCAACGCCTGCAGGTCCTCCTCTGAGCCAGAGTTTTGAATCATAGAGGACCCTGAAGAGGTTCCGCTTGGGGAAGCCATGTGATGTGAGAGAGGGCAATAGAAATGGACACTCAACTTAGTTCGCAAGACCCAGAAACACAAAAAAAAGAAAACGAAAAATATTGGAGATAAAAGTAGTACTGCAAAGAAAAAGAAGAAGTATTTAAGAAATACGGGTTTAATAAAAATGAGAAATCATGAAACGTAGTAGAGCCAGTAAAGGAAAGCAACTGAGAAGGATTGAACTAAATGGGTCCTGCGCCTGACAGTGGAATTGATCATACACCCAGAAAAGAATATTTCACTGAGAATTGGATACATGAATCTCAAACATCAAGAACACGATGTTGGGCATCTAAGATAATAAGAAAAGCTTCAGATTTTGGTTTCAGTTTCAGAACGGTGTGAGTGTGGATGGATTCAAGAAATCAACGTGACGGAGAAGAAGAGAAGAATGAAGGGTTGGTGTTGAGAGGCAGAGATCTGAAGGAGCAATTACAAGAAATATCTTAAAAGTGTGATGGGAAAGAAAGAAAGAAGAAAAGTGGAAGGGGAGTCTGTCTTCTTGAAGCACTGAATTTATAGAACCAAAAAGCCAACAAGTTGATCAAAAACCAAACTCCCACGCTGAAATCCCAAACCACAGACAAAGAATCACAGAAAAATTAACCTCGTCATAACTTATTTAATATTTTAATTTATAAATATTTTTATCAACGTTAATTTAAAATTGAGTTTAAACAACTGAAAAATCATATTAAAAATATAAAGTAAATAATTAACATTTTATTTTTCATAAAAACTTTATTTTTAATCATGTAAATTAATTTTAAAAGACAAGGATAGTATTTTTTACTATATTTATCACTTTTTTCCTTTATTATTATTATCATTATATACCTCGAAGCGTAAATACCAAATCTTTTCTTATTTGATAACTCAAATTTTTAAAACAAAATTAAACAAATGTTAATCAAAATTAATTAAGAAACTAAAAATAACAAAAAATTGTCAAAAAAATAATAAATATAACTCTTTTGAGAATTTTTATAATTTAATGTATTAATCAACAAGTTTTTTTGATAATATCATTTGATTTGTGACATTCAGTTTTTTCATGCCCTTCTTTAAATATTTAGAATCCAAAGAGTATTTATGAAAGATTTTTCAATTTTGAAAAGTTGGGAAAGGGGAAAGTGGGAAATAAGTAGAATGGGAAGAGAAGAGTATTTACAATTACAGAGGTCGCTGTTGAAATCCAGCTGGGAACCAACAGTCACAGAGGATGCATCGTCTTATTTGAATAAACTTCCAAACTGCACAGAGTCTCTCATTTTGTTACTTTATATTATATTATTAGGGCGGTTGCACTTTAGACCCAACATATATATATATATATACAGTTAACTTATTTTATAACTTCACTTAATTTTTAAATAGATCACTGTAATTTAAAAGTTATAATCAGATCTTTATATTTTAATTGACTCGTCATTCTTCAATAATTATTAAGTTATCAGAGGCTATTTAAAAATCAGTTTAAATGCAATAGATATAAGATAATGAGAGAGTAATAATGTATTCATATTTAGAAAAGAATGATAAATACATTAATTCTGATTTTTAATAATTAATAAAAAATATTAAATATATAATTTAAGAATACAAAAATATAACAACAATGATAACAATAATATGTAACTAATTTTTTAAAATATTTATTTGTAAAAATATAAGTTACATGATAATTTTATAAAATTAATATTATAATTAAGCATTATTATAATTTTTTTCTAAAATTAATTATATATATTTTTAAATATTATTGTGTTTTAAAATTATATATTTACAACTTTATTGATTAAATATTGATGATTTTATCAGTAATATTTTAATTCAATTAATTAAATTATATTATAAAAATAATTGAATGTGATTAGTTATTTTTCCTTAAAATTAAGTCAATTCAATTTAAGGATGCTCCAAAGTTTTTCACTTTTGCCCACTGACTGAGAAGGTTGTAATGTCCTGTTCGACGAATTAAGTGACCTGCAAAAATTGGTTTGGGCTCTGTTTGGTTTAATCGGAGAACTGCAGAAGAATATATCTTCCTTCAAACTCTAAACTTCTAATTTTTCTCATTGTGAAAAATATGTATATTTTTTACTTTAATAACATGTTTATATATTCATTAACAAACACAGCTTTTTTTTAACATAATATTAACTGTATTGCCGCTTTAATATTGTTAAATAAGAAAATCTATATCAATTTTAATAATTATATATTTAAAAAAGATTTTATGATTCCAACAATATCTATTATGTAAAAATAGTTTTATACATAAATGTTTTCAGACATAAATCAACATGCTATGTTCACTTTTAACAAAATTTAGTTTTTTTTTTTCGAATTAAGTTATTTAAAACCATGTTTATAAACCCCTACTAACTTTTTTAGAATTAAGTTTACATAAACTATTGTATTGTGTTGGATTTTATCATACATGGTAAAGAATCTTGCTTATGTTAGATAAAACTATTAAGAGTCACAAACTCTCCTTCTAAGCTGTGCTATATATTTAAAAGAAAAAAAAAAGTTGTCATCAATATTAATTTTACTTGAGTCGAGTAATATTATTTTATGTAAAAAAATAACTGTGCTCAATGATTAACATGGTAGTGTTTAGATTTCACATATCGAATTAAAAGTAAAGAAAATATCAAGACATTGGTTGAAAAAATATTAGCAAGAGCATAAAAGTAATATTTGGTTCTACCAAAAATGGGATTGCCTTCACAGATAAGAAAAGTGTGCACCAATGGATGGATGGTGGCAGTAGATGAGAAAGTGAGAGCAAAAATTGGCCAATTCTCCTGAATCCTCTCTTGACTATATATGTTTACCCATGAAATGTGATCTGACTAGATTAAAATCCTTGTTAATGGAGTTTAATCGTTAAGCATAAGAAGAAAAATTACTGAGATGCAAACACAAGAGTTCAAAGTGAGAGAACCAAAAGATATTGGTTATACAGTCATATTAGAAAAATGACCAAAATTGCTATTGCATTTGAATGCATCATTCTTGAAAGTTCAAATCCGACTCAGCATATGAAGAATATAATGGTAAGTTGAACTTTGTAAGCGATCCATTATTTCAGTGAAAAGAAAACAGGGAAAAAGAAAGCAGCAGTTGGAAAAGGGGGGACCATAGTAGCAAATTTGTAGCATGATTTTGTATGACAATTTAATGAAAGTAAGGTTTTGAAAAGGTAAGATTTCAAATTTTTTAACTTTATAGTTTTAAAAATAAAATAAGAGTTTATTAATAAGTTAATTTATGGATATATTTTCCATGAGAATTAATATACTTTCGCACTATTACTAATATTTTAAAAATTAATATATTGAAACAATCCTTGGGCTGTGTAATTTGCATGTTTGCAAGAAGACAGGATATTATTGTCTTGTAGGGTCTGCCTTCATTGAAATGGATAAATAGTAAAAAAGTTGTTTGTTATAAACTATATCTTCTTTTTGAAAATTATAATATTAAATTATCAATTTGATAATTTATGTATTAAATAATTAAATACATTCACTTACCCGTATAATCAACAAATATTTGTTAATATAAATTTTATAAAAAAAAAGATGAAAAAATATTAACAAATAGTATATCTAAAAGTAAATTTTCATTTGTTATAACTAAGACAATAAATTATTGATGACTCTTATATATAAAATGGAGAGAATATTTTAGGCTTTTGCTAACTATTATTTCTTCAATTTGTCTTCTTCGACGCTTTAACAAAATTATTATTATCATTTTTATAAACTAAGGAATTATTATTATTATTATTATTATTATTATTATTATTTATTTGGTAAAGAACGATAAAACTGGTGAAATATTAATTAATATAATACATAAAGATTATAATAGAAAGTTAAGAGTGTTTTTTTTATAAAAGTTAAAATATAAATATTTTTCTTAATTTATGTGTAAAATCTTAAACTGTAAATCAATACAATGAAAGAAATATTCTCTTCAAATTTTTATAGAAAATAAATATACTATTTTGTTTTAATTTTACAAGTAGAGACCTAAATTTAGATATATTAACATCTTTATATATTATTAATTCTTAATTAACGAGACATTCATTCGTTATTTATATAAAAATATATATTTATTCTTTTATTGTATGAAGTATCAGTTTAACTGATTAATGTTTCAAGTATTTTTAAAAAATATTTTTTATTCAAATTTTATTTTGCCTGTTTTTGTTTTGTTTTTATCATTTAAATTATTTTGTATATTGTGCCTCGGAAGTTTGTTTTGGGTGTGGATTAAGAATACAGGGACAATTATATGTTTTGGTTTGGGTCTATTGGACAATAAAATCTTATTTCATCATGAGCCTTAGAAAGCCCAATTCAACAAGGCTCAATTAACATAGTTGGGTCCTTCTGTAGCTAAGACTTAAAGAAAGGGTTCAATTATTGTAAAATTAAAAAATAAAATTTCAGAATAAGTAAGTTTATAAGAAATATCAATCATATTAAACATGTAGACACAAAATTTAAATTACGCTTTACATCTTCAAACTTAAATTTAAAAGCTTATATATATATATATATATTGCAATATTTACGAAGCTTCAATACCAGTACATAATATTACAAGTATGCTATAAGCACAAGTTTGGACAATTCTAAGGGTGCATTTTAATATATTTTCAAAACATCTTATTCTGAAAGAAATGCTGTTTCTAATTTATGAGAAAATGATTTTTAAAATTTTTTGAAAAAAAATCCTAACATTTTAGGTATATTATTCAAAAATATATTTCATTGATGTTTTTTTTAATAAATTGCATGATGACATTTTTCATATTGTAATTTATAAAATTCAGAACCATTTACCCCTTTAGAGCTTCATGAATTCCCATGGCTGGAGCAAGACTGGAAGAGATATATCATTCTATAATATTATTTTAATATTTAATAAAAATGTTAAAAAATAGTTTTATTTAATATTTGTAAATATAAAAAAAAGACGAGATACTTTATTTATTTATGAATTAAAACAATTGTTTACAAATATCGTAAACGAATGAGTTCGTGTTCACTCAAACCTAATATTGCATAAAAGGATTGTTTATATTGATTATTAAATTTTATAATTTGTTTATAATTAGACACCCTGAACTTTAATTTTAGATTCATTATTTATGCAATATTATTAGTTTTGTATTCCAATTAATCCTTGAACTTTATAACTTTTATAACTTGCTCCTTCTATAAAATAAATTAAAAATAAATTACGAATAAATAAATATAAATAAACAATCATTTATCTAACTTAAATCTTTGTTATTCATTATTTTTTAGTTAGAGTTCATTTTTCCAAGCATCAAAATATAATGAATATTGAGTTAAAGATAAATGCTTTTGACACGATTTAAACACTTTTTAACCATGAAATCAGTCTTTAAATGTTTCTAACACCTCAACTTTATACAATTCTCTTATATAAATAATTTTCCCGTGGATTTACATAATCTTTTGATACTTTCATTTATTGGTATAATCATCCACTGTGTCACCCAAACTCATAGTTTAAAAATAAATATTTTTTTAAAATTCATATCCTCACTTTTATTTTTGCAATACGTTTTTTTTTTCCCTTACAATTACATCACACATTTTATCCCATTATTTATTTCTTCCTATTTCTGTGCTGGTTATAAATTTTGTTATAAAAATATAAATTAAGAATAGCATTTTTTTTTTCATTTAAAAAGCCTTGAAAAATCAAACTTATGGTAAATGATAGAGGATATCAGAATTACGTTATAACTTCATAAAGAAGAAAAATTATGCTTGTTGCATTGTGATTTTTTTGTTATTATTTTTTAAATACTGACTTCATTTTTTATCTGTTTATTTTTAAAGAAACTATTTACTCTCATTTATGTTTGTTTAAATTTGTTGACGTGCTGTAAAATAGACAAATAAAAATAAAATTTGAAAGCCTTTTATTTCTATTTTGAAAGATATTCGCTTACATATTTTTTTTCCAGTACAGATTAATTTTAATTTTTTAATAATAACTTCTTAATTTTTTAATACATTATTTAATAATAACATAACATATATTTACTTAATAAAATTTTCTAAGTGACCTGTAATATAACACGTGTAACTGTATATTAAGTCACTAATAGATAGCAGTGATAAAAAAAATACATTTTAAAATATTTTAAATTTACAAGAATCAAATAAAAAAAATTTAAATACTAAAATTAAGCTCAAGTATATTTATCAAGAGTAAATTATACTCTATCTTATGTAATTCTATATTTCCATGTTACTTAAACTTCCTCTAACATTATTTGTTAACACTTAATTTTATAAAAATATATAAAAACTACTAAAAAATGAAATATAATTTCCCCATTTATAAAGATTAAAATATATATTTTATAAAGGGTAAAATTAAAAATATATTTTACTAAAAGTAAAAGAGGACCGATGATAACAGGAAAAGCTGGTCAAATAAGTGAACTGAAAAGCAAAAGACAAACCTGGTGGATCCCAGTGCAGAAGATTCGGATGCCTTGAGCGTGCCTTTGATCTTTTTCCCGGTCAAATAAGTAAAACATTTGCATATTTATTATTATAAAGTATTGATATTAATAAAAAATGTATTTAATTTAAGTAAAAATAATATTTACTATATAACTATTTTGACTCGTAAAAATTATTATTTTTTCATTCCCTTAGAAAAAGAACAGTGTTTTTTGGTGCCTAAGCAATGCAGAGTGCATAATATTGTCTTCTTTTAGTTTTTTTTTAACACCTGCAAATATTTGTCGACTACACATTAAAGTCACGTCCGTACCCGACATTAATATAAACGCATGGTGAAACTCTTTTTTGGATTCTAGCTAATATTACTTGCTTCTGACTCTCCGGATTAATACGAATAAAGTTTATTTACCATTTAAACTTAATTTTATATAACATGGCACGTTTTAATATAAATTTTATTAACTTAAATACACATCTTAATCATATTTAATAATTTTAAATTAAAATTCATATATTAAACTTTAAAAAAACTAGATGCTTAATCGTACAAGTTAAGTTAATTACTATTCAATAAATTCAATTTGTAGAATATGGACTACTTGGAAAATGACACCCTTACACTAATAATCTCTAGTTCTAAAACATAAGCAATTTCTTTTTAAGTTTAAACTATAAGTATTTTTTTATTTGAGATAATGTTATTTGAATTGAAAGATATATATTTCTGGTACATACAGTGTAAATGGACAAAGGGATACGTCAATACATTATATCTTAAAAAAAGGGGTAAAAAAAAAACTTATACTACTAAAACTTAATACAGTCTTGAAAATTTACGCAGAAAATATTTTAACTTAAATAAAAAAAATGCAACTTATTTAAAAAGAATGACTAATGTATACTGTACAGTAATAGTTGGCTGCAGCTCTTCAATGAAACCGAAGGGCGAAGGCGAATTAGTTTTGAAATTGTGTGCCTTTTCACTGGGCCGAAGGTTAAAATCTTAGTCATTTTTAATTTCGTTATACCTTTTCACGAGGACAATAATGTCAAGATGTTGGTATCTTTTTAAGATAATGTAATAATTTTTATAGATAAAAAAATACATGAAAAGATTTCATAGCATTTTGAGAGAGAGAGAACCACGTTAACAAGTATATCTTGTATGTGGGTATTTTTTAATTAAGTTCGATTTAAAATATAATTTTTTAAAATTAAAACAATATATAATTACTAAATAAATAAAAATAAAAACAGTTTATGAGTATTTGTGACAATAATAATTTTAAAATTAAAAGACAGATGCTAAATATCAATAACCACATGTTATATAGAATAGTAATATATTAGATTGTAACATACATATACGTATATGACATTTTTATATTCACGATTTATAAAAATTAAATTATGATAATAAATGTTTGCTTATACGGTTAGTAGATAAGAAATCTTCAAGTCGAAAACTCTCACCGAGTTAATTATTTATTGAGTATGATTGATGAGTAAGAAATGCAAATTCTATATATAAGTCAAGTAGGTTTATATTTATTGTTATATACATACACACGTTTTTTCCTCCTTATTTCTGCTATATAAGTCAAGTTGATCGTGATTTGTGACCCATAAAAAAAAAAAGTCAAGTTGATCTTCGGTGTTCGTATGGAAATAAAGTTGATTTCTTTATTTTGGTATACAAAGTCTATTTGATCGAGACAAGAAAGTTTAATTGCAAGAAATGCAATTTAAGATTCAATCAGGTATATATATTTTAAATATTTAACACAATTAATATTACTAATAGTTAAGTTAAACGTTTTATTGGTTACAATGATTTTATTCAATAAAAAAATTTTGTAGTTTAAAAAATTAATATTTTTAATCAGTTATATAATAAAAACTTGAACACAATAAAATTTATGAAAAATATACTAAATTCTGTAATATTATATATTTTTAACAAAAAATGATTAGATTTAAATGAGAGTGTATTATTATGAGTTTTGTAAAGCTGGCGCGTTTGACAGAGCACAGGGAATGAAGAAGTACGAGTGCTTTCCCTATTGCCTCATTCTCTGACCTCTCACGCTTGCCACCGCCACGTGTCGGAAACACTCAACAAGTGGGACCCACAGTGCTCCTCCTTCTCTCAACCCTCTTCCTTCTCCAGCTCCTATAACACCAACAACGCCACGCGCTCTCTTCCTTTTCCTGTCTCTAGCTGTCGCCGACGATTGTTTATTCTTTCTAATTTATTTTAATTAACTCTTTAATATTACTTCTCTCCGACAATATTCCGGATCAAGCAAGCTCCCAAATTACCTTCGAATCGAAGCTCAATTTCTTAGGGTTTCCGAATCCTGTATGTGTTTGTGTCGCAATTGATCATCGTAACTACAATGTCCGGTCCCCTCGATCGTTTTGCCAGACCTTGTGAGTCCCCTTTTCTTTTAATTCTTTACAATTATCGGTCAGTGTGAGAAAATATTGGGGGTTTCGTTACTAGTTGTTGATTGGTGCAGGTTTTGAGGGGTTTTCGGGCAGTGATGAGAAGAGGGAGAGGAGATCTGACTTTGAGAACTCTGAGGATGAAAGGAGGACGAGAATTGGATCCCTGAAAAAGAAAGCGCTCAATGCTTCCTCCAAATTCAAGCATTCTCTTAGGAAGAAGAGTGGCCGGAGAAAAAGCGATGGCCGTGTTAGCTCCGTTTCCATTGAGGATGTTCGCGATTTTGAGGAGTTGCAGTCTGTCGATGCCTTTCGCCAATCCTTGATTATGGACGAATTGCTTCCAGAAGCGTTTGATGATTACCATATGATGTTAAGGTACTTCAAGGAGTTATTTTTTAAATTAATTTTCAGTTATAAATTTATTCTTCTCCAGTAAATTTATATGTGGAGCTGCGGGACATTCTAATTTTCTGGGGTAAGAAAATAAAAGTGAAACCCTAGTTTGGTGTTAAAGATTTTGGCCAAATGAGCTTACGTCTGTATTTTCTCGATTTTGTTATTCTAAAGATTTCTGAAAGCAAGGAAATTCGATATTGAAAAAGCAAAACATATGTGGGCTGACATGCTACAATGGCGGAAGGAGTTTGGTGCTGACACTATTCTGCAGGTAAATGAGGGTACAGTTTGGGACATTCATTTGGCTTTTGCAGTTATGCTTCTTCAAGTTTAAGTAAAAGGAACAAGACATACTTTTTTACAGTGGTTCATTGCCTTACCTACTACTTCATGTTTTCATCAGGATTTTGAGTTCAAAGAGTTGGATGAAGTTGTGAAGTATTATCCACATGGCCATCACGGTGTTGATAAGGAGGGAAGACCTGTTTATATTGAAAGACTGGGAAAAGTTGATCCAAACAAACTTATGCAAGTTACAACTATGGATAGATACGTAAAGTACCATGTGCAAGAGTTTGAGAAAGCTTTTGCAATAAAGTTTCCTGCTTGCACTATTGCTGCCAAGAGGCACATCGATTCCAGCACCACGATCTTAGATGTTCATGGAGTGGTGTGTTTACTGTAATTATTCCTATTTGCTTGCATTGACTGTAAATCGAAGTTCTATAACATACAAATAACTTATTTGTTATATATTTGACATTATTAGGGCCTTAAGAACTTTACAAAGTCTGCCCGGGAACTTATTACACGGTTGCAGAAGGTTGACGGTGATAATTACCCTGAGGTGTGTTGTCATGTTTCATAAGTAATTTTTGCTAGTTTCTTTTTGAATGTTGATTTCATCAGTTATTGGAAAGAAGACAGATCATGATCACAGTGACTAATGATTCTTTTATTTTATTAATATGATACAGACACTTTGCCAAATGTTTATTATAAATGCTGGCCCTGGTTTTAGGCTGTTGTGGAACACCGTCAAATCTTTCCTTGATCCCAGAACAACTTCAAAGATTCATGTATGTAAACATGCCATCTTCTAGCTATTTAAAGGTTTGTTTATTGGTGGTATAATGCTGCTGACACTGCTTGATGACATTACTTAGGTTCTTGGAAACAAGTATCAAAGCAAATTGCTTGAAATAATTGATGCCAGGTACTTAGTGACTCCATTTTTTATATGTTTTTAGATTAATCTCTGCAGTTTAGAATTTTTATATTGATGTTTTTCTTTTCTATTGACTGATGCTTCATAATTTTTTGCTTTGCTGCAATTTACATGACACTTATAATGCCTAATATTATTGTGCAATTAATGAAGTGAGTTGCCAGAATTTCTCGGAGGTTCCTGCACTTGTGCAGATCAGGGGGGTTGTCTTAGATCTGATAAAGGGCCCTGGAAAAACCCTGAAATATTGAAGGTTATATGCTGTTCTTGGTTAATTTTCTATGGGTTTGGTAGATGGTATAATATGTCAATCTGACAATATAATAGGCTGACAGTTGATTGCATATGAACTTTCTGCAGATGGTTATTAATGGTGAAGCACGGAGGGCAAGGCAAGTTGTAAAAGTTCTTAACAGTGAGGGGAAGGTTATTGCATATGCCAAGCCAGGATACCCTATGGTAATTCTGTTTTTGATGGAGCCAAATTTGATGCCTTCATACCTTTTGCTCAATGTCCTGCTAATCATTTATCATTTTTTAATTTTGTTACCTCTACCTAACAGGTAAAAGGCAGTGATACATCTACTGCTGAATCAGGGTCAGAAGCTGAAGATATATCCTCTCCAAAAGCGATGAAGAGTTATTCACACCTTAGGTTGACCCCGGTCCGTGAGGAAGTGAGTGTTTGACCTGTTATTGAAGTTGCTATTGATTGTCTTATTGTGTGCACCCTCTGCTGCCTTGCATTTATTACGCAATAAAATTTGTTTCATAATTCTTGCACTTATTATATCATGTACTAATTTAAATGTACAATAATTAGAAAGTGGTCCACAATACTAAAAAATATCATGATGATGATAAAAATAAAATGTTTGGAAACCTTTTCAGATGATTTCTCTGTTTTATACCAAAATATAAAGTTGTTTGCATTTGTGTTTTTTGTCAGGCTAAGATAGTTGGAAAATCAAGCTATGCCAGTAACTTGTCTGGGTATGATGAATACGTACCCATGGTAGACAAACCTGTTGATGCTGGCTGGAAGAAGCAAGCATCTCTACAGAGGTCTTACACTTCAAAAGGTTAGTAACTTTTGACCTAGTATTTATTGATGGACCCTTTTGATGAATCCTTTCATTTTGCTTATTCACTGAAAGTTCATCCAATTGTACAAATGCTCCTAAGGTTACGATATTTTGATAGGCTTCATGCTTCTTCACTTTGGTTGTTATTGAGTTATTAATTTTGCCTTAGATCTATGATGATTGTGTCTGTAGACTATGTTGCTTCTTTCCATTATAAATGATGGACATGCCTTTAATTTTGGGATTTTTTTCAAGTATTTATATGTGTATAGTATAAAATATCTTGCATACATAATCTTCAGTATAATGGTCTTTTGCTATTCACTGCCATGCTAGGATTGACAACTATAGATCCTTGACATAGTATCCAGTTCCAGACTTGTCTTCAATTAAATCTCAAAGGGCTTTACGTGATGGGGTCTATTGGAGAGAGAAACCATTCATGCACATGTATTCAAGAGTTTAAGTTATGTTGCTTGATAGTGTAACTTGCTTTCTTGATTTGAATTATTTTGACACAATTTTCTCTACAAATTTAAATTTAATTTCAATTCAGGAGCGCCTCCTCTTCTTGACACTAAGAAAACTCCAGAAGGGGTTCAAGCTCGGATTTGGGTAGCACTGTCCGTATTCTTCTTGACCATATTTGCTCTTTTTCGTCAAGTTGCGTGCCGTGTGACCAAGAAACTTCCTGCATTATCATCTAATGATGATCAGAGTACTTCAGAACCAACTCTTGATACGACAAACAAGGAGGTTCTTCCTCCATCAACTCCAACATGTACAGAGGAAAATCTTCTTCCCTCCATGCTGAAGAGGTTAGGTGAGCTTGAAGAGAAGGTTGACACACTCCAATCTAAGCCATCTGAGATGCCTTATGAGAAAGAGGAATTGTTGAATGCTGCTGTTTGCCGGGTGGATGCTTTAGAAGCTGAGTTAATTGCTACTAAAAAGGTAGGATGCTACATGTTTGTTTTTCACTGCTATTGAAGAATATACTGCCGTAGCAATCCACTTAATAGTTATGGAGTACATGTGTAAAGCATTGATATATTCCATTCCTTCTTTAAATTTAAAACTAAAAACATGCCATTGCTTTGTGACTCTGATTGCACATTGTGCTACATTTTTAGAAAGAAAGTTTGCTAACTGCCTGGAATTGAGGCTTGTTTGTGCATTTCAAAATGGCATAGTATAGGGTTGGGATGGGAAGAATACAGTATCATATTGATTCCTTATCTGAGTTTGGTCCTGATCTTTGAATTTGGTGATTTGTGCTTAGGCTCTCTATGATGCGTTAATGAGGCAGGAAGAGCTGCTTGCTTACATTGACAGACAAGAAGAAGCCAAGTTACGGGTAAGTTGGCTACTGTATCTTTTGAACAAAGTTAAAACCTTAAAGGATCATTTTTCAGTTTTTTGATATTTCTATTTCCTTCATTTGCTTTATTTTAATCAGAAAAAGAAGTTTTGCTGGTGAAATTTATTTCTGAAGAAGAGATTCTGCAGAGGAGGATGTTTCTCTAAGCATGGTTGCTTTTAAGGAGACACTTTTCACATCATGTAACTCTGACCACTGATCTTCAGTACAACATGAGTAAAAGTAATGGAAAATTGTTTCAATGTGTGTATATCCAGAACGATTACTGGCTTGTAAAACACAAGCTTTTTTGTTTTGGTCGTGGCTACCTTCTTTTATCCTTGTGTTTAATTTGTTTACCTTGGTTGAAAAGCCTTCTCATTTACTTGCACCGAGTATTTTCTCAATGATGCTAAAATTGGTGGGATGCGAAACTGATGCTTGAACTTGACTAGGATTGCCTGTTACTTTTTGTCCTTCGGTTTTTTGTAGATCCGCTTTCTATAATAGTAAAATGTTGCTCTGTCATTCTTTCCTGTGATGGCTTCCTAGTTGGTCACTAGGGGTGTTGACAATCTTGCTAAGATTTTTTGGAGCCAGGCTGATCTTTTTTGCTAAGCGTTAAAAAAGCCGTGTCACATGAGCAATGAATTAGTGTTTCTAAAATGTCTTCGGTCGCAGATATGACGGATGTACATTCAGTTGATAAAATTATTTTGGTTGTAGTTGTTGACAAGATGGTTCGAAGAAACTCTTCCTTTTTAGCAAAGGGTAGATTTTAGGGAAGAAAACAAGGTTTTAGTATTTTATTTTTGGGGCTTTTACTTATAAATTTGATTTAAGTAAAAGAAGGAAAATACGGTTCATGATGATTTGGATGTTCAAAATAGTTCCGAAAACATCTTTTGCATGGAATTTGAAGATTTGCTAAGCCGAAGGGTTACAATGATAAAGCAAAAATAGTGTTACTTTCAATGGCTTTGAGACCAATAATTTGGAAAGCAAGCTAATCTGATTTTTCTTAAATTGAAACGTGCCTTGTTTTATTCAAGATGTACAGAATTGTCAAGAAATGGCACACGGTTATATTGCACAGAAGTTTTTAAACAAATATCGAATAAAGCAAACAGCTGAGTGCGATAGGCACTCGATGAGGCTGGTGGTATATAAAATTACAACTCTTCCTGATGTAAAATATTTGATGTCACACAGCAAAACACGGTCATGACCTTACCAGTGGAAGCGGAACTGTACTCACAAACCCAGAAGTGTGTTAACAGAAGTACTAGATACTATATAGACGAATTTTAAAGAAATGTGGCAGGTATGACGTACCAGCTTCTTTTTCTTCTTTTTCTTATCAATTTGAGCTTGGAGGTCTACTTGTCGAGCAAGGGCATCATCAAGTGCCTAAAGCCAAAATAGGAAGCAACATAAACTTCAAATATGTTAGCATTAATTTCATTCCCCAAATATTCAGGGCATTCAAGTATCTAGGAAAGCCACTAAACCTTTTTGGTTGAAGCCAACTCTTGTTCCAGAGTACTGACTCTGCTAAGAGCATTATTCAGCATTGCCTCCTTTTCGGGTGGCATGACTGGTTTCATGCTGAGAACAGTTATTTTCTCTTCTAGTTCTGCCATGCGCTTCATCATGGCCATGTAATCATTGTTAGAAATGGTGGGCGCTTTCATCATAGTGCCATCATAATATACTGTGCTGCCATAGAGTGCTGCTTCAGTGATTTTCCTTGGCATGTTCTTTGTCATGCGGATCATGGTTACAATTCCCATAACAAAGGCCATGATTCCACCGACAAACTGATTGCTAGCCCCATCAGACATCTTGCTATTATTGTTTGGGAAACAATCTGCAACTTTTGAAAAATGAAGTTATAATTTTAACAGTCAGATTAAAATGATAGCTTGCTTGTTCATGAAGAAAAACACCGATGATATTGTTCAAATCCATATACAAAAGCAACAGACATGACGCATTGGGCAGCAGTGTAAGGGAAAATTCATTCACATAGACGTAAGAACAATCATATATGAGTGAGTACTTAGCACCTTTATCCCCACAGTTGGAAAAGGATCTGATAATTTTTCTTTTACTTTATAAATTCATATATGTGCATGCGTGCAAGTCTCGTTGTCTGACATGCAACATTTGTTTGTATAAACAACTCTCCTTTCTTAATGCAACAACTTTAGTTTGCAACTCATTATGTAAAAATTACCTATTTTTGAGCAACTACCACTGAATTTACTTATTTTTAATACCTTTAGAAAGTGCATTTTTATCATTCTTCCAAGATGGATCAACTGGCTTGTCAAGGACTGGGTCAAATGCGTCATATTGATAAGCACCACATTGCTTTAAGACCTGCAATGCATATAATTCCCAAAAAAACAGGTTAGCTGTGGAACTAGAAACTGGAGAAATTAGTATGACCTCTGAAATTTTGATTTACGTTATATCATGTAATGAAACTTACTTTTGGCGATATACATGGCACATCGTATGTCTCCGGAAATGATTCTTTGCATCCCTTAATATTATAGGCAAAAAAAGTATACTAAGTTAACAAATATTCTGACAAATAAATACAAGTTTTAGGACAAAGCTTTGCATTCTGAAATTGCCAAAAAGTGGAAAACTTATTACATTATGACGTGCTGTTTCATCTTCTATGATTGTTTTCTCCTGAATGCCAGATAAGGTTTTTCTCCGGCATTTGCCCTCTCCATTTTGAACCATCTAATTCATTCAGAGGAAAATGCCTTATTGTTTTTCTTTGCTATATATATAACTAAAGAAAGTGATGTTTCTGCAGTAAACTACCTTCAAGATATCAGGGTCATTCCAAGGCCCCTTGTCAGAAAGCATACAGCCACCTTTATCTGCACAAGTACAAGTACCACCCAAGAATTCTGGGAGTTCACTGGTAAATACAATAGACAACAGTGTTATTTATAGTCATAAGGAGTAATGCCAGTGCCACAATGGAATAACTATTTACAAATCAATGAATTTGATCAAGGAGAGATGACATTACTCAAGTCCAATTTATGTCACAGCAAGACCTTGGATAGCCTAAATTTCTACGGAGATGAGTATGAAATAAAATGCTTCAATGAGAAAGGAGATAAATATAACCTGGCATCAATGATTTCAAGCAACTTGCTCTGGTATTTGTTACCTAGGACCTGATTAATAAGTCATTAATTGTTCAGTATCCCTACTTGGCTAAAATTGATCTCGGTTCAAATTGATAAGTAGACTAAAAATTCTTACATGGATTTTTGAGGTGGTCTTGGGATCTAGGAATGACTTAATGGTATTCCACAATAGCCTAAATCCAGAACCAGCATTGATGATGAACATACGGTTCAGAGACTGTGTAGAAAGGAAAGTTCAATTAGGCTAAATTTAGAAGGTCATTCAAACAGTTGCCATGCCTATAAAGATAAACCAATACCTCAGGGTAGTTGTCACCATCAATCTTCTGAAGCCGCTGGAGAAGATCCCTTGCAGCTTTGTTCAAACTTTTAAGACCCTGAGCAAGCATGCTAGTCAGCAATTGTGTGAAACTTCTTTACACACAAAATACATAATATCAATTGATATGATATCCACAAGTGTAATTGGAAATGGACATTGCCTTGTTAAATTTATGGTGACTATCATTTAAATTTTAAGGTGTAACAATAGCTCTTTTTATGTTATTGGCTTTTCTTTGATAGAGGGATTGGAGATCTGAAAAATAGCCAGCGTTTTGTACCCACCACTCCTTGCACATCCAAAATAGTTGTGCTTTGGTCAATGTGCTTCTTTGCTGCGATGGAACAGGCAGGCAACTTAACAGCAAAGGTCCTCTCAAACTCTTTTACATGGTACTGGAGATAACGTTCCATTGTTGTTACTTGCATCAGCTTGGTAGAGTCAACCTGACCCAACCTTTCAATGTAAACAGGTCGTCCATCCTTATCAACCCCATGATGCCCTTGCGGATAGTATTTTAGAACTTCATGGAGTTCCTCGAATTCAAATTCCTTATAGACCAAAAAAATTATGATTAACATGAATAAAAAGTTATACCACAACATGAAGAGTAATTTTCCTTTTTTAATAGGGTTACCTCCGTGATAGTGTCAGCACCAAATTCCTTCCTCCACTTGAGCATATCAGCCCACATTTGTTTTGTTTTCTCAATGTCAAACTTTCTTGCTCTCAAGAACCTGGATCATTGTACAGTTAAATTATAGGGCCATTAGATTAGAACTGTGAAAACAAGGCATTAAACAAAGCTACTCATGCTACAGCAATAAACAAATAAATCACTGAACAATAAACTATGTCAGAAGGCTACCTTAGCATCATGTGATGATCATCATGTTTTGAGGGTAATAGCTCTTCCAAGATAAGTGCTTGACGAAAAGCATCGACTGCTTGCAACTCTTCTGCATCAAGTTCATCCACTATAGAAACAGACATAATTCTGCTGTGCCTGCGCCCCTTCTTGGCAAAGGAATGCTTGAACTTAGATGAGGCACTCATTGCCACCTTCTTGAACGACCCGAGCCTCTTTGTCTTCCTTTCATCCTCAGAATACTCAGTTTCATTACCTGTGTTTGAAAGAAACAAAAAATTACTCTTAAATGTTTGAATAAGATGATTATAGAAAGCAAGAAATTCATACGCTAAACATCTTCTTCATCTTTCTGCTGTTGTTTCTATTAACAACCTTAGCAAATATAAATTGCATGTTTTCCCAATAGCATAACATCTAAACTTATAACTGCTTTCTGTTTGTTATCGGGTCAACATTTTCCCTAACGAATGGTGCCACGCATTATTGGCTGTGGAGTTCATATCCTTACAATTTTATATATACATTCAATAAACCATAAACATCAATCCGTTGTTTTTGTTTTGAACTCCTATTAGAGTTGCTGCAATGGAAACCAATTCATAGAAGAAGTCAACAATCGTGTTCATTTCTGTCATTGATCCTCATTTTGGTAAGTGGCATGCATAAGCTTTAATGTAATATGATAATCAACTAATCATCTATTTAGACACTTTCTCTCATCATCAATTATCACACATTAAAAACCTGCAAAAATTTTATGGCATATCATTCCACATTCTAGCTAGTATAAACATAACCATATAGAATAGATAAAGATTTCATAGTGCATGCATGAAATATAAGTGAATGATGACAAAAAACTTAAGGAATTACACTTACCAAGTTTCATGGGTCGGTCAACAGGGGCGGCAATAACGTCACACATGATTAATTGAATGTTGTGGTAGCTTATATTCAATGAAAAAAGCAGCCCTATGGCAAAAGAAAATCAAGTACTAGAATACATCAATAACCCACAATGGAGCTTTCACGTACACCTACACGATTTAGCCGCGAAAAACAAGTCAGAAGCATATAAAGCCAAATCTTTATGCAACAAAACAATCAACATCTTTATAATCAGCATGCATGGACGAAATGAAAACCGACAAAAAGAAAGAAAGATATCTTAATGACCAAATACTGTTCAAGCAAATAGAAATGCTAAAATGGTATCCATAAGTTTATGAATCAACATGATGTTCATAGTTAATGAAAGAGGATGAAAGAATCTCAGGAGACGATACCTTGATACAGGAATGTAGGGGTTGCAAAACCAAGGGAAAAGTGAAAATATATGACATAAATATATCTCTAAAAGTGTTGCCATTATGGGATACGAAGGGTAATCCAGGTTGGTACAGCTGCTAGACAATTTTAGAGTTTGCTATTTTTTAATGTTTATTTATTGTCATTATCCACTGTCCATTGAAAGGGTCTTCATAATTAGGTGATTAATTGTTAGCTTCAGTTGATACGAGAGGTGGAGTTGTGATTGCCGAAATGCAAGCCATTCCGTTGCTTCTCATATTATTTCTTACCATCTCATACAACTTTTTTGTCTGTCCACCGTATTCTTACGTTACATAATTTTTCTTCCAGTTAAGTACTCTCTACATCCATACTTCTATTCCACATTTATAAGATTATAACATAACCAAAAAAGAGAAAACATTGATGTTCCAAAATTATATATGTGACCACGTTAAGTTTTATCTATAAGAATTAAATTAAAATTGTATAACACAAAAAAAGTATAATTAACACACGTAGGATGTATGTATATACAATTTCTCTGAGTCTAATTTTATTTGATTTTTTGTTGTGTAGGTTTGCTTCTTCTTTAATTTAATAAATCAAATTCAACTTATAAAATTTTGCTTGATTGGAGAGACTATTTTTTATGGAATTGTTTAGACTAATTTGAGGTGGGTGGTGGAAAGGATTTAGCTGGACATAACATGGGGCTCCACTAAGTCCAGATTCATGTCATGAACATTGGAGATGATGCTAAAACGAAAGTGTCATCCACGCCCATCATAACAACAATGGGAAAAGTTAACTTATGGAATTCATATATTTTGACTTTTTTATCACAATATTTTTTTAAAAATTATCTATAAAAATAATTGTATTTAAAAATTAATAATTAAAATGAATTAATTTAATAGTATTCAATAAACGTTGAAAAAAAAAGTATAATATTAAAATGTGACGTGTAATATTACAGTATATTGAGGCGCAACACAAATGAGTATGACATACTTTATGATTTAATGTGGATATTTTTTATTTTGTTAAACATTAAATATTTTCACGTGTTAAATTTTTAATATGTTATTCTATTTTTTATTTATTTTTTTACTCAGAAATTAGACGTATAACACGATTTGATGTGCTAACTCTTTTATTGATGAAGTTTAAATTTAAAAATTAAAATTTCTATCACTTTGAGAAAATTTGAACTTTATTTTTTTATGCTTTTATTAAAACAATTAGTTGAAAATTGCAATATTTAAATAATATTTAAAAATCAAATAAGTAAAAATTATAAGTAAACTATTGAATAAAATATATTATGAAAGGCTTGTTAAAAAATAAAAATAAATTATTAACCTCAACATGTGGTTAAAATTTAATTTAAGTATTTTAGTTATAAACTGTAATTAAATTTATTTTATTATATTTTTATATGCTTAATATAATACAATATTTAAATAAAATTTATTATTTTTAATATTTAAACTTAAGCATAAGACTGATACTAGCAAAACCTATAGTAAAGATTATAAATTTTTAAGACGAAAAGTTTAATTAATCAAATTAAACTATAAAAATTATCATAACTTATAAACCAGTGGGTTGATTTTTTGAGCGGTGAATGGCTTTTTCCCATTTACAGTCTCTCACTCAGTTTCCATTTTCCACTCTCAGCTCTTTCCCGTTGAAATGGTGATTACCACCATATTATCCTGATCATTTTTCTATTATTATATAATAATTATTCTTCCCGTTTGGATTTTGATATTGTTCCTCAGTTAAAAAGGTTCGTGGAAAATTTGTACCAACTTTTTTGTTTTTAGGTCACATTCCTTCCAAAATTGCTCGTTTCAGCTTGCCATCGGTCAGTTCCTCCTTCACATTTTTTGTTTTACGTTTTTTTTCCCATTTTACTGTGAATATGTTGCGTGTGTTGATCTTGTCTATGCGTTTTGTACAGTTATAGTGTAATATGCGCTTGTTTGATTTAGTTTAAGCGGTTAAACAGATTTTGGGAAATTTTGTTGTACTGCTTTGGCGGCTTCCAAATTTTATTGCATAGTCTTTGAGAAAATTTACTTTGTGCGGACGGGGAAATCGCGAAGCCAAAACATAGCATCATAATGGTCGTCACTGTTTTGCTGCATTGGTGTCATCTTTGAAGCAACTTAGTTCTTAGTTGGATAACCTTCTTGTTCATTCTTTGCTTAGTTATACACTGTGTCCCTTTCATCCCACAGTGATTTTTTTTCTTTAATTTTTTGTTGGTACATGAGCGGTGCCATTTATAGTTGTTAGTTCTAATATACTGCTTTTTGGGTTTCAGATTCCACTGCACTTCCAAAATAATTGGTTGTGCAGTCCTTGTTTTCCGACCACATCTTTAAGATTCTGTCGGCTTTTGAGTTCGGTAATGGCCAGTGATTCTTTTGTAATCTCCAATGGAGACAGTGATGGCAGTGTCCATCCACTACGGAACATGCAGAGGACTTACCAAGTAGTAGTGGCTGCCACTCAAGATATGGGCATTGGTAAGGGTGGAAAATTACCCTGGAGATTACCAACTGATCTCAAATTTTTTAAGGAGATTACTGTGAAAACATCTGATCCTGGGAAGAAGAATGCCATTGTAATGGGAAGGAAAACATGGGAGAGTATCCCTCTTGAGTTCAGGCCTCTTTCTGGTCGCCTTAATGTTGTTCTGACTCGCTCGGGCAGCTTTGATATTGCAACGGCAGAGAATGTTGTTATATGTGGAAGTATATCTTCTGCATTGGAGCTGCTAGCTGCTTCTCCTTATTCTCAGTCAATTGAGAAAGTATTTATTATAGGAGGTGGTCAGATATTTAGGTACATTTTTTTCAAAATATTTTTTTCTTCACCTGCTCTCCCTTTCATGTTAAGTTCTTTCTCTGCTATGGCTGATAATTTCCATGTACAGAGAAACTCTCTATGCACCTGGATGTGAAGCTATTCACATAACAGAAATTCAGTCAAGCATTGAGTGTGACACTTTTATGTCTCCAGTTGATTCAACTATATTTCGGCCATGGTACTCATCCTTCCCTAAAGTGGAAAACAACATCCGCTACTCTTTCACAACATATGTGCGTGTTAGGAGTTCTGCAACAGAGTCCCTGAGTCAGAATACTGATCCACCTTTTGATAATAATTCAGATTCCTTAAAATTTGAGGTCAAGAATTTTTCTTTTCTTCCTAAAATGATTTTTGAGAGACATGAGGAGTATATGTATCTTAGGCTAGTTCAAGACATCATTTCTGAAGGTTCAACTAGGGATGATAGGACAGGGACTGGTACCTTGTCAAAATTTGGTTGCCAGGTAACTTTTCAAAATTTCAATTGGTATATTGAGGATTGCTGTACTTTATATGCTGACTTTGGCTCTATATCTCCACAGACAAGGTTCAATCTGCGCAGAAGCTTTCCTCTTCTAACAACTAAGGCATGCAATAGACATTATTGTTCAATATGTGTTCGATCTACTGTATAAAATAACCAGTCTTTCATGTGAATTGTCTTCTTTTTTCTTTGGTTTTGATAATTATTTAGTTTTTCCTTTGGATGTATATTGGGGAAGAGGAATATCTTATTTGTAAATTTTGATAGAGAATTTGATTTGTAGAAAGTATTTTGGCGAGGGGTTGTTGAAGAACTTCTTTGGTTCATCAGTGGCTCAACAAGTGCCAAGGTAATGATATCTTCTGCTAATCTTTTCCACACACACATGAATTCTTAGTTTGGTCACAGACAAGCTGGCATGAGCCTAATATTGGGAACATGAGGTTGATGTGTTTTATATTATTCAAGCTTTGGTTTGAATACAGATAAAGTTTAAAGCTCAGGAGCTTTCAGGCCAACTCACATTCCTAGTATTATTTGTTTTTTATAACTTTATTGAACTTAAATAATATAATTGCATTTAATAAATCTATCTTTTATGCTCACTACCTTCATAGTTAAGAAAGAATGTGAAGATATATATATAAAAAAATGTGGTAAATGTTTCACATGTTCAAGGAGAGTTTGTTAAATTGTTGCTCAGTTCTTTTGTGAATAGTTAAAAGCCAGACTTAAGCAGCAGTGAACTTGTATGCACTGGCTCTTTGCCTATCAACATAAGTTGAGTTGCATTAGATCCGGCAGTCATTAAGGAAATTCCTGGAGTTGACTTTATATTGTAGAATGAAAAAATTAATGTATCTGTGATGCTGTGGATGGTTTAATAATATCACAGTTTGCACTTGCTTATCTGTTGTGGGATATAAAGGGTTACAGACTAAATTTCCAAGCACAAGGTTTCAATTGCATGAGCTGTTTAGTTATCAAAGAATCTTTTGTTGGAATAATAGATTTGATTATATGAAACTCATTCTCAAAACATTTTATACTGACAGGCGCTGCAGGAAAAAGGCATTCATATATGGGATGGCAATGCATCCAGAGAATACCTTGACAGGCAAGCATGACTATATATGGTAAATTCTAAGTACACTTTTCTTTACATTGTACTTAGTAATTGGCTTTACATTTCCTATTACAGAATTGGTTTGACAGAGAGGGAGGAGGGTGACTTGGGACCAGTGTATGGATTTCAGTGGAGGCATTTTGGTGCCAAGTAGGTGGATTATACCTTTTTTCTCAGTAGGTCAATAGATTGCATTATCTGGAATTGCTCAGCTCTTTGTTCCCTGTGTTACATTTAATAGATATGTCAACATGCATACTGACTACTCCGGCCAAGGATTTGATCAGCTTTTGGATGTTATTAACAAGATAAAGCATAATCCTGATGATCGGCGAATCATTCTCTCTGCATGGAATCCAGCTGATCTTAAATTGATGGCACTTCCACCCTGCCACATGTTTGCACAGGTTTGCAGCTTTTTTTGGGTTTCTCTTTCAAAAGAACTCTCTCTCTCTCCCGCCTTCCTTATATATGTATTAATTCTTATTTTTTTAAACTTTTTCAGTTCTATGTAGCAAATGGGGAATTATCTTGTCAAATGTATCAACGATCTGCTGACATGGGCCTTGGCGTGCCATTTAATATTGCATCCTATGCCCTCTTGACATGCATGATTGCTCATGTTTGTGGTATGCAAATTATCAAAGCATTTGCCGTAGGCTTAAATACATAGTCATTATGTTTGACATTTTGTAGGTGTAAACGAAGATGATGTGTCCCATTTTATTTGGTTATAAATGGCTTTAAGCTAATTAATGGGTGGTGGTTCTCTTAGATTTAATACTATGCTCTGGCTACTTCTTTGTCCAGGGGCCAGGAGGCAATAATCATACTTTTCATGTCCTAAGCATGGTTTAGTTTTTTTAAAACTGAAATTGACCTAGAAAGTTTTGCTCAGTTGTATGTTTAGAGTTTATATTATGTCTTGTATTTATTTATTTTTTTGGGACATTAGTTGAGTGGGGAGGTTGATTCAGTTCTATATTTTCCTTTTTTTAGTAACTGAGAAAGTTTTGCGTACAAGAGGGGAATGCTTTTATTATTCTTGGTAGTATTCTATCATATAATGCACTATTCAACAATTTTTACGGTATTTTTGGTAGAGTTGTTTTCAGAAGTTTATCAACAAGATTTTGTTTTACAATTGAAGGTTGGGTCGAGGTAGGTTCAAGGTTCAAAAGTTCATTGGTTTTGATAATATCACTAGAGAAAAATACAGCTTAAAAAGTAATTTAAAAGTGAAATGGCCAATCCTTATTATACCACTATTTTTCTTGTTAGATCTTGTTTCGGGTGATTTTATCCATGTTATTGGGGATGCACATGTTTACTGCAATCATGTGAGGCCTTTGCAGGAGCAGCTCCATAACCTCCCAAGACCTTTTCCAGTATGTGTAATGTTTGACACTTCTTTTAGTTTGTCTTTTGACATTTTTCCTTGTTGACTGCCTTAATGTACTCCAATGCAGTCTCTTAGGATAAATGCAAAGAAGAAGGATATAGATTCTTTTGTGGCTGCTGATTTTGAGCTCATAGGCTATGATCCTCACCAGAAGATTGATATGAAGATGGCTGTCTAAAATCTGGGAGTCCTCACTCTCTTCTTCAGGCTGTTTCTGCTTTTTGAAATGAGGTGAGGATGTAATTGTGTGTCATTCAGAACTTTGATGGGTATTCTTTTACCATTATTATTTGTATAAAGGAGATTCATAAAATGTAGTTTGGTGCATTCTTATGGTCCATGAGCAGTAGAACCATATGATGAGCATGGATGCTGAGGTGCTGTGCAAGGTAGTTTGGTGCTTACTCGTGGCGTTTTTATTCGCTGATCTTCAATGCTGAAGCGTGTACAATTGAAGAACATTCAGTTGGACATACTTCAATCGTTGCATATATTGCTGGTGGGAATGCTTGAAGCCCACATGCTATGACATTCTTCACGTTCTGCTGTACTATTGTGGGATCAGAAAATTGGAAGTTTAAGATAAGCGGTCTCTTTATTTGATTTATCATTTGATCTTTTCCGTATTTACCAGTATTTTTTATGCGCCTGTATGTACTGGTATCATTGAATGAACTTTTCGTTTCGTTGTTCGGATTTGGGACATCACTGAGTGAAACAGAAAACAATTACGAGTGCAAAGCCGTTGGGAGAAGGGGGCAGATTGACCATGCGGAAAATTTATGTTTCATCATTTTTAAATATTCTGCAAACAAAAACTTGTGTTCTTGGGCCCCATTTCAGAATTGATGTTTATCCATTATCACATATCATGGCCCCATTTCAAGCACAAAATCTCGCCTTAACATGTTTTTTCGCAATGCGCGAGTTCTAGTTTGAGTAATAATAGATTTATAATTGTAATTTTTTTAATCTAATTCAACAAAATATGGTTATGCTGTTTATTTGTTTTAGCAATTATATACTAAAAATGATGTATTGACTGCATTCAAATTGAATTAAACGTGTTGGAAATAATGCTTAGACGTTTGAATAGCACAATGGGTAAAGAGTTTTCAGGCATCTTCAAGAACACAAGAAATATTACATTTTCGACGGAGGGAAGTTGATATGGCAACATCCCCGACCAGAGCAGGGTTAAGCTCATCAATGGTCATGTGTGTATCGGTCAAATTGATATTATAAATCTTTTAATTTTACATCATAATATAACCAATTATTATTGGCTTTGTAATTGGTTTTAAGATTTTTCAACCTAATATTCAAATTTAGTCCAATTAGCCAAACTTTTTTTTTTCTTGTGTATAATCTAGAGCCAAATTCATAGAATTACATATCTTCAGTTATGTCCGTTATCTAATTTTTATTATTATATTTTGGGAAAAAAAGGATCAACGGTAAAAAAAAAAAACTATCCATTGGGAGACTATCGTTGTTCTCTTTTATTTCGAAGCACTAGTTAGAGCCTTACAAGTTTGTTTAGAACTTGAATAGAATCTCATATATTTTAGTAATGGATTAAGTTGCCCACTGAATCTTTTAGTATTTGTCCTCCTCAGCCTAAAGAAACGAGCCCAAATCTGAAGTACTCCAAGCCTTCTCGATGGCTTCGTGGCTTGTTTACCCTTTCTTGAGTAATGGTCATTCCAATTCATGATTATGATCGCCCATTTTCTCCAGTAATGTTCATTCCGATACATGATTATGATATTTCATAAAAGCCACTCACTTTGACCAAAAAGAATAAAAAGACAACTAACTCACTTTATGAAATGTAATTATATTTCTTGCGTATGTGCTTACGTAAGATACTTGGACTAAAATAATGTTCGTCGAATAGACGTTATATGCGTGGAAGAAAAAGATAAATAGAAAGAAAATAATAAGAGAGAGAGAAAGAGAGAATATGAGCAAGTAGCATAAACATTCTTAATAAAAAAGATGAAGTTTCACTTGATAATGCTATTTTCTAATGTTAACTTTAATTATATAAATTAGTTATAATAAAAAATACTATTAATGATAATACTTCTCCTAAGTTTTTTCTATGAAAAGTAAGTCTAATAATATATTGGTCGTTGGCCTAAAACCTTCGACGGTGGACTTACAGTCAAATTTGTTGCCATCCTTTCAAGTCTGAACCCGCCTCTTTAAAAAGCGAGACTGAAACCGAATACCTTGTGAATTGTGATCCATAATCATAGCCATAACCATATAAGCTTTGTTCATCAGTGTTGTGACCAATGGCAACAGTGCACTTCTTTAGCGCTAATGGTGGTGTTGGAGAAACTAGCTACGCTAACAACTCCTCATTCCAAGTTCTTTCTCTTTCTCTCTCATTATATTCTTAACTACTTTGCACTACATGATCCTCATATCCTATATATATAAGTCCGTGACACAATTCAAGTTGTTCCTTGTATGTATGTATCATTATTATATTGGTTTTGATTTTATTTAATGCAGAGTAAGGTGATTTCCAAAGTGAGACCTATATTGGAAGAAAGTATAACGACCGTCTGTTGCAACTCTATCCCAAGCTGTTTCAAGGTGGCGGATTTAGGTTGCTCTTCGGGACCAAATGCACTTCAAGTTGCATATGATGTTATTGACATTGTTGATAACGTAAGTCGCAGCTTGGACCGTGAGCTACCCACGTTCCAAATTTTCCTCAATGATCAATTTCGAAACGATTTCAATAACATCTTTGAGTCACTACCTTACTTCTATGAAAGGCTACGACAAGAGAAAGGAGAGAGATTCAGTTCATGTTTCGTTAATGCAACCCCCGGCAGCTTTTATGGGAGACTCTTTCCCACCGATTCCATGCACCTTTTTAATTCCTCCACTAGTCTTCATTGGCTCTCTCAGGTTGACTTCATTCTATAATCAAACAGCTTTGGTATTTAAATAATTGGAAATTCAAACCTATGCTATTCTTTATTATAGACATAAAAATATGCATTATAAAAATACACTCAAAAAGTAAATGATTAGCTCTCTCTCAGAATTGTTTAAAGCACACTTCTGATAATAAAATGTGATAAGACAATTCATAGATTTTTACATTATTTCTTTTCCGTTTGGCAACAGGCTCCAAAGGGGTTAGCTAAGGGAACAGGTTTGGTTAACAAGGGAAACATTTATTTTTCAAATACAAGCCCGTCTACAGTGTACGAAGCATACCTTGAGCAATTTCAACATGATTTCAATGCATTTCTAAAATCACGTGCAGAAGAATTAGTGCATGGTGGCGGCATGGTTCTGTCATTAACAGGCAGAGATGAAACTTGTGAAATGGTAACTCCTTGGGGATTAATTGGTTTGGCACTCAATGACTTGGTTTCGGAGGTACATAGACAAATCATATATGTTTGAACAAAACTATGTCCTATGGTTTGGTTTTTCTGTTTCGTACAATTTCCTAGGAATCATATGATCGTGCTGTTTTGTAATGCAGGGTTTGATTGAAGAGGCAAAATTGGACTCCGTTAATATGCCAAGATATGGTCCCACGGCTAAGGAAGTGAAACAACTGATTGAGACAGAAGGGTCTTTTACTCTTCAAAAGTTGGAAACCCTTAAGTCACGTTGGGATGAGGGTTTTAAGGAGAATGGTGATGGTGAGTTTGTTTCTGATGTAAACGACAGAGCCAATTTCATAGCCAAATACGTGAGAGCTACTACTGAACCTTTTCTGACGGCACAGTTTGGTGAAGGAATAATTGATGACTTATTCCTTGGATTTAAAAAGAAGGTTGTGAAACTGTTGAACGAAAGGAAATTAGAGCATGCTACTGTCGTCATGTTCATGACCAGAAAATGAGAGATATTACTCGAGCTGAAGAATAATCTTTTGATGATGTTTTTGCTTTTTAAAATATGTTAATCAGTCTTTTGAGTTAAATAAAAATGTTAATCTTCGCTTCCTTAAAATGTGACACATTTAGTTCTTAAATTCTCTCTCTTTTAAATTTTAATTTAAGTTATTTTGAATTAATTATACTTATTTCCCCAAATCCTGATTTTAATTAGTCGCTCATGATATTAATTTTGAAATTCCAGTTAAAATTTTTATTTCATCTTCTGAATCTAAAGATTCATAATGAAATTTTAAATTAGTTGATGTTGATGTTGAAAGTCATAGAAAATAAAAATAAAAAACCCTTTTACATTAAAATAAACTAAATTAAATTTTAGTACATACATATTAATCACAAGAGAGAGAAATCTTATTTTAAAATAAGAGAAAGATGACAGTATATATTTGTTTTTTAGTGGACATCATGAGATAACAGAATAATTTAAACACCTCTTTAAGAATATATGATTTACTCTTTAATTAATGTGGAAGAACAAAAATGGGTCAAGCTAACCCGAATACCCTGATATATGAAGCGGTTTGGATTTTATTTTTTGTCATAAAGTGGGCTAATCCAATCCAACCCAACCCGAAAATTGGTTGACCCAAGTTGACTACACTTACAACCCGAAAATTATTTTTACTATATTAATACTATTTTTAATGATCCATCTATAGTTTCGGTCATTAATTTTCATTTATTAATTCAGTAATTTATTAATATAGTAATTATCAATTGAATTGGGACGCAGCAATCGCACTTAAATTTGAATAAATCAAGATAAGTATCAAATTTTTGTTTTTTTGACTATATAAAAGAACTAAATTTTATCAAGTTGACGATCAATTGGACTTTTATTAATTATCGATTAACTTATTAATTAATTAACTTATTAATTATCGAGTATACTTAAATGTTATACCAGTTAGCACATCCGTATAATGTATGGATGTTTTACTTTAATTTTTTTTTATTTAGTTATGAATAGTTATAAAATAATTCTTCATAAAAAATTAATGAGAATGCTGTTTCTATTACAGTTATTAATTTTATATATATATATATATATATATATATATATATATACCTTTATTAAATTAAATAAATAAAATTAGTAAATTTAAGAGAAATTGTGAAAAAATAAAATTGAATTAAAAAATACATAGTATATATAGGAGAAATCACTTATATAATCAAGAAAATAATAACTTTTAAATAAAAATACTTTTATTTAAAATAACTTTACATATGTATCATATAATATTTCACTGTTTTAACTGGAAGGTGATGGTTTTTTCTTATCTACGCTATAATATCTGTAAAACATATTAAAAAATAAACTATCGTATATAATAGAATATTAAAATTTTAAATATTTTGTTATGGAAATTTTTTTATCTTAAAAGATAGACTGTCATATATAATAGAACATAAAAAATAATAAATTTTATTTTACTTTAAAAATTGAGTTACACATTTAATATAAGTGAAGAGAATATATTGTTTTAATAAACAATGAGGTGACATTATACGGCAGAGATTAAATTTATGGAGTATTTTAAAATAAAAAATTAAGACTCACAGTATATAATAACAATTTTATAATATATGCTTAAAGATACATGTTAAAAATAAAGAAAATAATACATTGAATTATGTGATACTTTTGTATTTTAAATATAATTTATTATTTATGTATTTATCATGTGTTGATACGTGAATAAACCCGTTAAATATAACTGAGAGTTCATCCACAATTTGCATTTAAAAAATACATTGAATTCACCATCATAGTTTATATAACATTAATCCGGTGATTATTGCCAATATTCTTGTGTTAAACTAAAAAGCATTTCCTCGTCCTGTTTGAAAATATTACAAATTAGTGAAGCGTTTTAAGTACTTTTTGTGATATGCATGACTAGATTTGCAAGCTCCAATTCCTCCACCCCATGAAGTTGGAGAATCTTGTTTTTGAACCTGCAGAACAATTCGTCCATCATTACTTCCCCAAATTCTGATTTCAAAATTGGTTCTGCAACGGCTCTTACATTTTTTGCCACTGTCTCAGCCCTCGTCTCCTCATCATCATAACTCACGTTCATGTTTATGTTTTTCACCCAATCCGTTCTTATTGTCTCCAACCTTTGAATATCAAAAGACCCTTCTTCCTCTATTGTTTGTCTAATCTCCTCAGGCGTAGGACAGTATGATGGTATGTTAAAGGAGTCCAATTTTGCCTGCTCTATCAATTTCTGCACCAAATCATATATGCAATATACACATCATTTTATTTTAATAGATAAATAATTAACAAAATCATATGTAGTGAAAATTTTAACATTGAATATGTACCTCTTCAGCCATGTCCTTAAGTGCCATACCAATTATCACCCAAGCATTTATTAGGTCATTATTTTCATCTCTTCCAATGAAAGTTAGGACCATGGCCCCACCAGGAAGAAGCTCACTCGAACGTGATCTCAAGAAGAACTTGAAGTCTTCTTGAAACTGAGCAAAGTATGCTTTGTGCACTGATGGAGGACTTGTCTTTGTCAGATAAATGGCCCCTTTGTTAATGGGTTCTGCAGCATCTGTCAACTCATTCGGAGTCTGTTGTATCAAAATGGAAATGGAATTTAATTAATACCAAATAAGCTTTTATGACTTTGTGAGCATACTATCATATATATATTTTTGTTACACAATGAAATACAAGTTCAGTAAATATTGTACCTTAGAAAGCCAATGGAGACTATAGGAGGAATGAAAAAAATGAATGGAATCATTAGGAAAGAGTCTCCCATAAAAAGAACCAGGTGTTGCACTAAAGAAACATGGACCAAACTTGTCGCCCTTCTCATCTTGCAGTGTTTGGTAAAAACACGGAAGTGACTTAAAGGTGGTATTGAAATCGTTTCCAAACAGGTCATTCAGGAAAAATTGAAACATGGGTGCCTCGCGATTCAAGGTTTGATTCACTACATCAACAATGTTGATGATGTTAGATGCCAGAAGAAGTGCATTTGGACCTGATGAGCAACCTAAGTCTGCCACTTTCAAACAGTTTGGAAAAGTTGAGCAATACAACCGTGTAATACTATCTTCAAGTACATGTTTCGTGATCAACATCATCATCTTTCTCTGCATGTGATGGATAATATCAACAATAGTTTAGAAATGAAACAATATCAAAACCTTCTAGCATGGCATGCAAATTCTACAAATCAAATCAAGACAAAATAAATAAATTGATTTGGGCAAAAGATAAGAGTACTTGAAATGTAGAGTTGTTTGCGTAGCTTGTGTCTCCCACACCTCCATTCATGTGAAGGACTTGCTCAGTTGCCATTGCTGACGGGTCAAAGTTTGTGAAGCACTTTGAATCCAAAAAGTTTTTCAGCAGATTGAGGCATACATTCCTTTATATGAAAGCGAGACTGCGAGGTGTAAATTGAATAAGTTTAACCACCAACCACGAATACATCATCTTTTAATACTTGTCAAAATAGTATTAAATATATTTGTTTTATATTTAACGATTTTCTTATCCTTTTCATAACGATTAAATCTAAATTTTTAAAAGTATACAATTTTATTAAATAAAAAAGTATTTATTATATTTTGTACTTTAACATAATGAATATTTTTTTTATTAAAAATTATTATTTTTAGATGTTTAAATTTAATCATAAAAGCTGAGTTTAACAAAATTATTAAATTTAAAAAAAATATATTTACTATTTTAAAAATATTCATCAATTTTTATATAAAATTATTAAGAAGATATCAATTATGAGAATTATTTTAGTCATAGTTACGTTGTTATATATCCTTAAATATGATTTTAGATTCGAAATTTAAATATAAAAAATATATTTAGATTATTTTTAACTCAAATAAAACTATACGTGTATATAATATTACCAAAAAAAAAAAAAAAACACTTGAGGATTAAGAGGAATCAGAATATTCAATATTGGACTCAGTTAATTATATGTCAAAATATGGTTCTACGTTAAAATATTGTTTGAGGAAGAAACATTTTACACTCTTCAAAAGTTGGAATAAGGGGTTGAAGGATAATGATGGTATACTAGTGACTTTATTTTAGATTACGTGCTTGTTTGGTAATTTATAGCTACATTTTTTGAATCAATTTTCAAAACAAAGATCAAAGAATAAAATGAGACATTGTGAATGGTAGGAGATTTTTTTTTCAATTCTAGGAGAATCGATTATACTTTCCAACAAATCAAGCACAACACATATGACAGAACCAATTTCATAGACAAAAACATGAGAGCTGCTAATGAACATTTTCTGAAGGCACAGCTCAGAGAAGAAATAACTGATAACTTAATTGGATTCAGAAAGAAGGTTGTGAAACTGCGAGAAGAGAAGTAAGAGCACGATGCTTGCTCATGTCACATGTCACTTCCGTACGAATTGACACGTTAATTCTTAAATTTTCCATTTTTTAATTTTAATTTAAGATTTTTTGAATTACTTATACATATATTCTTTATTATTTCAAGCATATTAATTATGTAAATTTTTCTTATAATTTTATATATATATATTTTATGAATGTTTTCATTCTGGGTGTGTACGTACTACTGCATTACAAACCAATAAGAAATTAACATATTAGTTTTATACTATTTAAAGTTGAATTTTTTTTTCCTCTAATTTCTTATCTGAATTTTAACTCTCAACTGTAGTCTTTCTGATCTGATTTTTTACACATCCCTCGGTAACAATAATTTATTAACGGTGTGTTAAGAAGAAATAAGTTATTTTTAATTTATTTCAATAATTTTTAATATAATTTATTAAATTAAATTATTTTCAACTTATATTAAAAAAATTTATGATTAATTAATTTAGTATCCATTGATGTCAAAATTTATATTAAAATATAGAAGAATGTGTTTTTTAATGTAAAAAAATATATTATATTAGGCAAAGCCCTCCAAATAAATATAAGAGGCCCAAATCCAAATAACCTCCCTTTAAAATCATGGAGCCCATGATACGGATGTAGACCTTAAAGATAGCATTTTAACCTATTAAATGTTGACAAAAACTTTATATTTTTCTTGATGTCTTAAATGTTGGAAAAAAAAAAAACATTAAATAGAAAACCGCAAGTGCTAATCCTAATAAACTAACACTTCCCTTTACTTCAACCTTAGCTATAATGTAGCTCATGTAAGTTTAGTTTAGATAAATTTTTAGATAAGTTATTATTTTAAAAAAGAAAAATTAAAAAAAAAAACTTTTTTATAAGTTAAAAATAACATATTTTTAAATTTTTGAAAATTTAAATACAAAAACCTCTAAAAATTTTTAAAATAAAAGTTAATTTTGACTAATGAAAACGTTTTAATTTTTTTTATTTTTAACTTATAAAAATACTCATTAAAATTAAATTTAAACTGAGTGATACTATTTTAATTAAAGAAAAATAGAAATGAAGAAAGGAAAATAATTTTTATATTTCTTTAAGAGATTACTTAAATTAATTAGTTTCCAAACTAATTCATTAATCAAATTATGGTTTTCCTATATGCACTTCGCTGGAACACATATTCGCACAATCTTAATGACTCACAATAAACAATCAGATTATACCCTCAGAAAGGTATGTCAACGGAGAAATTATGATAAGTTGGAAATTCGTTTAAATTAACAATACCCTCAAAGTACCTAATTGAATTGAAAGGTCTACAATAATACAATATATAGTCAACAAATTAAACAATAACTTTACAGGAAGGAATATTCGGATGATATAATCGCAATTTATGTAGTTTTCAAAAATTACAGATTTATTTTATTAATATAAAACACTTTTATAATTATTTTTATTTTATAATAAAGGGACGTTGATCAATCAAGTTCTCCCAGAGAATCCATATAGAAAGAACAACATATTCTCCAAAGGTAGAATTTCTTAAATTATAAGAATCATCGGTAGGTTAAAGGCATCAATTCTACTATAAAAAAAATGTCGCATGTCAATTGTTAAGTGTTGACTTTGTTTGTAACGGCATAATTTTTACCTAATAAAAAATTAATTATTAACATAAACATTAATAATGACATATCATATTAATAAATAACTTAATTAATAGAAATGATAAAATAACTATTAGCAATCATATTATTGGTATAATCCATCTCAATGTCATTTTAAATTGTAAAATATCATTAGATTGACTTTTATTAAATAAGATCATATCAAATCAGTCTATCCTAAAGTTTATTTTTTATGGGCTAAGTATATTTTTAATTTTTATAAAATTATTAAAATTTGATTTTAGTCCTTAACTATGTTTTATTCATTTATAGTCCCTATAAAATACAAAAGTTATATGCTTTTAGTCTCTAACAAGAGACAAAAATACACTAATTTTGTTAAATATAAAAGTAAATTTTAATTAAAAATATATTTAAATTTTTTTAAAAAATATATCTTAACCTTTTAGGTATTCTGTTTATAAAAAAAAATCAGCATCAAATTTGACTTTTTGAGTTAGTTGTAACCAATTCATTTTATCTATGTACAAAATTTAGTGTGTCGTGTTAGCAATCCATATCTATACTAAATTATTTAGATCTATGCTTAATTTTCTTCATTGAAGCTTTGTTTTTGCTCTCTTCCATAGAATCAGAGCATTTGAAATTAATTGAGCATCCATCCTTTTTATATAATGTGTAGTTCAATTAACTCCTATTTTCAAAAGGAAAAGTATGGTGCTCCAATTAAAGTTATAAGCGTTAATATCATTATTTAGAAATATCAGCATTTACATTGGTGCATAGCAAAATATCATTACTCTATTTATATTAGTGTAATGCACGATCTCCAAACTCAAAGCTTAGACTTATCTACCAATAATAAAATTAAAACTTGGATAGAGTTGGGACTACTCTCCTTCAGTCACGATTCTATAATTAAGGGGAGCTCCTGCACCATATTATAATTTCACGAGTTTAATTCATTTTCTAGTAAAACATTACATATAAATAACAATTTTATTTGTCGCCTGTGGCTCCGTGTAGCACATATAATTAGATTTATTTCATCAAAGTAATATACTTTCCAAATTTATAAAATTTTCAGATATCATATTTATTTAAGACAAACAAATTTTAAAAATAAACTTAATTTTTTTAAATTTTTAAAAACGATACTATGATGGGGTTAAATAATGTAATTGTAATAACAAAAAAATACTATAAAACTAAATTGAGTTTCCGTAATTCCAAATGGACATGTGATTTAACCATTTTATTTTATGAAATAATTAAACACATTTGAAGTTTGTATTTTTTGTTGATCGTTACAGGAAGACTTGTGATATATTCATTAAATTCATTAGTGAAGAATTTTATTAGGTTAAGCCCCATGAATTTTTACCATAGTACTATAAATTTAAAAATATATTTTATACTTTTTTTAAATTAACAGTTATGATTCTTTTATTATTTTAAAGATGAAAGGTTATTAATATATTTTTTAACTAAATCACTAACTTTATTATTTATATATATAAAATTAAGGGTAAGGATTTTTCCAGATGTACGAGAAGGTACCACACTCTCTCATTTACTTAGAGTACCATAAATTTTATCTAATAATTTTGATGTACCTAATTTGCTCTCCGTGCTTTGTGTTTATTATTTCTTGCCTAAAATTTGGGAAGAATTTGTTTTAATTATATAATGAAAAAAGAGAGATCCTGCTTGCTTCCTCTTATTACTATTATATTTTGATATCCTTCTCTATATTTTTTACTAAATTTTATCAATTTTTTTATTTACTTTATAAAATTAATCAAGCATATATATTTAAAGTAAAGTGATTAATGGCAAAGTCTCTAACCTCTTCCCCTCCAAAACAAAAACTTTATGTCAAGAATAAGTTAAATTATTATGTGCGTAAATTAATTGTATTAAATGTTTTAAAAAATAATTATTTATAAAAGATAGTCGCACTGGAAACAAGAAAAAAAATACTAAATAATTATACATTGTAATCAAGGACAAGTGTAAGCAAAATCACGGTGATATTGAAACTGTTTCAAAATTGCCCCAAAAATTAATCGTACTTTCATTCGAGTTTTAAAATATTTTTTATTTTTTATCACATTATTTGTTTTATATCCGATTTTTCTCTTTTCTCTTTTTATTTCTAACTGTATTATAAAAATGATAGTAAGAAATTTTAAATGGAAATAACATTACTAAAAAAAGAATGGATTCGTAAAATTTAAATGTTTCATTGATAAATGATTCTTAAATAGTTCACTCCAAATTTAGATTTCATAAATACATCAAACCCAATCCCGGCCTTGCTTGAAAGATCTTACAGAAGAAGGCTTCAAGAACGTTTCGTGATGTGCATGACTAGATTAGGCAGCTCCAATTTCTCCACCCCATAAAGTTGGACAATCTTGTTTTTGAACCTGCGGAACAATTCATCCATGATTACTTCCCCAAACTCTGATTTCAAAATTGGTTCTGCAACAGCTCTTATGTACTTTGCTACTGCCTCAGCTCTCGTGTCTTCATCACAAAGAGAGTCATCTACATTCACGTTGATGTTTTTAACCCAATCCGTTCTTATTGTCTCCAACCTTTGAATATCAAATGACCCTTCTTCCTCTATTGTTTGTCTAATCTCCTCAGGCGTTGGACAGTATGATGGTATGTTAAAGGAGTCCAATTTTGCCTGCTCTATCAATTTCTGCACCAAATCATATATGCAATATACACATCATTTTATTTTAATAGATAATTAATTAACAAAATCATATGTAGTGAAAATTTTAACATTGAATATGTACCTCTTCAGCCATGTCCTTAAGTGCCATACCAATTATCACCCAAGCATTTATCAGGTCATTATTTTCATCTCTTCCAATGAAAGTTAGGACCATGGCACCACCAGGAAGAAGCTCACTCGAACGTGATCTCAAGAAGAACTTGAAGTCTTCTTGAAACTGAGCAAAGTATGCTTTGTGCACTGCTGGAGGGCTTGTCTTTGTTAGATATATGGCACCTTTGTTAATGGGTTCTGCAGTATCAGTCAACTCATTCGGAGTCTGTTGTATCAAAATGGAAATGGAATTTAATACCAAATAAGCTTTTATTACACAATGAAATACAAGTTCAGTAAATATTGTACCTTGGAAAGCCAATGAAGACTAAAGGAGGAATGAAAAAAATGAATGGTATCATCGGGAAAGAGTCTCCCATAAAAAGAACCAGGTGTTGCACTAAAGAAACATGGACCAAACTTGTCGCCCTTCTCGTCTTGCAGTGTTTTGTAAAAATCAGGGAGTGACTTAAAGGTGGTATTGAAATCGTTTCCAAATAAGTCATTCAGGAAAAACTGAAACACGGGTGGCTCACGGTGCAATGTTTGACTCACTGCATCAACAATGTTGATGACGTTAGATGCCACAAGAAGTGCATTTGGACCTGATGAACAACCTAAATCTGCCACTTTCAAACAGTTTGGAAGAGTTGAGCAATACAGCTTCATTATACTATCTTCAAGTATATGTTTCGCGGTGAGCATCACCTTTCTCTGCATGTACGTGAAGATAATCACAATCAATAATTTAGAAATGAAACAATATCAAAACCTTTTAGCATAGCATGCAAATACTATAAATCAATTTAAGACAAAATAAATAAATTGATTTCGGTAAGATAAGTACCTGAAATGTAGAGTTGTTTGCGTAGCTTGTGTCTCCCACACCTCCATTCATGTGAAGAACTTGCTCAATTGCCATCGCTGACAGTTCAAAGTTCACGAATCACTTTGAATCTAATAAACACTATAAGCAAGAATTGCCACTTGAGAGGTATTTGAGTTTGAGGCTTGCGTTCCGTTTTATATATACGAAGCGCGACGGCTAGGTTGCAACTTGCCAGCAAATATTACCTACCAATTATCCACAGTGACATTGGAATTCAAACTACACTGTTATGGCGATTATCAATACCATAAAGGGAAATAACCGCAGACTCTTCCAAATTCACCAAAAAACTTTTGTGATTATCTATACCTAAACTCTTCAATGATTATTTTTGAAATTTACAAAAAAATACATGTATTTTTTAAAATATTTTTACCAAATAATATTTTGTACTTTTGTGATGGTAACTTTCTCACAACACCTATATGTGGACAACAACAATATAACATGCCAGTATTTCACAAGGCCAGTGTATTCTAAAGAGATCCATAATTTGAAATATATGTCAACTCTGTTTTTGTGTCATATTTATATGTAGTAAGATTTATTATTCAACTTTTTAGCCAGCATCTATTGCCCTACGTATTAGTTTATATAGCTGTTGACAAAGTAAGACTTTTATTCCTCTCAATATATTACTCCATTGAATATGAGTTATATATATTAAAAATATAATTAAATTTACAATTAATAAGGATCTGCCAAAAATTTTATCTAAAAACTTTAGCATTAAATAAAATGCATTCCCGACAAATAATTTTTTAGATAACTTTCAATATGATGTTTAAAAAGTGTTTATAGACTATTTTCTTTATTAGTTATACTAGATTAAAATTCAACAATTAAAATTTTAATAACTTTCTAATTTATTATACATGTAAATCAATTATAATTATACTTATTCTTTAAATGAGTTGAATACAAATAAATCAATTATCACTCCAACATTCTTATTATCATTTATTGTTAAATGATTTTATTTAAAATAATCTTTTAATTAAGACAGTAGACCCTCTCGTTAAATACTAGTAAGGATGTGTTGTCATGACTAGTGAACCACTATACTTTCCAGTTAATGAAACAGTTTTTTAATAAAGTTATTATAAAAATATTATTACTTTATCATAAACCCAGGAGATTAATACCTTGTTAAAACTTGTATGGAGGAACTCATTTTATTGGTAATCAAATTTAAGAATTCTAAATTCCAGAAAATAATCAATTCTGGCTGGCTCCCATTAGAAAGTGAAAAACAAATTGGTTAAGGTACCAACCCACCAACTCCGCTAACCGCGTGATTTTATGGAGTAGATTATTTAATTCACAAATAGTTCAGTTATGGGCCGGGCCGGGCCATCTAAATAAATAATGAAACAAATCGACATGGATACCACTTCTTACGTTCACAAATTACGAACTTTTGTCCCAAAGTAATTTAAATTACACAGTTTTCCTTTTCAATTTTAAAACGATAAATCTATTATATTTTATACTATATTAATGCTAGTGAATCATTTAAGAATATCGAGTAATTAATAATATTTTTTTACAGTTTCTAGCACCATTTGAATATTACATTGATGATGTTGTGACTTTAGAAGATAATGTTTTAAATAATCATATTATCGAGTTGAACTTCGCTTCATATCTTTATTTTATTTTTTAAAAATTAATAATTAAATATTCAAAAATAGCCTATGGCGATGAAAAATCAGAATAAAAAAAACTTGGTAATATTAAAATAAATTAAAATGTGATGTATATAATTTTTAAAAATTTATTAAAAAATTAATATAAGCATCTTTAAAAAAGTAACAATATAATTTTTTCACTCATACGTGTACATACATATTTATATCAATATAAATTAATCTAAGCACGACGCTTGTATATCAATATAAATTAAAAAATGTTACCCATGCAAAGTGTGAAAGCAACACTGCTATAACATCAATTATACACGCGTGTGTAGTGGTTGTGTTGTATTGCTAATTAATTAGTCTAAGTTAACAAATACTTATGTGTAAAACTAAAATTACTATTATTTTTATGCGACTTATGCTTTTTATTAATACTTTAAATTATTAAACTATGTGCTCCGGGGACATCAAACATATACATATAAGGTTCAATGTTTATGCCAAGTAAAAGATTCTTTCTTCCTTCTACAGATAAGGTTAAGAATATTGGTAGGTAATGAAAATTTTATATATAACAGGAAATGGATATGCATGAAAACAGTTTCTCTGTATTATGGTATATAAGAATAAAACTAATAATAAATAAATTGCAGAAGGTAAATGACTCAACTTGTGTAAGAGTGAACTAATAATCAACTCAAACAATACTAAAGACTAATCTGTTTGAGTATAACACCAACCCACTTTTCATATTTTCCACAACTTTTGATCATCCAAATTCAACACTTTCATCTGATAGGAATTCATAAGTTTTTTTTTAATTATAAAATTACACAGTAAATGTTCACATCTTAAAATAAAAGATGTATTTAAAAATATAAATGTTCAAATTACCAGTAAATATATCATTGTATAGGATTAAAATATTCTTGTGAAATTATAACATTATTGAATTCACAAAGTAATCACTTAAATATTTAACGATATTTATAAAAATTGTTTCATGAGATAAAATTGTGCACAAAAACATATTATTTAAAATTCAAGAAAATATGTTTACTTCACAGTAAATAAATCTTCACATGAAATCGTAGAAATATGTAACAAGTCCATTTTTTTTTGTACATACAATGACATGAATAAAAAAATTCATCATACAAAACAAATAAACTACACAATATACATTTGCATTACACAAAACAAAAATCTTGTACAAAAACTATTAATATTGAAATCCCAGAAATAAATATGCACATCATGTATTAATTAATTTTTATATAAATACAAATTAACATCTAAGTTATATGAATAAATATTTATATTAAATAATAATAATAAATTTAAAATTATATTAATTGATATTATAAAAAAAATTCATACAATAAAAAAATTATTCAATAAATAAGCGTCATTACAACAAAAAAATTTAAGAAAAAATATTTTTAATACACATAAGTATTTCAATATAATGAATAACCATATTTTTTACTGTAGTTATCAATGCTCCTGAAAATACAATTTCAAGTCTTCATTGTCTTTTTATTTTTGGTCAAGTCTTTTTTTTTTTCGGTCAACCAAGCCTTCATTGTCGAGCATGTCTTTCCCTTTCATGTGTCAACTAATATTAGGTAGGCACTAGGCATTGGCACGATGTTGTTGTGCTATATTAATTAAAATGTTTCTAATAAGGTAAACTTAAATTCATGAACTTTAAAACTTTATCTTTCAACGATCCTCTCTACTTTTGAATTAATTAATGCAAAAATTAAGAAATAAAAGTAAAAAAGATGTTACTAAAAAAAATGTCAAAAAGGATGGGCAGAAGAAATAATGGACAATTATAGTTTAAGGAAAATGGTGAACATCAAATAACCTTTTTTTTTTTTTTCTGGTGAAGACATAAATCTTTTACCCTTTTGGTTAAGTGTCGACAAGTTTCAATCTCCAATCTCTCGATTTTTAATGTTTTAAAACGATTTTTTTTAAAATAATAAAATAAAAGATCATTTTTTGGTACTGTAAATTGAAAAGTTGTAACAATTTTTTATATAAATATTTTAAAAAAAGTAAATATATTTTTAATTATTAATAAAATACAAAATAATTTCTAACCTAAATACATCCTGTCGAAATCTCATTATAGCCACTTGAGTATGAGTATGTACACTTGATTAGATATTTATTTCACATTGGTTTATTGGTTGATACAGTACTCTGTGGTTCTTAGCATTCTTTTGTTTTTCAATATAGATTATATTACGAAGAATCTTATCAATCAGCAATTTTTAGATAAAATTTTACTATATGCATTTTTTTTTTCAAAATAATGATAATTACAAACTGTAGGTGGAGATTAGTCTTTAACACTTTAGATTTTGGAAATACCCGTGGTTTGGAATCTTGAATAAAAAAACACTAATCAAGCACTAGGAAGCTTATCCCATCACGGAAACTTTTTTTTTTTGTCTAACTAGGGAGACTATTTAAGTTTTTTTGTATGTCCAAAAAGTCTTAGCCCACGCAAAAAGGCCCGTCACCAATGCCCAATGTAAATCGTGTTACACGACCAAAAGAAAATTCCAGTGTTAAATTTTGATATTTATATTTTTTAATAATTTATTTGGAAAGTAAAGTTAATTAATTTAATTATTAAATTATTTTATATTATTTTATGGTTATATATATTAAAATTTAATCATTTTAACACTTGTAAATCTATCATCTAAATTTTAATATTTACTTATATTTTAAAAATATAATATTACTAAAATAAAGTAATGCACAAAGTACTTATTCATTTTGTTTATATATAAAATTTTATAAAGTTTATTTACTTGATAAAAAAATTTATTAAACTTATATTTTATAAAAATTATTAAATAATATAAATGTTTAAATCCGATAATTAATGTCAACGAAATATAATTTATAAAGATATTTAACATAAAAATATTTAAATGTAAATTATTATACCTTGAACTTTTTTTTAATAAAAATTGATTCCATACAGTTAATATCATCCTAAGTTAAGGTTACGAACTATTATCCAAAATCTAAGGACAGAAAAGTGATAATTTGCTCAGAGAAGAAGAAAACAAAGCATAAATGACACGGGCTACTATTTCCCACACTTGTTATTTGAATAATTAAAAGCAAAACACAATGCAAAAGCAACGAAAATGCAAATCTGCGCCTAATGGCAGACAATAGATAGTGGCATGTTGAGTTTGTGCCAATTACAAAAGATCTCTCTTAGTATGGCTTTTGCATTATGACAAACATAAATCTGCTTTTTCATTTTCCAGATGGGACAGTAACAATACAGTGGTTTGAATTACGGATGCTTTCTCTTGTGTTTGTATTATCTTTATTTCACTTGCTAGTAATTAGCAGCTCTTAAAATATCCACAGCAGTCTCTCTGCATCCAAAAGAGAATTTGTGAATAGCTGGTTAAATTAGTTTCTAAAATTATAAATATCAGTGAACTGAATTTATGAAATTATTAAATATAAGTTATTTTAATTTTTATTATTATAATTTAAAATACTAAAACGAATAATCATTTTATAATTTCAAGAAATAAATAAATTAATATTCAGAATTTGAGGACTGATTGAAATTATTACTGTGAAAAACTGGCATGTCCCGTGTGGGACTGGGAAATAGGAATTTTCCTTTGGGTGCATATGGAAGTGTTTTGAGGATGAAAACATGAATTTACACGAAATTTATACATGACATGTTATGTTTGTTCATTAGAGCAACCATACAGTAATTAATGAACAACTATTTACGAATGTTCCTGCGTTCGTAGCCTCTGTTGGCGCGCAATGAAAGCCTCAACTTTTCGACGAAACTCGTCGTTGCTCATCCCATCCTCAGGGTAACACCTCCTCTCCCTCTCCCTCTCTCTCTCCATTCTCTCAGTCTCACACCTCTGCAGCATGCGCCGAGGCTTCTCGCTCTGCACACGCGCTACGATCTCCGATTCACACCTTCTGTAACCCTTCCCCTCTGTTTTGGTGCTATGTTTTTCTTCGATTAAGCTTTCGTCGCCTCTATTACTCTGACAAGCTCTCGCGCTTGCCTTTTCTTTACGACGGTTATCTTCAGCTTCAACTTTGTGATTGATGGTGCTGTTCTGGAGGAACTCCAGATAGAGATCGGGTTCTGAGGCGGGTTTTGCAGAAGCGTGAGTTGAGAAGTGGCCAGATTGTGCGAACAGCGTCATGATTATGACGTTTCCCAGAAGAAAAACAAAGCGAGGGCTACCCATAAAGTTGCGGAAATACTCGCATGAGTTTTTTATTGCCACTGGTAACTGGGTTGAGAACCTTGAAATCAAGACCAGAACAACACAGACTTCTACGTAGTGCAACAACTTTGCGATCTTTCGAAGGTGGCGATGTTTTTGGGGTTTGGCGGAACATTTCTTTACGTGCACCTTCTGGAAATTCAACGATTCCATTTTATTAACTCAATTTGAAGCTCAAGAGTTTGAGAGCAATGACCAATGGCCCCGCTTTTGTTTATTGAGAAACAATGTCAGTAAACAAAGAAAGCGTGCATCTGAAAGCAGATGGTAGAGAAACCACAGTCATCTTAGACACTGCGACGGTTTCTAGACTTGGAAGCATGGAAACAGAGTAGAGGAAGTGAAGTTTTGGTTTTGTTTGGAAATGTGAGAACTGTGAACAGAGTGCCTCTGTTTCTTTTCTATTCTCCTTGCCTCTTTTTTCAGACTGCCTCCTCTTCTAATTTATAGAATCCAATCTAAAGTACGTCCAAAGAGGCAAAGAAAGTGAAAAAAGATGGTCATAAATTAAAAGAAATTATACTTGAATTATTTCCTTTTACTTTTTTCCCCTTAGGTTTTCCATTTTCTACTTTTGTTTTTCCTTTTTTCAGTTAATCAACACTTGTCTTTTTTTTTTTTTTTTTAAAGTTTACCAAAACTAGACTAGCAGCATGAGTATCATGTATCAAGGCAAGATAACAGGGTTTAAGCACATTTGAAAAAAAATATGACATGTTTGTTTAATTTGATAAAAATAAATTATCAGTTTATTTTATTCTGATAACTTTCTTAATCAAAATTTCTTAATATAAATATTGTAGTAAACATCATAATATATATTTTTATGTGAAAAAAAATATTAAATATATATTTAATTAATTTTGATATTTAAAAGACAAAATTTATGTACATATATATATATAGGTATTATTATCTTATCAATACTAATTTTTCTCCTTAATAATAAATATAATAAAAATCAACACATGTTATGAAAATAAGATTCTAATCTTAATTAAAAATTAGCATAAAAATATATATAACTCTAGACTGAAAGCAAAATTTAATCTAAAGCGTACATTATATAAGCTAAAAGCACTACTTGGTGTTGGTATATAACAGAGCTTTAAATATATGTAGATGTAGAATTTTACGAAAACATTTTATTTAGCTTAGCATGCAAATTAAATCAAAATTCTAACTTTGTTGTTTTTAAAAATTATTCATCCTTTAACGAACAATATTAACCTTGGTTGATACAAACTTTTGGTAGCATATAGCAGTTTGGACTAAGAAAAGATGAACTATGGCATGCACCTTATTGGAGAGTGTGACAGTTAGTAAATGTAGAAACCACTAATACCGGTCTCATAGATTTGCAACCCATTTCATTTCTTACTCGCTAAGAAAAAGAAGCCATAGCCATGAACTTTTGCTTTGCCTTTCTTTCTTATTTCCCTCTATTCTCAAAAGCCTTCACTTCAACTTTCCAGTGGTCCCTCAGTCCCCATTAGTCCTCAATGGACCACCAAATAATGGAGGAAGATGCAACTTTTTGCTTCAGATGGAACGTGTCGAGTTGGCGTATAGTTCGATCAACATTGTTCGCATAAAATATTTCAGTTGATTGTTTCAACTTTACTTTTATGCTATATTTTTCAATCTAAATGTGATTAGTCATAAAACAAGTTAAGATATGTAAGTTTTGGGCTGAAAAATAAATCTCTAGAAAAATTCACGTGCATGATATCAATGTTTCAATTATTCTCCGGTTTAACTTGCATGATATTTTTCTGAGTTTTCTCGTGCATATGGTTCTATAATAATCCAGATTCCATATTAATGCTAGCACATCAGGTCCATAATCATTGAGGGTAATTCCTATATTCGAATCATAATCAACCAATACTAGCTCATAATAATCTGACCTCCGATCAACATTGCAAATTTAACACTAGATTTAAATTGTGGTTAATCATGAAGTGGTGGACAACAAAGTGCGTAGCTGTAGCATTTTGACCGTTTAAAATCAAGATATCACCATCAACATCAACTGCATCCTCTTGAACTGTGCTTTTTCTAAGTGCAATTGCATGAGGATAAGCATTTGCCACGTGTTACTAGGGAAACACTAAACAATTTAGCAAAATGCTATAAGAAAGATTACCGAATATCGTGAGAAAGATGATAACAATGAATATTATTGTTAAAGGAAGCTATTCTAGGCAACTTTCCTTTGCAATGTTAACTTGCAAATGACCCGTTTGCATGATTTGTTTGTCCTTATCAAAAAATGAGGGTATGAAATAAGTTTGATTAATTAGGGATCTAAAGTGTATATCCCTCTCGCTAAAGTAACAACAATGATAAACAAATTAGGGAAATAACAGCAAGGATTGTCCTCTAACTTTAGATTTAGATATTATATGGACGGACAAGTGGTACGAAGTCTTTACACGTTGTAGAATCGTTTCACTAATATCTTAAACAGATTCGAAGGGGTGATTATTTATTGTAAAAACAGGTTATTAGGCTAAAATAATTTCGAGATGAATTGGACTGAAAAAGATATATATCTATATTGATGTGAAGCGTGAATTAAAAAAAGTATTTAAGCCACTCAAGAGAAAGTTATTTGTATATATTTATTTATTTAGTGGGATTAAAGGTTGAGAATCTTTTGGTACAAGCAAAAAGAAAGGTGATAAAAAAAAATGGGAAACGAGTGGAGAACTGAAAACAAGAATGAATGAAGTGCCAAATAACATTTTTATCTGAAAATATAATCCATTGAAACTGGAGAATTAGGGGATGGAAAAAGAAATATGATTGACAATCCACGAAGGAATCAAAATTGTCCCTCCTTTTTTTTAGAGGATAATGGCATTACGGATTCTTTTTCTTTATTTTTCAGAAAGCCGTTGTTATCAATAATTGATTTGAATTTCTGTTCACATACTTTAAATTTAAAATTTTGCTTACGAAAAAGCTAAATCTCTTATTACATAGACATTTAAATTAAGTATTTTTCAGACTTTTTTGAGGTACTAAATTTCTCACTTTAATAAATTAAAAATAATTTTGTAATATTTTTTTTCTCTTTTCAAATAAAATACTTATTCTCTCATTTTATAGATGATAAAATGAGTTTATTCTAATGAGTTGGCTCATTTAACCTACTCAAAATTGCAGGTTAAGTTAGTTTCTGTACATGTTAATTAATCTGCTTAATTTGTCATTTTTTACTTGTCAAAATGCGAGTAAATGTTAAGAAATGACATGGGGTCGTATTATTTATTAGTTCAAACTAATTTAAATTTGTTAATATAATATTATTTTAATGTTTTTTATAAGTTCTTATTATTTTATAAAAGAATATTTAAAAATAAGAATAATTTTATAACTTCACAATCAATTCTTATTGGAAAGTTTTAATTTTTCCTAAGAAGGTGGTAACAAAATGTTTTAATTATCATTTGTAGATTAAATTTCCCATCAATATATATTTTTTCTATCAAATATGATCTTTTTACATCGCTTTTCTCAAAATTGTTGAAACATTCTCCATAGCACATAAGAAAATAACTAAATTCCTTATTACATATTTTCACATATTCACATATTCAAATTGTGTTTTTTTTTTCCCACTCCAATCGGATAATGCCAATTAAGTGACATACAAATCTGTTTTTAAGTAAAAAATACTTTCTTTCAGTTCTTTTTAATGCCATCCACATTCAATTAGAGAGAGAATGAAATGAGAGGAAGGACAGGATTGATTCCATATGCCATTATTATCCTCATGAAAACGTTTTTTTTTTGTCAGCGATGTTAAGGCTGGAAAACAAAGCTCCAAAACAAAGATAAAAAGCGGGCCAAGCCCAACAAAGATATAGCATGGCCTAGCACCCGAGACAAAGGACATCAACCAGCTCACTGAAACAAAATCTAAGCTATATTTTGCATTAATTTAAAGGGGTAAATGACAATTTTCTTCTCTTTTTGTTCGATAAATAACAATTTTCTTTTGCTGACTTTTTGTTTTTGGTCATTCTTTTGCAACTAAATTTGCGATGACTGATAGTTTGAGTTTTTGGTCCATAGCCCATAAAGTTAAAAGGAGGAGAGAGGGCCATATGTGTGATCAATAGTATTAAATCCATTGGGCATTAAGCCCTTTAAATCAAATGAGGCCCAATCCAAAGCTGTATTAAACGACGTAGTTTTAATATTCTTTAGCCTTTTTATTTATCCCTCACGCTACCAAGAACCCTAACTTGGCTTGTGGTTGTGATCGCCTCACTTTGCTGCAGACCCTAATCTAAGAGCGCGTGCCGCCTGTGATTCGATTTGATGGCAAGTTTCTCGTCCAATTTCATTCAATGGTTCCTTTTCTGTTAGCGTGTTCTAATCTTTGTGTTTCTGTTATGATAGGCTCCAAAGAAGGACAAGGCTCCTCCACCTTCATCGAAGCCCGCCAAATCTGGCGGTGGAAAGCAGAAGAAGAAGGTTCTTGATTCTTCCTCAACTCTCTATTTTTTTCCAATTAATTTTCATTTGGCCAAATGGGCAATGCTAGATGTGAGAGATGGATATTAAGGTGAGATTTGTGGTTTAACAGAAGTGGAGCAAGGGAAAGCAGAAGGAGAAGGTGAATAACATGGTGCTGTTCGATCAAGCTACCTATGACAAGCTTCTATCTGAGGCACCCAAATACAAGCTCATTACTCCTTCCATTCTATCTGATCGTTTGAGGGTACCTCTTCTTTTACCCACCAATTTTTTCCTACGATTTAAGGGTTATTCGTAGTGATTGTAGTGTTTCTGTTTGTGGTATTTTGATGCATGTTGTGTATGTTTAAATTCAATTGGGTCCGGTAAGAGCATAGATGTGAAAGAGGAGATAAATACAGCTGTTAGTTAATTTGTAGTCTTGTATGAGATCTGCATTCCTAGACTGATGGGGATGGTTGTGTAGAGCATTTGCTTGGATGCTATGTGCTTAATTGGCACTTTTTTAACTTATTGGCTGAGATGCAACTTCAACTGCTGCATATGTCAATCTTTATTGGTTTTATGCGTAGCAAGCTTTAAACCTAGGATTTATTGTTAGTTTGCTTCCTGTTTATTTGCTTCCTTTGGGGGAATAATCCCAGAAAAATTATTTTAGTTAACTATACGACAGTATTCTTTGGGCATTGCCCACATTTTCTTCTAAATATCTTTTATTATATTCTTTTAGATATGCTTTACCGATTTACTAACCAATAAAGAACCTCAGCATTATTAAGTTTAGGTACTCTTTATTTAGGTAGGGATGGCCTTTTGTCCAAGACGATTCAGTAAAATATATTGAATTTTCTCAATATGAGATGGGGCAGTTATGGAAAATCAATTAAGTATTTGTTTCTTTAGCCCCATCAAGAATATCGAGACGGGAAACATTTGTTATGGTTTATAATTGCTGTAGAAAACCCAATTCATTGTTTAGTGGATTTAATACCGAGTGTATCATTTTTATTGTTGAAGTGAATTATCCTGAGGAAAGATTGTACACATTATCAATTCTTTGTCTGATTGCTTAGACTTGTTTCTTTGGTCAATTAACCATCAAATAAACCATACCAATTCATAAGGCCAGCAAAAATTGAGAGGAAAAACGAGCTCAAATTTTTACAATATTTGTGGGTGGGTTCTTATTAGGTTTGCCTTTATGTATACTTGTGATTGTGAATTAAGATATCTTATGTCCACTTTGCTTTGTGTCTAATGTGCTTATCAAATTCTCTGTCTTTTTTATGCATTTTTTTAAATATATATATATATATATATATATATTTTATTTTTATTTTTATTTTTGGTTTTCAACCTTTTCTGTATTTTTTATTTTTTAACTGGTTTATTATGGATGATTGTCAATTCATGAGCATTATATGGAGAACTAGTTTGTCATCATTTTGCATACACCTTACAGATTAATGGATCACTCGCAAGGAAGGCTATAAGAGAATTAATGGCTAGGGGTTCAATCAGGATGGTGTCTGCCCACGCAAGTCAACAGATTTACACTAGAGCTACAAACACCTAGATTTTGTACTGGTCATAGTTTATGTAGTATTGATGCGATCGATGAAGTGATTTTGTTTTTCAGTTTGAGACGCCCCTCATGCTAAAAATTACATCAGTTTGACTGTTGCTAAATTCATGGTTTATTTCTTTTTATAACCTCGGTAATATATTTGTCATGGCTTCTATATCTTATCGTTTGGGCACTTTGTTAACATGTCATACCGTGACTAATTTCGTTTAGTTGGGACCCCAATAGGGTAGCGTTTCTATTAGAAACCTATTCCTAAGACAGATTTGGATCTTTTAATTCTTGAAAGCTCGATCTCGACGGATAATTTTACTTTATTTCTTTATGAACTTTCTGTACGAGATAAATAATATCCCCTCTCTAGTTGTTATAATATGTGGGCCAAATAACAATTTCGTAATGTAATAGTTGGTGATAAGATGAATCATGGCCCGTGATTTTCGCTTCAATAAACTGAAAAATTGTAGGTTGTTATAATTATGAACTGCACACATAAAACATAATTTGAAGGAGAAGCTTGAGGGGCAGCAAATACTTCTCTTGCTTTGCTTATTTAGTTGGCGCCGATACGAAATAATCCCAGTTAATTGTCAAGTTCAAATCTTAAAACCATAAGTTGCTAGACGGGTAGTGGAACTGGATAGCCTGAAGTTCTTTCGGAAGTGCATGTGGTACAGTTAATAATCTTAAAGTTGATATTGCGTGGATTACTGTTACCAAAATTATAAAAGGAAACTAGAGGGTGGTTCCAAAATTGCAGCGGAACTTGATCCATTGGCAATATAATGAAATAATTATAATTTGTTGAATAATTACTGAATGCAACGCTAGTCAATAAGAACACTTTAGCCTGTAGAAGAGAGAGACTTGCACTTGCAGAGGGTTTGATTTGAAGTAACCTATGCCGATTATAAAAAATGCTATAAGTAAAGAAGCCGCGACAATCATCTAAATAATAATTTTGTCTTCGCCCTTCATATTTCCCTATGATATGAAGAGATTTTTTCGTATAGCATGTGCCAGTTAAAGTGATGCAAGATGCTGGACTGAATCTCTTGGAAACAGAAGAACATATATTTACAAATAATAAAAGAATGGCTCTGCTTACTCTGGTGGAAGAGGTATCTCAATCCCATGCACCAGTTGCATTTTGACATCATAAAGCTGTCCTCAGCTGGGGAGTACATACACACAGAGAAATGGCAGGTTCCTTAGTTGAAGATTGGCAATGAGTTGGGAAGCATGGTGCTAGGGAAGCAGTATATTTATGTGGAACATATGGTAACGGCAGGATGCACTATGCAGCGACTCTCACCAATCAAATACCAATGCATCTGAGGAGGTGGATAGAGTACTGTTATCTCTCCTCTTTCACAAGCTTTGCATTGTCACGTCTGTCAAGTTTTTTTAATGATAATATGGAAAATTTGGAGTTATGCATTCAGGTTCCAGAGGCATGAATTGACCATTTTAGAGCCAAATCATTAGAACTAGATTTAGACACGAATGGTGATGTAGACACAAACGTCACTTGTACATCATGTAACTAAAAAATTTGGCACTTTATATATATTAAATAAATGAGAATTAAATTCTAACTATTATGCTTGTCATTCCTTTTCCCCTCTCTCCATGGTCATGAAGTACCTTCCATATCTCACTTTTTCTTTGTTGGCATTTTAAGTCCGGCTGCAAAACAATTAAAGGAAAAAAACAAGAGTTGAGGGGGAAGAATTTTAATGCATTATTGTCTACTGAAATAATTAGACACCTCTTTTAGTTTTAGTTTTTATAAAAATTCTATTCGATTTTAATCTTTATATTTAACAAAAAAAAAAAAAAAGCGTGTGATTTTATTATCTCACTGAGGATTAAAATCACATATTTTTAAGAACTAAAATTAAATAGAATTTCTATAGAGGTTAAAAATTTTAAAAGAATGATATTTTAAAAGATAAATATTATTTAACCCTTTGATAAATAATCATAATATTTTGTCGCGGTCTATTTTAAATCGTGGTGTTTCAAGGCATATTAGTTCTACCATGCTTTATACAGTCTTAAGATCAATCATTGAACCCATATTAATTTGATCTTACGTTGCCTTTGGTTGGTGACTTAGTGGTTGATCGATTGTCCTCAATTATCCAGTGATGGGCTCAATTTTCACAATTTGAATGCAACGAACGACGTACGGTTGCTTTCTATTATTGGGACAAACAAATAAATGTGCACTTTCCATATGATATCTTTCTATATCATACAGACAGCAATGCAAGGTCTATAATACACAAACACCGTCACAAGTACAATTTATACTAAAACTATATTTCAGCATTAACATTTTAACTAAATCAGGGTATGGATCCTATATCGTTTATAAAATCCATCATTTTCATTTTTCACAACCCCTAATTTACCTAGATGAAATTTTATTATTTTTTTTAAGAGGAGAAAAAAAGAATGCTATTTTGAGTTAACTAACAATGCAGCTGAGGAATAGAAAAGTGGTCATACTCATTACAGTTATAAACAGAAGACAAGTAACTTGCTTTTCTTTCAAAGCTTCTACTGATATAATAGCTTGCTTATACATTAAATGCATATTAATGAGGCCAAAAAACTATATAAGTCAATCACCGCAAAAGTGTTAGTAGAAAGAGACAATGAAAGTGATAGAATAATTGCATATTCATTAGTACTAACTCTAGCAGATTACAAATACACGTGCATGCATTTACTTGGATAAAATAATTCTTCACAAAAGACAAAAATATAATTGTACCATTAGCTGCTGCCAAAATAATGTCAATGTCCCTCGTGGAACGTATAACAAAGAAACAGTGCACCAAAAAGAAAATTAGGTCAAGATTCAAATGGGATCATAGAATAGTGAGGAAAAAACTAATAAAACAAATAAGTATGAGTTGTAAAGATTAGGCTGGGGGACATAACATTAACATATCTCTGATAATATTTAGATCAATCTAGATCGGTTAGCAATTATTTGTACTTGTTAAGATGAGACTCCTCCTGTCTCTATGGCCATATATATTGTGCAATAGCCAAGGAAGGATAACAAGTTAGCCATTCAATTGCACATAAACAACATTAACTCCCTCCTCTTCTTTTGTCGAGGAAAAATGGAAGCATTGAACTCCAAATTCCATAACCATGCTCGTTCTAATAGTTTACCCTCTAAACCACACCCTATCATCATACAATGCAATGAACACTTGGCCAGGTTAGGGGCTTATGATGCAAGCTCCTCTTCTTCATTGCTAAGGCAAAAACTAACTAGCCTACAGGATTTGCATGATTGCATTGAAAAATTGGTTCAACTCCCCCTAACTCAAGAAGCACTTGTCCAAGAACGCCAAGAGAAATGGGTGGATGATCTCTTGGATGGATCTCTAAGGCTCCTTGATGCTTGTACAGCAACCAAAGATGCCTTACTACACACAAAGGAGTGCACCCGAGAACTACAGTCAACTATAAGAAGAAGAAGAGGAGGTGAAGTGGAGCTCACAGTAGAGGTTAAAAAGTTCTTGACCTCAAGGAAAATAGTGCGCAAGGCCATAGTCAAAGCCTTGGAGAATTTGAAGGGTAATGCAAATAAATGCAATGTTTCCATCACCAACAAAGACTATCAAACCATGGCCTTAGTTGGCTTGTTAAAAGATGCTGAAGTGGTCTCTTTTTCCATATTTGAGTCGTTGCTGAATTTCTTTTCTGGGTCAACACAATCTAAACGAAGTAGCTGGGGTTTGGTTTCAAAGCTAATGCACAACAAAAGGGTAGGATATGCACAAGGAGCAGATGAGAATGAGTTTGCAAAAGTGGATGCCGAATTGCAGTTCTTTGCATTTAACACGTCAACCAAGTCAAACAACATCAATGATTTGCAAAAGAAGCTAGAGAACTTGGGGTCCTGTATCCAAGACCTTGAAGAAGGACTTGAATCACTGTTTAGGCGTTTAATTAAAATTAGAGTTGCCCTGCTCAACATCCTTAATCACTAGTTGAAGAATTTAGAGGCAACATTTTTTTAGTAATGGCACAGATATTATCATCTTGGATGCAATTGTAGATAATGTACTTACTATGTTAATGATATGATGAATATATCACTCAGTAGATTGTTCATATATTTCACATTTGCTCTCTTTAATAGTTTATGACATGACATGGATTTGCAATAAATACAATGATGGTTTTGAAATTTCGGCACTTTGCAAGGCTGGATAGTCCTATTGCTTCAATATTGCCTCTCAGTATTTGCATTGAATAAAGCATCATTAATTGGATTACCAGTAACATTTTAAAAATTCTGTGCTCTTGAATAACTTAATTGCTTCGTCATTAAAGATTAATGATGATAATGTTGCTCCAATATTGTCTTTTCCTATTTGCATTGAGTAATACAAAATTGGATTACGACTTGCATTTTCAAAATTTCTGCTCTTGATAACTGTTATTTTCGTGTATTAATCCTTAATGGGTGTATTTGTTGTACTGATCGTTTTTTGAATCAGGGTGAATTTGCATCCTTACTTCTCCTCGCGGTATTGCTTATAAGTCCCTTAAAAATTTTCCCTTTATAGACACACTGTAATGTAATTCAAGTGTCCTTCTCATCTGTGTGTTGACTCATATCTACTACTCCTAAGGGGTTGAAAACTAGCTTGTAAATATTGTAATTATTTTTTCCTACATTTTTTTTTTAAAAGGATAATTGGTTTCACGTGTGTATGACTAACAGAATGATGACTACTTATTTCTCTCTAATACAATGTAGAGTATGATACATGCATTTACATAAACATTCACAAATTAATTGATTTGATCTGGGAACACTGCATAAACATAGCCATCCAGATAGGACCGATCTTTGATGTCTGAAGTTGAAGAGTACCCCCATCCCCACTCTCCTTTTCTCCATTCTCAAGCCACATACAATTAAACATGTTCTGTTTAATGGTATTTATAAATAGAGCTGCTTCTCCTCTTGCAGACACAAGATCCACTTCCAATGCTCACTCCAATAACCTGCCCTTTTGAAGTTCACATTTTGTGATTTTATATCTTGGACCTGATAAGATGGAGGAGACAAGCAAAAGTATCCCATCTATGGCAGATTTCATGTCATATTCATGTGATCCCTAAGAAAAAAAATTGAGGGATGAGTTGGAAAGCTATGTTTGTGGGAAGCATTAAACAAACAATGCTGTGATGGAACTAGGATGATAAGATCAGAATTAAGATAATACAGTTGCATGCCCTCTTGGTGACATTTAAAAATAAAAATATTCTTCTTGTCTCCTCAATTCATGTGCTATATATTGAGCAGATATCAACTACTAAGACCCAAAGTTGAGAACAAATTGTATTTTCGTCTCCTAGCTATCTCTATTTTCTAATAAGAGAAAATGGCAGCCATAGAAACAAACACAAGAAGCTCTCTGCATGGTCGAAGCAACAGCTTCCCCTCTGCATCACACCCCATTGTATCACAAGTTGAGGAGCACTTGCATAGATTGAATAATTCTGAAGCCACTGCTTCTCTGTCATCATCTTCAATAAGTCACAGACTCAAAGACTTGCAGGATTTGCAAGAGAGTACTAATAAGGTGCTCCAATTAACATTTACCCAACAAGCATTGGCGCAAGAATGCAAGAACAAACAGCTTGATGAACTATTAGATGGGTCTCTAAGGCTCTTGGATATTTGTAGCACAGTTAAAGATTGTTTGCTACAATCAAAGGATAGCATGCAAGAACTTCAGTCAGTTATTCGCAGAAGGAGAACTGCTGAAGCTGGATTGACAATTGAGAGTGGAAAATACATGGCATGTAGGAAGAAGATGAAAAAGGCAATTGGAAAGGCCTTGAGAAACTTGAAAGCAATGAAAAACGAGTTCTCGGTTTCTTCCTCAAACAAAGAAAAGGAGACTTTTTCCATGCTCAGCATCTTAAAAGAAGCACAAGTGGTCACTATGAGGTCATTAGAATCTTTGTTGTTGTTTATCACTGGCCCAAAAGGACAGCTAAAGCAAAGCAGGTTCTCAGTAATCTCCAAGCTGGTGCAGCCTAAAAGAATATCTTGTGAATTAGACACTAATGAATTCGAGATGGTTGATGCTGTGTTGAACCTTCTCATCAGTTCAAAGCCTTTATCTGTTGAGAATGTTCAGAGCCATATGCAAAATTTAGCCTTGTGCATTCAAGATATTGAAATTGGAGTTGAAAGCCTCTCAAGACAACTAATTAGAACCAGAGTTACCCTTCTCAACATTTTAAGCCAATAGTCATCCAAAATATGTTTCTTACCCATATGTGTACATAAATATGATTAAAGAAAAATGTATATACTTTTTGACCGTATGCCATATTTCTTGCCCTTCACATTCTCAGTTCTATAATTTTCTTTCGAGTTTGTCTAAGTTACTTTACAGGATAAATAATTGTGTCTTAAATAGACTAATAAGATTTTTTCTATAAAAAGTTTTAATACAATATATTTTACCCCATAAGTAACTTAGATAAGTGAAATAAAAGATAATGTGAAAAGTAATGTAAAAAGAAAGATAGAGGAGAGGAGGAAGAAAATATAATAATGATTAGAAACCACTATGTATCAATTATGCCCAAGTGGGATTCAAAGCCAATTTTTATTCATAGCCTAGCTGTAAAGATTACAAGTGCTATATGATTAATGATAAAACAATTATCAGATTTAATTCCTGCACTGTGCTAAATTAAATAATCATGGTCTATGTGCTTAATACAATGGACAACGTGTTCATTGTCCTCCTGCCAGAAGGCAAGTAGTCAAATTAAATTAATATGATTCTCAATTATTTGCCCTTGTAATGACTTCAGAGCAGATGCTATTATGCACAACTAATTTATATTGTTACAACTAAAAATGTGTTTAGCATTTATACACAAAAACAATTCAATTATAACCAAAATGATTATTTGTCCTCTCGAACACCTGATGAGTCATATTAAGTTACGTTAACTCCAATTGGTGAAAAATAATTTTATACATGCATTCATTACAATGGAGAAAGTCATGGCAATGTCACTCGCGATGGCGTGAGTTAAAGAAAAATAAAAATGTTAAAAGAGTTTTTCTGTGCAAGAGACATTGCATTAACTTACTGAGGTTTTGTGTATATCTGAATCCAAGTCAATTAGCTTACCCTCATGGATATCTTTTATAATAGTGTTTGATTCCTTTTGTCTCCCAAACCTTCAATATATATTGAACCAATCTCTATGGAAGGAAGGTTCAGCGAAGACTAAACTGTACATATTCAACCTGTGGTGATAGTGTTGCGTACTATCCTCAAACAATTTTCGTCTAGACATGTTGTTGCTGTACTGCATCACTTAATATGTAACCTTCACACCCTTCATGTCTCCTAACTAACGGGTGAAGTAATTTTCACATATTAAAGTCCCTGAAATCATGTTTCAAAATGTAAACATAGTTTGAAATTCATGTCAACTTGTTTGAAAATTCTATATTAAATTAATTTTGTCTCTAAACTCACTTTTTTGAACTAACGTGTGACAAACTATAGCTTTAGAGTGGAGTTTAAATAATTTCACTTCAAATTCACTTTAAAATCAAATTTGTAAAATTAACTTAATTCAAAATGAATTTTATAAACACCCAACCAAACACACACTGAAACTAACAAAATGCAAAATGGTAGCACAAGTTGAAACATTAATAAATATTGAATCAATGTATTGATACCAGAAAACAAAGAACCCCTTATTTGTTTTTTTTTCCCCTGTTCTAGGACAAGGCAGACAAGTTCTCAACCCCAATGCTATATTTCTGAATTGAAACAGCTCCTCCTCCAGGTAATAGCTTCTAACATGATGCACGCTCCAGGGTTTGAAATTTTATATTATTAGCATCTCGTAAAGATGCCATAATTCCAATAATCCATGTGAGTGGAAGTTAAAAATTAAGGGATGAGAAGGCTAGGTGCATGAGAAGCATTGCCAGGCCCAGACATATTAAGAAAAATATTCTTCTTGTCTCCTTTATGAAGCAATATCATGCTCATTATGAAGAGAAAGCTAAGATCCAAATCAATAAGATATAATTGCACGTTTGTTATGTGACACTTGGGGTAAAAAATTTTTTTGTCTCTCATAATACATTCACTATATATGGAGCAAATGCCATCTTCTAAAACTCGAAGAGTTTAGAAAACACAACACAACACAACATATCCCCTCATAGGCTTGTGTTTTCTGATAATAGAAAATGGCAATCACTGAAACAAACACAAAGAGCTCTTTGCATACTCGATGCAACAGCTTGCCCTCTACACCTCACCCACTCGTTTCACAATATGAGGAGCATCTGCAAAGATTGAAGGACTCTCAAGCCACCTCTTCAATATCGTCATCTTCATTGAGCCACAATCTTAATTGGTTGTTGGATTTACACCACTGCACTGACATGTTGCTTCAATTGCCAATGAAACAAGAAGCCTTAGCACAAGAGTGCAATGATAAATGCGTTGATGACATTCTTGAAGGGTCGTTGAGGCTCTTGGATATCTGCAGTACAGCTAAAGATTGCTTATTGATAGCAAAGGAAAGCATGCATGAACTTGACTCAGTGATCCGAAGAAGGAGAGGTGATAAAACTGAGTTCATTGCTGAGGGTGGAAAATACTTGGCTTCAAGGAAGAAGTTGAAGAAAGCAATTAGAAAGGCATTGGGAAATTTGGAAGCAATAAAAACTGAGTTTGCAGTTCTCCCCTCAAACAAAGACTATGACACTTTGTCTATGGTTAGCATCTTAAAAGAAGCAGACGAAGTCACAATAAGGTCTTTAGAATCTCTGTTGCTGTTTACCTGTGACCCCAATGGACAATCAAAGAAGAGCAGATGGTCAGCAATCTCAAAGCTGATACAGCCTAAAAGAGTGGTTTCTGACTCTCAAGAATCAAACAAAAATGAGTTTGAGAATTTGGATGCAGGTTTGCAGTCTCTCCTCTGTCACAAGCCTTCAGCTATTAAGAATTTACCTAGCCATTTGGAAAATTTGGAGATGTGCATTCAGGATCTAGAAATAGGAGTTGAGCACCTCTCAAGAAAACTAATTAAAACAAGAGTTTCCCTTCTCAACATCTTCAACCATTAATTATAGAACATCTCTATGATTTTTGTGAACTCAATTTTGTCCCCATGAGTAGCGTCTCCTAATTGTATATGAATGTGATTAACCTTTGATTTTTTTTAATGGAATATACCAATATGATCAAATTGTAGTTATTGCATTTTCTCCCTTTTTAAAATATGTGAAAGGAAATGGGTTAGACAAGCATTTTTCATTCAAAAAACTATAACAATCTGATCAGTCTTCTTGATCTATACAAGAAGGAAAACGAAATGAATGATGAAAGAGGAGGAGGACTGAAGTGTAATAATTAGAAAACAGAAAAGTATTATTAAGAAAAATAAAAGAAAAATATGCCAATCAAGCACTGAACCCACATGTGATTCAAAGTAACTTGAACTCGTATCCTAGCTGTCAAGCTTAAAACTGCCTAACGATGATTAAATCAAAATTTAAATGCCTGCACTGCACATGTTCTCAATTTTTATAAGCTAAGGACAATGGAAAAAAATATGCTTGTGTTCATGTAATGAGAACAAGCTAATTAGTATCTTATCTTAATATACAGTTCATTATTAAGTTTTCTTTGATGTGAAAGACAGACCAATGGAAATAAATAACACATCAATATAGTTCACTAACGGCTAATATAATTCAATTTTTGTTGTTCACTTAAACGATATTATGCAAGATAGAAATAACCTATTGTAGGGCTGGATAGAATTAGTAACATAAATAGAATTGACAAAAAAAGTATTAAGCTGAATTGCGGGGAAAAATATATTTAACTAATTGTACATTTCTGGCTGTATCTCAAGCAGCACAGTTATATGGGATTAGTTCAGGTAGTAAGAAACTGTGCTAGGAGAGGGACAACTTGCTTCTTTGATCTATTAGCTTCTAAACAGAAATTATTAATCATTTGACATATTATCCTGTTGTTTAAAATTTCATTAATTTTTCCCTTAAATTTTTTTTTTTATCACCAAACACCTGCAGTAAAACAAAATTTAAGGTCAATATAGTTCTAATCTTTGAATGTAGAAAATAAGCACTAGAGACAGGAGCATGATTAATCTCAAATACGCGATTAAGTCTCGTGAATATAGAAAATAATCGCGGAAAAAGCTTAACTCATAAATTGAAGACAATAAAACACATTTAAATAAGTTAATAATCTAAACTTACGCGTATGTTACCAGATAAATTTAGAATATTGTGCCAATTTTTAATAGGATTGTGTTCAAAATATTTTGAAGATGCAATCGATATTCAAGTCAGGAAATTATCAATACGAAAAGAGGATATTGCAACCAAAAATTGAGAAATATTTTCTGTTTTTATCATCAGATATTTACACTTATAATTTCCATGTACGAGTGTATCTACATCGATCACCACAAAATTTGATACTCAGATATATATGTTGAACTAGTGGTTGAGGATATTAAGAAGGGAAACTCTGATTTTAATGAGGCGCCTAAATAGAAACTCAAGTCCTTCTTCAAGGTCTTGAATGCACGACTCCATTTTCTCCAAGTGGTTTTGCAAACCATTTACGTCTTCATACTTGCTGGTCTTGGTAAAAACGAAGCTTTGCAATGCCAAATCCACTTGGGCAAATTCATTTTCATCTGCCACCAGAGAGCAACCTACTCTTTTGGGCTGAATCAGCTTGGAAATGGAAAGCCACCTGTTTGACTTTGATTGTGTTGACCCTGAGATAAATTGCAGCAGTGTCTGAAATGTTGATAGTGTAGCCACTTCCACATCTCGTAATAAGCTCATCAAAGCCACTGTTTGATGGTCTTTGTTTGTAGGATATGAGATGTTGCAATTTCTTGAAGTGCCCGTCAAATTTGACAATGCTTTTGAGGTGGCCTTTTTCACTACCTTCCTACATGTCAAGAATTTCTTAACCTCTAATGTCAGCTCCACTTCACCACCCCTCTTCCTTCTTATCATTGATTGAAGTTTACGTGTGCATTCTTTTGTATGCAATAAAGCATCCTTGGCTGAAGTGCATGCATCTAAGAGCCTTAAGGATCCATCCAAAAGGTCATCTACCCAATTCTCTTGACACTCGTGGAGAAGGGCATGTTGGGTGAGAGGAAGCTGAATCAACTTTTCAACACACACAATCAAATCTTGCAAGCCTCCAATCTTATGGCGAAGCAATGATGAGGAAGTGGAGGTTTCATTGGAAGCCCTTAAGGTGTCCAAGTGCTGACTGATTGCATTTAAGAATGAGAGGGTGTGGTCTAGAGGGCAAGCTGTTTGAACGACCATGGAAATTGGATTCCATTTTCTCTCAAGAGAAGAAGAGAAGCCTTGATTTTGAATGTAGAATTGAGTCTATGGATCTGTGTTCCTTCCATTGGAATGTTGTCAATATATATATTGAGGGTGTTGTTGACATAAGGAATCTCATCTTAAACAAATATCAATAAGGCTAACTAATGGAGATTTGCATGTACACATAATTACATAAATGTTAGAATGGTGCCTCCCCCAAGGAAGCTATCCAACTCATACTTTGTGGCATATTGTTCTCTCACTTTTATGATTATGACATTTTTAATGCAAATATAAATCAACTGCTCCTGTTGACTGCTGTAATGCTAAAACGATGACTGCAATACCGCTAACCATCCTTTATCGGAGGAACAATAATCGCATCCCTTGTTTCCATATAACATTTAACTTAAATATTAATATAAAGCTAATCCTTGGTGCGCCCACATAGCTGGGCTATTTTATGTAGTGGGTATATAATTTTTATTTGCAAGATGCAATACACGAGTACTTGATTAAAACAGATCACTATAAAAGAAGTCAAACCTAAGCTTGTTCATGTACGTTGTTTTGTCCATCTCGTTTCCTGTTTCAAATATACCTCGGCTGGTTTATGCTTCTATTGGTTTTAGTGTTATACCATATATTCATCTTAAAAGATCTTGTACAAAAAATATTCACAAAAATAAATAAATAAATAACTAGGACTAAACTAGTGGTGAGGGACATGAGTAGTTCACATAATGTTCAAATAAATCATCTTTAATAAGCAATTATCTTTCTTTTTTAACTTATTGTTAGGACTAAGTTGGCACTAATCTATTTGCAATACATAAAATTATAAGTCCATTTTGAATATTTTTTAGTTATAATTAATGGTAGATGGTCATATTTGAATATAGATTACGGTGTATAACCTTGTTTAAGCGAGCATTAAAAATTGTATTATATTAGTTGTAATTGAAATATATTACGTGTTGGATAATGTTTTGTGAACAAAATAACGGGACAACAAAAAGTTGTTTTCTTTGACTTCAGAGCATATTTTTGAGTTATATGTATATGAAAACATTAAAAACTGAAAAATAGGAATGATTGTATACAATGTAGTGTTAATTTTTTTTTAATTCAACTAATGAACCAGTTCTGCTGTCTTTCACAATGAAAGAAAATTAATAATGAAAAGCATTTTAAGATAATATACCAATTAGCCTGTCTCTTCATGAGAACGTGTGCAGCGCAGGTATTTAAATTTTGATTTAATCATCAACCTAATTTATTTTGTTATAATTTTCATATTTCTAAATTCTAGATTATAGTCCTCCTCTTTGATCCTTAATTTCGTTTTTAAATTTTTTCTTGTATATATCTAGGAGGCTGATCAGATTTTTAAAGTTTTGAACTGAAAAAGTTGCCTATCCTTCTCTTTTGTTTCACATGTTTTAGAGGTGAACATTTGAAAAATTGAATCTTTGGTATGTTCTGAGGAGAAAATCAAAATTGAATCACATTCATGTACAATTGGGAGACACTACTAATTGAGTTCACAAAAATCACAAGGATGCTCCATGATTAATGGTTGAGAACGAAAACTCTTGTTCTAATTAGTTTTCATGAGAGTTGCTAAACTCAACTCCTATTTCTAGATCCTGAATGCACATCTCTATATTTTCCAAATAGTTCTAGGCTTGTGACTGAGGAGAGACTGCATAGCTGCATCTAATGCTTCTTGTCACATTGGCAATTGAAGCAACTTATAGTGTAGTCATGCAAATTCAAATTGCAGCGAATATGAAGAGACCTCTTTGTGTTTGTTTCAGTGACTGCCATTTTCTCTTATCAGCAAACACAAGGGAATATATTGTGTTGTGTATTCTTAACTCTAGAGGCTTGAGTTTTAGGACTTGTCAATTGGCATCTACTCTATATATAGTGAAAGTGAACAAATTGGGAGAGAAATGGCATCTTTGTGTGTTGCTAATATAAAGTTTCAAACCTTGTTGAGCATGCATCATATCGGGATGAAAAGCAGTTTCAAGTTTTAGCTCATAAATAGCATCCAGTTTTTGAACTTGTAGGCCTAGAACAGGACAATATATTGATTCAATATTTTTTTTTAATGTATCAAGTTGTGCTACCATTTTTGCATTTTGTTAGTTGTAGTCACTGATTCATTAGTAGGTGAAAACCATTTGATCCAGTTGGTTAGGGGACATAAACAGTGTGAGGGTTCTGTTTTTGTTAAGACGAACATTGCTCTGAGGGTAGTATGCAACACCTCATCACACATTGAATTTGGTCTTTGGGGTACCTTCCTTCTATAGAGATTTGTTTAATATATTATATATGATATGGGAACGAGTGAAGTGATTCTTGTTTCTCCAAGAAAGGAGGGCTACCCGTATTGCAGTCATTGTTTTAACATTACAACAGTCCACACGTGCATTTGACTTATATCTGCACTGAAAATGTCATAGTCATGCAAGTAAGACAAAGTATGAGTTGGGGAGTTTCTGTGGGGGGAGACACTGCTCTAACATTTATGTGATTATGTGTAGATCCAAATCTCCATTAGTTAGTCTCATTGATATTTGTTTGAGATGAGATTCCTTATGTCAACAACACCCTCAATATATATATAGACAACATGCCAATGGAAGGAACACAGATCCATAGACTCAATTCTACATTCAAAATCAAGGCTTCTCTTCTTCTCTTGAGAGAAAATGGAATCCAATTTCCATGGTCGTTCAAACAGCTTGCCCTCTAGACCACACCCTCTCATTCTTAAATGCAATCAGCACTTGGACACCTTAAGGGCTTCCAATGAAACCTCCACTTCCTCATCATTGCTTCGCCATAAGATTGGAGGCTTGCAAGATTTGATTGTGTGTGTTGAAAAGTTGATTCAGCTTCCTCTCACCCAACATGCCCTTCTCCACGAGTGTCAAGAGAATTGGGTAGATGACCTTTTGGATGGATCCTTAAGGCTCTTAGATGCATGCACTTCAGCCAAAGATGCTTTATTGCATACAAAAGAATGCACACGTGAACTTCAATCAATGATAAGAAGGAAGAGGGGTGGTGAAGTGAAGCTGACATTAGAGGTTAAGAAATTCTTGACATGTAGGAAGGTAGTGAAAAAGGCCACCTCAAAAGCATTGTCAAATCTGACGGGCACTTCAAGAAATTGCAACATCTCATATCCTACAAACAAAGACCATCAAACAGTGGCTTTGATGAGCTTATTACGAGATGTGGAAGTGGCTACACTATCAACATTTCAGACAATGCTGCAATTTATCTCAGGGTCAACACAACCAAAGTCAAACAGGTGGCTTTCCTTTTCTAAGCTGATGCAGCCCAAAAGAGTAGGTTGCTCTCTGGTGGCAGATGAAAATGAATTTGCCCAAGTGGATTTGGCATTGCAAAGCTTCGTTTTTACCAAGACTAGCAAGTATGAAGACGTAAATGGTTTGCAAAACCACTTGGAGAAAATGGAGTCGTGCATTCAAGACCTTGAAGAAGGACTTGAGTTTCTATTTAGGCGTCTCATTAAAATCAGAGTTTCTCTTCTCAATATCCTCAACCACTAGTTCAACATTGATATATGAGGATCAAATTTTGTGGTGATCGATGTAGATACACTTGTACATGGAAATCATAAATGTAAATGTCTAGTGATGATAAACACAAAATATTTATCAATTTTTGGTTGCAATATCCTGGCTTGTACAGATCAATTGCATCATGTCAATATTTTCCGCAAATTAAACTGATACATAATTTACTTTTCTAGAAACTAATTATGCATTCAAAATAAAAGAAAAACGATTAAAAAATGAAAATGCTTCGTATTTAAAAGAAATTTATTCGAACTTATAAAATAAAATTGTAAGTTTTTTTAATTCATTATAGTAAAATTTATAATGCAACCTCTTACATGATAAATGTTATTTCCATATCTGAAATGATTTTCTCAGCCTCAAATATCTTCTACATATTTTTCCAGGGTCAATTCAACTTTGCTTTTACTGACTTTTATTTATACAGAAAAAGTAATTCCCGTGAACGTCATTTTCATCACCCGAAACATGAAAAAAATCGCTCATCACAATAATCAACGAAGAACATGACTTTCACATTTGCATATTGTAAAACGAGTCTTTTAGAAGCGTCACGATTCATTGATTCTCTAACTCTAAGTTATAACGTGAAAATCATTTGAAAGGAAAAAATCACACCAACAGATATATACGCAACCCATTTGGTCTCATAAAGTGTATTATAATATGTCAGGTAAGAGGATTTTAATGTCAAGGAGTGGTTATTATCACTTTTATTTAATAATTTTTTATATATCATATTTTATTATTATTAATTATAAAAATAATATTTTAAATAAAAATTACTTAAATAGAAGTAATAATAAATATTTATTGTAATAATTATTAAACACCTAAGTTTTAGAGTATAAAAGTAAAAATAAAAGAAAAAATAAAAATATAATAAGTAGTGTAAGGAAAAGATAAATATAAGATGGAAGAAAAGTAAAGATATTATATGTAAGTGTAAAAATTTGCTGCTTGTCTTAATTACTTGTCTTGTTTCTGCCCCTTTTTTGGAGGGTAAGTAATTATTCTAAATCAATTGTATTTATTAGTGATTTTTATCTATTTTTAATAAATTATTAAATTTTTTCAATTAATATTTTCTAACAAAATATTATTTCTTAAATTAATTAATTTTAAATTATTTTAATATTAATATTCTTAAATACATAAAATCCTATTTTAATTTTTATTTCTAGTACAATATTTTAATTAATTAAATAAAATGTTTATTAAATAATGTTTAATTTAAATATTTTATTTATATTTAAAAATATCCATATAATACAACATATTTGTTTTTAAAAACAGAAATTGAAAATGTAAAATTAAAAATCTAGGAGGAGCCCAGAAGAGGCGTAGGAGAAGCTCTCACAAGTCGCTATCTGAATATAGAAAAACACGTCGCAACTCATAAAGGCTCAATCTTCACAAAGATATTTGAAATTTTAAAAATAATAAGGAATAAAATAAATTTAGATAAAATTGTAAAATAAATTAGGAAGAGATATGTATAATTAGTTAAAAGCGAATTATAAATTTTAATAACCAATTAAGAATAATATGTATATATTAGTTTCTAAAATAAATATAATAATTACAATAGAGTGTATCTTAATTTAACACAAGGTGGATAAAATAACTTCCGATTGAAATCGAACTCAAACCTTTTTTTTTTTTATCGGAATATCCGATTCTTACAAATCAACAAAATCCAGCAATAAATATTTGTTTCTCTTAAACATATTAATATGAATTTGCTTCAAATCGTATATATGAAAAAATCACTTTATTAAAATTGTGATTAGTTAAAATTCCTTATTGTCACGCTGTTTAAAGTGCATCACATCTATTAAATTTTTGAATTTTGAGCTTTTAAAATTATATCGTAAATTCATAATCGTTCGAGTAGAAAAGTAAGAATTTGAGAATTGTGAGTTAATTATAATAATTAAAAAATAAAATAGAAAAGTACAAAAAGGCAAAAATCTGCATAAATTATAATAAAAGAAAAAGAATGTATTTAAGCCACATATCGGAGGGAAGTGGAGGCCTGAATTTGTATTTGTGTGAATCAATTGCTAGCAGAGCATGGCACATGCATGTTGTCACTTTGTAACTTGTTTTTCTCTTGCAGTACAATCAGATGGTCCCATCACATTTTCTTTTACGATTTTTAGTTTCTGAAAGAAGAATAATACTAATGATATTTATGCTATTCAATGTTATTAAATTATTCAGAGAGCACCTTGTTCACAAGTAATTGCGATAGAATTAGAGAAATACAAGCTTTGAGTAAACAACATAGTCCTCTAACTAATACGCATGTAAGTGAGGCCAAATTGATCACTTAAAAAAATCATTATCAATAGCTTCTGCCATGTCCCAGTTGTGGGGCTGGCATGGCTGATTGTCAGAGACATTGAACCCTACTTTAACGGTGGAGATGAAGCTCAGTGGAAATGTCCTAACAATAATATCAAACAAAACAATGAAATAAAACAAAATGGAACGTCATATTCACATGCAGCACCCGCAGTATGAGTCGAATAACTAGTGTCAGTAGCATCATGCGCTTGTTTGTTTCTTATTAAGAGTTAAGGTCCAATCTAAACGGGCTTAATGTTCATCCCCAAAAAATTTGATATAAACTTGTAACATTATTTATTTAAATAATTTGAAATGCACTCGGGGATTGATAGTATGTGAGTATGATAATGATATGCTTAGTTGACGAATGAGTGATACGTGAAATGGGAAGGGTATGGCAGATGAACAAGAACAAAAAACAGAGACACTGATGGTGGGTCCACTGAGAACAAGAACAATGGTTAATGAGCCCCACATCGGGGACATACTTATACCAAAAAGAAAGCTTATGCATATCAATTTATGATTTATAAGAATTAATTCAACGGTAGGTTTTATGTAGTGCTTCAGACTAATATTTTTAAATTTAATTCATTTGATTTTGATTTAATGAATCGGAATATTGGAAAGTTCGGTGATATTATTTGTTTACTACCCATGATTGTTTCCATCTTTGATGTGGATATTGGTTTGTGGAGTTGCTTAGGCATGAATTAATTTGCAGGGGAAATGTAATTCAATTAATAAATTTCATTTTTTTTTCCAGATTATGCAAAAGGGAAAATGGATTTTCTGGTTCAACATGTCGATGATGGTCCATTTAAGGTAAGTAATTTTCAGATTGTGAATGTATCAAAGTGGATTCTTCTCACCTCATTTTGTCCAGAAAGTTCAGTTGTTTTGTTTGACATGGAATTAATCTACACGATTCCTAGTACGACAAAATCAGTTCCACTTGTAACGACTAGAGAATAACTATTACCCAGGATGAATGTTTCTCTCTCTTTTTCTTCCTTTGCGACCATAAATATACCATACAGTGAATCCACCGCATTGTTCTCAAATCACAACAACAATTAATGATATAAAACTAATACTCTACTTTTTAAGACAATTTTACATTTAAAATTACTTTAAAATGCATTTGATGCACGTTAAAGAATAGTAAAAACAACAATACAAAAATTGAGTCATAACATCTTTTTTTTAATATATATATATCTTCCATTTATTGATTTGATACACAATTTTGAGCATAGAGCAAGGGGTTGTGGTAGATACAAGGTCGATTAGGTTTGCAAGTTCTTTTTCGCTGGCATTGACGGATTTTAGGATATAATACTATTTTGTCTCATCAAAATTTTGATTAATTTATTCATTTTTACATCAATTTAGTATCTAAAAAGGATTAAATTAATTATTATTTTTATCTTTCCATGACAAAAATTACGTTTTATGTTTTTTTTATTAAACATGAAATGCGTATATTTAATTACTTAAATCTTTCATTTTTTAGACAAATCAAACACATCATTGTTTTATATAGTAACATCTTGGTAAAATTATAAATGTAAGAAACAGATAGATATTCAAATGGCAATTGCAAGTATGAAAATGTTTACCATTTATCAAACTCAATCAAGCTGAATAGAACAATAATTATTGATAAATTTGGCAACTTGCCAAGAGAATAGCGAGATTAAATGATAGATTCGAGCAGCCTGAACATTCATACATAGGAATGAGTAATTTCTCCATGGCATAATACATTCAAGCAAATAACGTCCGTATAAATTCACATAAAATTTTTGAACGAATCTCCGTATTAATTATTTTTTCTTTGATTTCCTGTACGAACACTGCCTGAAATTGACACGTCTTTTGTTCGCTAATGGCTTTCCCATGTGTAACAAATACCTTGAAACTTGGACTATGGGAATTGACGGTCTTGGAGTAGAGTGGCAAACCAACATTATTTTATATACTATATAGTTTTGGAAATTAATAATATTTACCAAGATCATAAGATTTTTTATTTTTTTTTGAGACCCTTCTGGTGAGGGGTATGGCTCACTAGCCAATAAAGGCAACCTCCTACCTTAAACGCCACTCGATTGCACTATTTAGTCTAATAATTTGCCTTCAATGATCTCGAGATCACTAGGATCCCTTTTTTAGATTTTCCTATTTTGTTTCACACTCACACGTTAATTTTAGTTGACCTTTGGGTGGCTTAGACTTTGATCCTCTTCAGCTTCACCTTTGGAGTTACTTAAGGTATGCTTTTTCTTGCTGTTTATTTAATTATTAGTATATAGTTTCTCATGCTTTGTGGCATATTTGTTTAATGCGTACTTAACTTGCAGGTTGAGGTGAGGTCTTTGCAGTTTCCAGGGCCTTTGGACATTTGATCCATCACCATCTTCTTCTTAGCAGTGAGCAGTGAGGTGAGGTCACTGCAATGGCTTCTGCTTGTGTGACGTTGAAAGCCAATACCCATTTCACAAACTTGGAAAAAGGCTACCCTTTCTGTAAAGATAATGGCTTTCTGGGGGAAAGAATCACGGGTAGCTTGAACAACAGTGCTTTTGTTATGAATCAGTTGGCTAAACGTTCTAGAACACAAAAAAGAATGGTCAAACATGGTGTTGTATCTGCCGTTCTCACTTCAAATAATGCCAAGGAATCCCTGGTATGCTGAATTTGATTCTAGGATTCACCTTCTACTTGTCAACCTTTTAATTATTGTGAAAAAAAGGTTACTTTTTACTTTGTTTTGTGTTTGTGTGGCTGCATTATTATTTGGTGTTTTAGTGAGTGTGTTTTGAATTTCAGACCCTGCAAGTGCCTTCATTTTTGAGACGAAGGGCTGACCCAAAAAATGTTGTTTCCATCATATTGGGAGGAGGACCTGGGACACAACTGTTTCCTCTCACCAAACGTGCTGCCACACCTGCGGTAAGTGAATCATGGTTTTTGTCTGAGTCCTAACTTCTTGGAGTTCTGTGTTGTGTTGTGATGATGGTTTTTGTTACCAAACGTGGAACGCATTTTTCAGGTTCCTGTTGGTGGATGCTACAGGCTTATAGACATCCCTATGAGCAACTGCATCAACAGTGGCATTAACAAAATATTTGTGCTAACCCAGTTCAACTCAGCATCCCTCAACCGTCACATCGCCCGCACTTATTTTGGAAATGGCATCAACTTTGGGGATGGCTTTGTGGAGGTATGTGCATTACCATCACTATGTTCCCTTTGGTTACTGTGATTGAAAGAGGAATATAAGCCACTAGAGGGATTCTTGTTGACCAGTTTCCTGTTTGTGTTCTTTCTTTTGTTCCGATTCATGATCACTAACTAAATCAACCTAAACGCCAAACAGGTTCTGGCTGCTACTCAAACACCAGGAGAGGCTGGAAAGAAGTGGTTCCAAGGAACAGCAGATGCTGTGAGGCAATTTACATGGGTATTTGAGGTGGGCATGTAGTTTTTGTACTACAGAACAGATGATATTTTTTTTTCATTTATTAGATTGAGTTTGTTAACAAGTGATAGGTTTATTGTTGTAGGATGCCAAAAATACAAACGTTGAGAATGTCTTAATCTTGGCCGGGGATCATCTGTACAGAATGGATTACATGGACCTTGTGCAGGTATACAGTGTAACTGTTTTATAGAATGGATGATTTCTTCATTGCTTTTTCAGAAGTTTTCTGATTTATATCTATTACAAATGAACAGAGTCATGTTGATAGGAATGCTGATATTACAGTTTCATGTGCTGCTGTTGGTGACAGGTGCGTTCAATCTTCTCTCAATTGTGCTTCTTTCTTGATGCTTAATATCATTATGTTGCTTGGATGATATAACTATTATACTTAATTTCTTTATAGGGTGAGTGAATAGAAACAACTAACTTGCTGAAAACAAAAAATTTACAAAACTTAATTTCCTGCTTTCCAGCCGCGCATCAGATTATGGATTGGTTAAAGTAGATGACAGAGGCCGCATCATTCAATTTTCAGAAAAACCGAAGGGTGATGATCTGAAAGCAATGGTAATTCACAAGCTAACCTAATATTGCACCTTTTTCTATCAGATAACTTTTCAAGTTATCTGATAATTCTTTTGAGTATTGTGGTTGTTTGTCATTTTCATCTGCCAGTTATTAACCCTTCTACAAGCTTTTTGTCAGCATAATGAAATGTTCATAATATATTTTTCTGGTCTCATGTGTTCCTGTGTTGTATTCTGCAGCAAGTGGATACCTCTCTTCTTGGGTTGTCACCCCAAGATGCAATAAAGTCACCATATATTGCATCTATGGGGGTTTATGTATTCAAGACAGATGTTTTACTCAATCTTCTAAAGTGGAGATACCCTACATCCAATGACTTCGGGTCTGAAATCATCCCTGCAGCTGTGAGGGAACACGATGTCCAAGTAAGAGAAATTTCAATATATATACTTTCTTTCAAATATTTTATCCATTTGATAAGGAGTCTCTTCTGTCATTTATGAGGAGCAGTTACACCTATACAGAGGTAACATTGGAAAGTTATTTGTTTGTTGTTTTTGCAGGCATATTTTTTCGGAGACTATTGGGAAGATATTGGAACAATAAAATCCTTTTACGATGCTAACTTGGCTCTTACTGAAGAGGTGGGTTCAAGATATTCATAGACTGGCATTTTTTCTAATTTACTGATTTTTCCATTCTATGAGAATAGGCACCATGCATTAATCACAAATGACAAGTCACATACCAAATCTATACTAGTTGCATTGTGGCACTTGTTTTATCTGCTTCATGCTACTACTCTATTGTTCTTGCAGAGTCACAAGTTTGAATTCTATGATCCCAAGACACCCATTTTCACATCTCCAGGATTCCTACCACCAACAAAGATTGACAAATGTCGGGTATGATATAATCTCTCTCATAATATGGTTTTTAACACCATGAGATGTCTTTGCTTATTCCGTTTGAGTTGCTGTGGTAGATTGTGGATGCCATTATCTCCCATGGATGTTTCCTGCGAGAATGTACAGTCCAACGCTCCATTGTGGGTGAACGTTCACGTTTAGATTATGGTGTTGAGCTCCAGGTAAACTGCTATGCATTCTGCAACTGCATTGCTCATAGAATACTCCATTTATGATTCCTCCTAACTAGAATCACTTTTTCGCAGGACACCGTAATGATGGGAGCAAACTACTACCAAACAGAATCTGAAATTGCTTCTCTGCTTGCAGAGGGGAAGGTCCCAATTGGCATTGGAAGGAATACCAAAATTAGGTAATTTTAAATCATTTTGTGGGTCTAAAAAGTTAACAGGAAACACTGATATTGAATCAGTACCATGATAAAGAATAAGCATTGTCATGTAGCAATTCTGTTTTATTTATAGTCATGAAATTGTCACATAATCTGTTGTCTTTGTTGAAGGAATTGTATTATTGACAAGAATGCAAAGATCGGGAAAGATGTCATCATCGCTAACAAAGATGTAAGCATGGCTACTATACCAGTTCTCACCATGCTTTTGCCTTTTTTATCCCGTTTTATCAGTTAATAGTTTTATCATATTATCCTATTTATGTGTTACCAACTCAAATGCTTTCTCTGTAGGGCGTTCAAGAAGCAGATAGACCAGAAGATGGGTTTTACATTCGATCAGGAATCACTATCATAATGGAGAAGGCAACAATAGAAGATGGCAGTGTCATATAAAATGGTTACGCTTATTTCTTGGGCTGGTTTGGCCAAAGGCGCTGGAAGAAGCATTCTGAGAAACACTCCTATATTTTGGGGACGAGGGTAGCTGTTGCAATGTTATGTTCAATAGAGAAAGCAGCACCTAGTTTGCTGCTTTAAGTAAAAATAGAAGCTTCCCCAATACATGTAAAAATAGAACGAATAAAACATGAAATTCATGATGCAAAAATGTAAATAAATTGCAAGGTGACCATGAGCTACGAAGTCCCTGATAAAGGACACCTTCTAAATTATTCGTATCACTAAAGTATTAGTGTTTTGACTGAGCGGATCCATTTGCATCATCTTCTAGTGATAATAGAAACGAACACAAAATTATAGTCCAGATAACGCTAGAGGTTTTCTAATTTTTTTTGGGGGCCCTCTGAAAATCTTCTCTTTTGATGCACGGTAAATGGCAATAGTAATGTCTCGTGGCAAGATCAGGGTAATCAATTACAAACTGATTGACACGTAGAACTTCTAACTTGTAGACGAGTCAAAGGCCTAAGATGGCGAGGAGGGCCACACGTGGTGAGTGAGGGTGGTGGAAAAGTGAAGGGTTAAAATGAATGTTGTTTAGTGAGTATAGAACATGAAACCAAAAACAATGCAATCTAGGCCAATAGCGGACGTGTTGGACATTTCGGACGGTGGGTTAGAAAACAAGGAAAAGAATATCAACAACGATAGTCACCATGTGATTGATTCTGCCTCTGCCCTCCAACAATTTCTTGATCACGTACCCATTAGTTCAATAGCCGGCATAAATAATTCACCTGGTACTTTTATGGCAACTTTGTTTTGTTTAAGAATCAGTAATCACACGAACATGCTCATGATTCTTACATGATTCAATGTCCCTTCTTTCTTAAGTTTTGGAATTGAAAGCTGGAGACAGTATAAGGGATGCAATTCATATGTTGTACGAAAAGGACATCTCTTCTGCAGCAATTGTGGATGTGTTGGACCCCAATACCGCTAGCATAAGATTTTCAGATCGATATATGGGTTGCATAGATTTTACAAGCATGGTTCTTTGGTGTCTTGAGGTATTACTTGCTTCCACCCCATTAAGTTACACCTTCTATCAATTCTTCCCCGCCAAAAGTGCACACCATTCTCATTAAACATATATTTTCAAGGAATATGAGAAGACCAAGAAAAATTCCGGGGAAAACCTTCTCAAGGATATAAAGAACGGTGACTTTTTCTCCATCCTGGACCAGATTCCTCAGATTGGACAAACCAAGGTAGTATGCTGTGGTGATCATTATTTTAATGAACCTCGTTATAAGTATGCTAGAAAACTGTCCAAGTGAACACGTTACAGTTCTATTGCAATATTTACTAGGTTGGCGAGTTGGCTAAGTCATTCCTCTGGGAACCATTTTTCCCGGTACACCTGGATGACACGATTTTGCATGCACTGCTAGTTCTCTCTAAGCATCGGCTGCATGTTTTGCCTGTGATACAGCAACCTGAACCTGGACTCATTGGTTTTGTTACACAGGTATCTGATGAATTAAGGCAAAGGTTTTTTCTTTTAAGTTTATGTTTTCAGGACGAGTAATAAATAAGTTGTCCTGCTAGAATGCTGTAGTCCAATTCCTTCTTCAATCAAGTGAACTAGAGTGGTTTGATACTATTGCAGACAAGAACTTGTCAGATTTCCGGTATTCAACTCTCATTGATTGAAGTACAGAGTACATTCATTTGCTGCTTGTTCAAGTGAATTGGTATTCTTGTGTGTTGCCCTTTGACCCTTTGACCCTTTTCTCATCCTTCCACAGATTTGAAGGCCAAGAAAATCCTAGTTGTGTATCTGGAGACCAAACTGTTGCAGATGCTCTGAAGTTGCTAAGGCAAAACCAAACTTGTGCAGTTGCAGTGGTAGATCGACAAACTAAGAAGCTCCTGGGTAATGTGAGGAACAGTGACGTTTATAATCTTGTAAAGAATGATGATCTCCTTAGAAATAGAACGTAAGTTTAAAACATGTCGTGTCCCCTCTCTCTCTCTCTCGCTGCATTTTCAGCCTGTATAAAATAAGCTAACCGGCTAATGTATATATATGCATGCAACCATATTGAATTCACAATGTAACTAATGTGACAAAAATGCTTGTTTTTATAAAATAACAGGACTTTAACTGTGGAAGAATTCATTCACACGGAAACTGAAAAAATAGAGACTGAAGCATCCATTGAACATGATCACGGGACTTTTCTCACGGCAGGAAGTCTCCGCCTGAAAAACAGCTTCACACCCAGAATGGATTCACCTGTTGCCGACAAGGAAAATGTTTCGCTCAAGCAAATAATGAAACATATGATACAGACTAGTAGCAGTTTCAGCTTTCTGGTAAATGATAATGAACAAGTAACAGGTTTGCTCACACTGAGAGATGTAATTCTGCAGTTTGCCCCACCATGTGTGAATTCTAGCATCAATGGAGGTGGATTTTTTGAACTTGCCTTGGAGCAGAGTGGATGTCAAGTGAAAAATGGAACTATGATTCGCAATCATTGATCAAGGTATTAATGGACTAAATTTTTACTCTTTTTGTTCTATAAGATGTCAATGAGTTCCAAATCAAAAGAACTTTGGTTAATAGATATACGAGAATAATCATTGTTTTAGTAGAGGAGGGTTTGTCTTCTTCCTACTCAAGGTCAAGGCGTCAAGCAAGTCACCAGCCTGAGCGAGTGGTACTTACATGTAACTTCACTAATGAATGTCCATCATCAGGAATTGAATCCAAGAGTCCAAGACCTTTTTCTGTGGAAGTTATTCAATCATAACAATTAAGTCAATTCTAGTTGATTAGTTTTTGTTGATTGTAGATAAGTAAAACAAGTAGCTAAGCTAAAATAAAAGCATTACCAAATTATTGGAGGACAACAACATAATTAAAAAAAAGCATGGCTATTTAACAGTAATTCCATTTTAAGAAATCAGGAGTACAGAAAGGTCAACTTCACATTAGCCAGGAATCCCTAAGTGTAAAAGGGTTAAGATGCGTTTCTTACTTTATATCATTGGAGAATTGTTCGTGTTTGAAGGGTTGAGTTAAAAATTTGATGCCAAATTCTTTCAAAAATCACAATTTTTTATCGGAACAAGACTAGTATAGCGAAGGGGTAAACACACAGGAGAGAATCACCATCACATTGAGTTATGACCAAGTCATATAAGTGGCTTAGACACCACATCAACACTCGTCCTTAACATGATATACCCTCCTGTTGCTGCAGTTAAAAAATTGGCTGGTCCATGTGTCTAAAACTCCTTCAACATGATATTTAATACAAACCTTACAATTAACACTGTCATTATATACATAACTTGGCAATATCATTGTGATAGGCGTGCTAAGGAAAGCATTGTAGTAAGACCATTCAGCAACATTTGTTATAATAGTAACTCGCCTTGAGAAAAGAGGACTTGCATTGTGTGGATAACTTAATACTGTTGCAGCATAAACTATATCATTTTGGGTTCCAAACTTTATATACAATTTTTTTACTTTGATTTTCTCATCGGCTGAACTCTGAAGTTATTGCAACCTGAGAAATGGGCAGGCTTTGACTATTCTTGGAACAGGGCAAGATTCAAGTCTAGATATGAAGTAAGTGTAAGTCAACAAAATTATTTTTTTCTCGGAAGCCAGAGTGTGATGTATGAAGCTTCGAAAATCATAGAAAGAAATTAAACATTCAAATTAGTAATCATGAAAGTGGTGATCGGAAATGAAATAACATGGTGGGTGGTATCAAGAACACGTAGAAATAGAAAAGAACTACCTTATTTGTTGTGTTGACAATGAAACATTTCCCAAAACAAACAGGAGAAAGTTTCTACATGTGGATCACATATCCTCCATAAAACTAAAATTAAACTTTATGGGAAATTGACAATTTTATGCGTGTAAGTTTTCATCAAAAACTAAATATTTTAGCATGTCAAGACATATTAGGATGATGATTCTCCTGTAAAGCAGTAATTTCCATGTTATAAATTTCAGAAGATGATTCGTTTTTGAGGCTTGTTGGAGCTTTGAGATCTTGGATATTTTCCATTCCAAAGAACTATTCATTTTTTATTAGCAAGGTGAAAAAAAGAAGTGACCATTAGTATAAGAACAAGAACATGCTACCTCACTGTCTTGACATGTTTGTACAATGATATATGATCAGACAGAAATTCTAACAAAACATGGGGATCACCAAGAAAGGTGAGTCCTCCCTCAAGCTAAGGCCTTAGATTAATAATTTTAATGTACGATGAGAACAGCTTGAGCTTTTGTAAAATATTAAAACTCAAGTTGGGATGAACAACTTTGCAGTAAGAAAGCTTCATAGTTTCAGCCTTCAATCACTGCTTTGTCAATTGCCATACATACCCATTCACGGCGCATAACGACTATATATATATATATGTCGTGCCTATTTCTATTGGTCCCCATTAAGACCAAGTTTTCTCAATTTTACTGCCGCCTTGCAAAACAAGACAAGATTATTATGGAAAAAATCTTCTAATTTATAAATAAGTTATAACAATATGTTATTAAGACTTTGAGAAACTTTAATGTACTCTCATAATTATAATAGTTTAAATAATTTTATATTTATTTAGATCTAATTAATTTATCCTTATATTATATAAGTATTTTTTTAAAAATTACTTTTTATTGAATTAGATAACTCTTTATGGATTGATTATTTTAATTACTTTAAATTTAAACACACTATATTAAAAATGATAAATCATTTTAATATTTTTCTTAAATTCAAAAAATTATATTTCTTGAATGTATGAAACATATATTATTAAAAAAAATTACATCTATTAATTTAAAAAAATTACTAAAATTTGACAATATTTTGAATGGCAATAAAAGTTGATTTATAATTTAGAATTGTGTGATTAAAAGTAAAAGACCTGTAATTAGCCGTTGTTTCATTAATCAGTGAAATGAATAGAAATGAAAGGTTCAAGTTGGTTCATTAATCCCTGAATGGAAGAAGCAGTAATTAAAAAATAGAAGGGTAGAGATGGTAAGTAAACAGTTGTGAGGAAGAGCTGAAACGCAGTAGCGAGCAGTGAATAGCATACATTACCACCTTCTTTAAGTCTTAACACGAGGATGAGATTGAATCGTTAAACTTTTAAGCTTCAACCAAACCAAACCATTGTAGTTGTTGATTCGATTAGGTTAGCTCCTATTCTATTCTTCTTCAATTCAAATTAGGGTTTATTCTTTCCACCTCACCATGAAATTCCAGATCTCATTTCCCCCTTTTGTTTTCGTTTCAAAAGCAAAACTTTGGAACCCTAATTTTGCATTTTGTGGTGTCACAGGTGAGTGTGCGATTTGAATGGAGGGAAGTGGAGGAGGTGGCAGTGCTTCGTCGCCGGTGAACCAATATTGGCACAACTTGTCCAAGCTCTATCAACATTATCTCGATAAATCTACGCCTCACAGCGCTTACAGATGGATTGGGACCTTGGTAATCGCATGCATCTATGCTTTGCGGGTAATTTACGTGCAAGGGTTTTACATTGTCTCATATGGCCTCGGAATCTACCTTCTCAATCTCTTGATTGGTTTTCTATCCCCTTTGGTCGATCCCCAACTCGAACCTTCCGATGCCCCTTTGCTTCCAACCAAAGGCTCCGACGAGTTCAAACCCTTCATTCGTCGCCTTCCCGAGTTTAAGTTCTGGTAATTTAGGTTTAATTAATGTTTCTGAGCTGAAACAACGATAACTGTATCATTATTCAACTGAATCATGTCCATATGTTCCTTTGTATCGATGGTTTCAGGTATTCTTTCACGAAAGCTGTTTGCATAGCGTTTGTGATGACATTTTTTTCTCTATTTGATGTTCCTGTGTTTTGGCCTATATTGCTCTGTTACTGGGTTGTTCTGTTTGTGCTTACCATGAGGCGCCAAGTTGCACACATGATCAAATATAAATATATCCCCTTCAACCTTGGAAAGCAGGTTCACTTTCTTAATGCTTAAATTTATTTTTATTTTTATTTTATTTTATTTGCATCATTTAGCTTAATATTAAGTTCAGCACAAAGTGAGATTTGCTTTGTTTTGCAGAAGTATAGCGGCAAGAAATCTTCTGCTGGTAGCAGTGGATCACGAGCAGACTAAAACTTAGCTGTGTCATGATTTTAAGAACACAGATCTACATTGTTAGGTTTTGTGAACATTCAGGCTAGTTAATTTTTTCGCACTTTTTTTGAAAGAATTTGTATTCAGAGTATTATGGATACCAGTATGCACTGTGCTACTTGTTTTATTATACATGAAGGCGTGCTAAGATTGGCAGAGAACTTCATGTATTGATTGGATTTTCTTGTAAATCTTTGCTTGTATTGTGATTTTGTGATGCTGTAATTTTTCCCTGCCTCTGTGCTGTCTTCATTCTACCCCAATATTATGGCAAAGTTCACCCATCACGTTCGTTTTCTGTCTGCCTCGATTATAGTATAAAGATTAGATAGGGTCTTTAACGCCTGCCCGAAGAAAAAGAGTGAGAGCTTAGATATGTTCACTTTTTGTGTAATTTGTTTGTCTCTTAAAGCACGTTAAATCATGGGCCCATTACTAATGATGAAGTTGAAAGTCGAGGTATAGACAGACCATTTCTCTTGGTATGGTACGTTTTGCATATATACAATTAGTTATTTCGTTACACATAGTTGTGTAAAAAATGAATTATAGTTATTTTGAATTAGTTTATTTCTCGTCCTTTTGAATGAAAATCTGTAACTGCGATTAGTTTTATTTTAGCACATATTTTTATTTTATTCAACCATTCAAAATTAATTATATAAAATTAAAAATCAATTTTATTTTTAAGTTTGACTTATCTTTAACGGAAAAGGATCCTAACTGGTTGGTCAAAAATGGACGTATAAATAATGAAAAAGTAATCAAAACATTACTAAATTTATAAAACTTAATATCTGCAAAAGTTAAGGTAGGTTTTATTTATTGCTCGTTTTAATAACTGAATTGGCATTGAATATTGTTCATTTCACAATCACAAGGCTTCTAACTGACGCCAAGACTTTTCTAACATATTGTCGTTGCTATTTTTTCACTTTAACTTTCATACAAGGAAAATAAACGGGCATTCAATAAAATTATCATAACATAGTATTGCATATTTTCTCCATACATAGTTCCTTTGAGGAGCACATCGCAACAAGTCAGTTCTATACTGCTGTTACACGATTCTCTTTATTTTAGACAACGAAGTTTTACCTAGAGGACATATCAACTAGTTTTCATCTCAGACAAACTGATTAAGGTACTCATCTACAGTGGTGTATTTCACATCAGGATAGAGCGCTGAAGCTTCCACACCAAATGTAGGCTCAATTTCAAAGTTAGCATGATCCCCCTTTACATAAGCAGAGTGTTTAATCGACAGGACCACATTCAAGGGTGGTGATGACTCTGAAAGAAAAGAAAAAAGGAACTAAGTTATCACTGTTAGATCCAGCACAAAACCTGAATAATGATCACTGACTAACCTTGAACTTGTGTCAGGATTTGTTCCTCTGGGACATAGATTCTTTCAAGAGTTTTACCGATCTTCTTCTCCCAGAGAGAAACTAAATCGTTAAATGACAAGGTATTAGCCGGGGGTCTAACATAGAGACTTTTGTTCAATGTTCTTGGATCATCCACAGCTTTGATTGTATAAGTGGCAATATCCTCTTCCTTGTTAAAAACAGCTGTTAAACAAGCAAAAGTCAATAGTAACACGATAACATGTAAATTTCTAATCTTGAGGCAATAGTGTGTCATCAATTTTTTTTACCTTTGGCGTTTCCATCACCAAGGATAACAACTTTATCTCTGGGGGCAGGTGTAGCTCCAGGCTGTGACAAATTGGGTAGGAAGTAACCAGCAAAGAAGTTGCTTGACACATAAGTGTAGGGAATTCCTTCAGCTTCAATGGTTCGTCTAATTTTGGCCTTTGTAGCAAATGCACTCTTTGCTGGTTCAATTGCCTGAGTCCGGTCCACATCATTTCCAAACTCAGATGGAAAGAACCTCTGTGAAATATAATGGCGTCACGGTATTTAATTAGCTTATATGAAAATTTCACGAAATCATCAATTATCAAGGTAAAGGACAAGCTTAATACTGTCCTCTGTAAAACACTTGATGTTAATATTGTAAGTCAGTTCTACATAATTGAATAACATTTTCTCGGAAAGCCTTGTCATGATTCAAAGTCAGAATTCGACTACATGGATGTCGTGTATATCATCCTAACGAGGTATCACGTTAATATGCATTGGTTTAACAACCCATTAACATAACTTAAGACTAATGTAACATATTTTTCTAAATATACGAAAATCTGAACTAATTATTTTACCCAATTATTATTCCCAATTTCTTATTAAACACAGGAATTCATGACAAAATGAACATGACAACTAACGTATATATAAATTAGTCCAGATAACTAACATACATAATTAACAACGTACCAAAAGGTTAATAAAAAGTATACCTTAACATTTCCTGCTTCTTTAATAGCCGAAATGATCTTATCTTGATCACCCAGCTGCAAGTGTCCTACAGTAGAGATTACCACATCGACTTGCTTTATGGCATTCACCAAACTTTGGTGATCATATAAATCTCCCTGCACATAACAAGGTGAATACCCTTTCAAATAACAGTCCCATGAAACACATCCATGACAAACTGAAATATTCCCATAAACCAAGAGGAATACAAATATAAAGTTTGGATTTTCAGGCCAAAATAACACAAAACCCAAATATAAAGGCAGAGCAAGAAAGACTCTTAAAAAAAGTGACATAATTGATGATTTATTTAACGTACGAAAACAAATTTGACACCCAAGTTCTTGAATTTGTCGATGATGGATGATTTTGATGGGTTGGAAAGAGTGGACTCCCTAACCAAAAGGAAAGTTGGGTGGCCACTACTGGCACTGGCTTCTACGATGAACTTTCCTATGTAACCAGTGCCTCCAATGAAGAGAATCTTGCTAGTCCCTGCCATTCCTCTTCCTAGTTCATACAACAATGGAGATTGAGTGGTACTGCTATCTACGCTACACTGCTATGCTTGTCCTATTTATAACCGATGCCTTCCCTTTTCCCTTTTGAAGAAACTAATGTATTTCAACTCAATACTAGTCTCAATTCATTGCTCCCAGATATTATAAGAAAAATATTTACTATTATATTATATTATATTTAAGTAATTCATGTTAATAATAATACATTAAATGTATTTTAATGATGAATTTAAGTAATTAATAATAATAAGGTTTTATTAAAAAATTATTTTTAAATACTTAACCTCAATCTACAAAATAAAATTATAAAAATGTACGGAAGTTGTACCCATATTATTTTATTTTTTACAAAAATGAAATGAACCATTTTTATTTAAAGAAAATAAATTTGTTCGAACAAAAGAGAGTTTAAAATATTTGTTACTGTACTATAATTATTATTTGTTAGATAAAATATGGTTCAAAAATAGTATCCATTAATTGTATCCGTTTAAAAAACTTAATGCTGGATTGAATATTCATCTATTTGACCAAAAAAAATATTGAATATTGACTTTTTAGAATATTAGAATGAGCATTGGTTAGAAAATAATGAGTAAGGTCTGCTCTCATACTCACATTTAAAAAGAAAAAATAGATTGATAAATTTTTTTGAATGGATATCTAAATATGTCTCATCCAAAAAAATACTTGAAAAAATAATAATTTTACTGCTCCTATCTATATTTAACTGAGATGTGTGTTTTAATTCATTATTTATATTTTAATTAATGAAATTTGTTCTTCCAATAATGTGTATCTTTCTCAACAAATTGGTAAAACAAGAATCCTAAAGTATTTGATGACTAAGAAACCCAACTACTCAAAGAATTCGTGTTTGCCTATTAAATACGACTTCAATATTCATCCATAAAGTTGAACAAATTTTACAAATTAGTTTGGAAAAGAAAAATAAAAAGAACCATCAAGAAGTTGCCAATAACGTAGCCAAAGCTATACATAAAAATAATTTTATATATATTATTTATTATATTTTTTTCCATTTCGTATATACTAAAAATAATGTATACGCTGTACGGGAAACATTTTCCACATAAAAATAGGTCACACGTTGTAATATTAAAGAGATTTAAATTTAAAAAAAAAACTGCTAATGAAAAACGGTCATAGTCGATTTTCACAATAGGATAATGACAGGCAGTATTATATAGTCAAATTTTGCAACTTAGATGACTGTTTCTTTCAAAATTAAAAGAATAATTCTTACATATTTTTTATAAAAATGTGTGATTCAAATAAATTTATTCACATATTTCAATACATTTAATAATATAAAATAAATTTATTATACTTAACCTGAAATCTAACACATGCTTAATAATAATATCTGGTGGTTATTGAGATCTACACACTGCAAAATAAAATTAATCGAAGCATTGGGATCAAACGAGGGAGAGACATTTTCGCTGCATCACATTCACATTTAATGGCAACGTACGAGGGAGAGACATTTTCGCTGCATCATGTATTTGAATTGGTCACATTCCGATATCACCACCCACTCATCTATCGTGTACTCTCTGTAATACAAGGATACATAATTGTTAAAATAATTTTTAATATTTTTTTGTTATTTTCTTTATTATATATTTTTTATTTTATTCACCTTTTTTAATTATGGATGCAAATAAATTTTATTTATATTATTTTTTACATTAAATATAATTTTTTGTTTAAAAAACTATTTTTTTATCACAGATATTTTACGTTAAAAATATCTCAAAAATATAGATTAAGTTAGAATAATGTCCGACAAGTCGATTTAACGTACTTGTTAGTTGCCATAACTTATTTTACAAGACTTCTTACAAATTACTTTCTTATAAAAATATTTTAATTAAAAAGGTAAAGTTATGTGTTCTAATATTTAAGAATATTTTTTAAAAAAATTTTAAATTAATAATAAATTTGTTTTTATTAATTATATTTTTAAATTATTATGAAAATATTCTTATATTTAAGGTTAAAAATAATAATTTAAAAAATTCTGACAAATAAATAAAAAATATATCACAAATATGTTTGAGAGTGTCATCGTACTCGTGTTCTTCCAATCAGGCACGCATTTGACGCCTCACCTACTCTTCTAAATGCAAGCATTGGATACGCTACCAACCTCACAAAGGTTCTCTGAAACAGAGACAAGAGATAAAAGTTAAAAATAAAATAAACAAATATTTGATATTTAGATGAAATAAGATAAAATAAAAAATGATAAAAATTTATTTCATTTATTTGAATGAGTAAAATAATCAAATTAAAAATATTTATAAAAAATAAAATTAACTTTAAAATTATCTTTTATCATAAAACTTTGTATTAATAAAAAATCATTTCTATTTATTTTATAATTTTTAATACTATATTAATTTTGAAAAAATAAAACAAAAATGTGATACATTTTCTTTAGGTGTCGAACTATTGTAGAAGTAGATTGACGTTTTATTATATTTAAACTCTTGAGAGATGATGAAGTTGAAGTTTGCACTTTGCAAAATTGTTGAAGAGTAAGCTAAATCTGCTTATGTACGCTGGAAAGACATAAAATTTATATGTTTTTTCAAAAGAAATTTTCAAACGGTTTGAAAAAGAGTAAAATTAAGAGTTGTTAGTAAGAAATGACAATTGTCAATAACACAGAAAATGATAATATGAAAAGGTTCGATAATTAAGAAAGGAGATGAGTAATGTGAAAAAATATCAAAGCACTTACAGTAATGTAAATTTTAATGATAAAAATTTAAAGAAGCGATAATATAAAACTACTTAAATATTTTAATTTTAGAAGCAAAATATTGTTTTTAAAGTAACATTTTATACGTTATAATAAATTTTTAAAGATATTACATATTTAATGGTTATTTAATCATCATCAGAAGGAAATCATAACGGTATTTATATACTCAGCCATTGTCTTTGTTTAATTGTTTTTGTGAATTCAAGTTTGTCATGGTGTATGTCTGGAACCGGAATGGCATCATATTGCAACACATGCATATATTCATAATCTTGACATACTAAAATAAAATGAATATCATAATAATTTTAATGATTAGATGAAGAAATAAATAAGAAAATGAAAGGGAAAGATCTAAACTGGAATGGAACGGGTTGAATGGTGGTGCGGTGGTCAATGAAAATGATGAGTGAACTCCACGAGGGTGGACGAAAGTTGAATAAAGAAAAGGGTATCCATTGTTTCTAGAAGAAATAAAAGGGGTGATGACATGAATATCGTGTAAATGTGATGTTGAGTATATCTAAACACGATACCTACTTTTGATTATCTTAAACAAGGAGGATTTTTGGAGAGAAAGCAGAGCATAAAATAATTGAAATTTCAACGAAGGTTGAATCAATGAACGTTGAAGACTTGGACACGACATATTTAGGCGGCTATGCATAAGAGAAAGGGCCAGCTCAGCATTGGTTCACACTTGACACGCAACCTTTAAAATAAAAGCAATTGCTATCATTCTTGATTGAATTTATATTTTAATAATCGACGATTAAAGGTAGAGAAAAAGGCAAAGGAAGTAATTGATCGGAATTGAGAATGGAGACAGTAATGGAAGATGTGGAAGAATACAACTACCGAGAAGTGAGGCTTCCGTCTCTGATCCCAGTGGTGCCAGAGCCAGAGCTTGAGAGGGAAACAGGGGAAAGGAGAAGAGGAAGGGACATAGTCATAGCCATAGATCATGGCCCCAATAGTAAACACGCCTTTGATTGGGCTCTCATACATCTTTGTAGGCTCGCTGACACTATCCATCTCGTTCACGCCGTTTCTGGTTTGTTACTTCTTTAACTACTATGTTATTATTATCATTTTGTCTTTATTTGTGCAATTTATTTTATTTTATTTTATTTTATTGAATATTTTGCAGATGTGAAGAACCAAGTCGTTTATGACGTAACCCAGAGCCTGATGGAGAAATTAGCAGTTGAGGCTTTTGAAGTCGTAATGGTTAGAATCTGTTTTTCTTTTTTATTTTATGGATTTTTAAGAATATCACTTGCATCGTACATTAGTTATGTAAAATAATTGATTCAATTATTAACCACAAAAGAGACTGTGTTGGTAGTTAGTGTTGTGGATTCAAGTTGTGAGTAGAAGATCTGAATTTTGGTTAATTAGAGCCCAAAATATATGAACCAGGGGTATCCATTTTCTAACAAATTCCACATTCCCCAATCCAATAAATATGCTTGAGATGTTGTGTCATAGCATGTAGTAATAATCCCTTTGGGTGACTTTGGAGCTTTACTAGATGACTAAAAGCAATTCCATTTCTTGTGAATCCAATTTTATGATTGATCTCTGTTGATGATCACCTTCTATATTACACTTATTTCTGTGAATATTAGATGTTACAGAGAGGAAGTTCTCTTTGAGCAACTAATCCCAAACGATAAGATATATATAATAATGAAAATGCAGGTGAAAACAGTAGCTAGGATTGTGGAAGGTGAACCAGGAAAAGTAATTTGCAAGGAAGCAGAGAGGATCAAACCCGCAGCAGTGGTTATGGGGAGCAGAGGCAGAAGTTTGATTCAAAGGTTTGTAATTGTCTCACCATTCCCTCCCCTCTGTCTCTGCTACTAACTACTATTACTAAGCCATCTTGTTGTGATTTTCTTCAGCGTGCTACAGGGAAGTGTTGGTGAGTACTGCTTTCACCACTGTAAAGCAGCACCAGTTGTTATTGTTCCTGGAAAAGGTTTGCCTTCCTTACTCATTCTTTTCAAACTTTTGCTGCAGCTTTATTTTAGAATTTTGAAGGAGTTTCATTTCTTTGATTCACAGATGCGGGAGATGCCTCAATCATCTAATCCAATTATGTTGTAGAAGATTGTGTTTTGTATATCGCCTTTGTTTTGTTTTTTTTTTTTGTATCTAACTTGGAATACTAGTGTGAAGATTGATTCTAATTCATTTGAAAGAAATAGAGCTTCATATGCTTTGGTTTGTTTTATGAGCATTTTGCTTAGTCTTGTAAGTTACTGTCTTCCTGTGTTGCTAGTTGGGGAATATTCTTTTCTCCAACGTCACAATTGGTTTTAAAAATTTGAACTGCTCAAATCTCATCTACAGATATGTCATAGGGTGCATTCTCCAACATAATATCCGAAACAAATTGGCTGATGAGTTTTTTGTTTTTGTCAAAGTTCTCAACTAGTTTAAACGCCCAACCCAACTGTGTTTGGGTTAAAATAAGATTCTTGCCACAAGATGGAAGCCCAGTTTTCGCAATTATAAAGTATTTATAAAATATAAAATTATAAATTATAAATTATTATAAATTTAAAAGTATAAATTAGAAAGTATTTATAAAATATTTAAATTATAAAGAAAACATATATAATCACCCATTAAAAAAAATGTATAATTTATATTCGGTTGGAGAACTTGACGAATATTACCGACTTATAGAGTCCAACAATGTAGCATGGAGGTACAACTCACCCCATCGTCAATAATTGTGCACTGTCCAATTCAAATGCAACTCGCTTGAGTGCCAAAAAGACTTACGACCTATGCTCTCCCATAACTATTACTTAGATTATCCATGGACTCACTAATTAAAAAAAATTAGCAAATTAAAAAGAATTTCGAAAAATGGTCCCTACCGTTTGGGCTATTTTTGGCAGAATTAATTGATAAATTATAAATATTTGATGAAATTAACTGTTGAATTAATAGATAAATATAAAATGACATAAAAATAGTTGTTTATATGATTTATAAATGCAGACAAAAATATAGTTTAATTAGTTTTTTTATTCGTTTTAATATCTCATTATTTTTATTTAAAGATTTAATAATTTATTGAAAATTAATAATCTTTTATAAGCCAAATCATGATACGCCTTTTTCTAAACCTGATCCAGCATGGGGAAGTGGTTAAGATTTAGAATTTTCCAAAGAAGAATGAAACATAAACATGGAAGCTATCATGGTTGTGGCTTTTTCTTAGCCTTTATAAGGCTTGGAAGTGGTGAACGGCGCCCCATGTGAGTGAAAGGGTAGAGAGCGATAGATGAGAAGAGAAATTCTAAAGAGGGGCCACTGAAAGCAAAATCCAAAATCATCTCTCCCTATCCGCAGGAACAAAGAATCAACAAAATCTTGGGTATGAATGAGATAGGTCCACCATTGTCACTGTTGTATATGCCTTGAAAGTGAAAGATAGCCATGGCACTAGTACCTCCAAGATTAAAATAAATAAATAAAAGGTAGTACCCAATTAACCGTCGGTGCAACTTAACATTGAAAATTTCCTTTCATGCATATTAAGACATGAAAGTAACTAACCATGAATATTTTTATAAGCTCCTTTGCTTGGAAATTTTCTCAATCCAATTTTTTGTGTTTATCACTATGTCATGAACTAACGTCTTGCACAGCGAGGTCATCAATGTGATACTTTGAAACAAGTTAAAAACAAACTAGAGAAACAGAAACATCATTGAACTAGGAGCAACCTGGGATTTTTTATGATGAGATTTGGCATTGGTTCACATGACAATAAGTCTAACCAATTGAAGAACTGAATGAACAATGTTAACACATTTCCTTTTCGTGGTAGTGTCCTTGTCCATACTATTCTAAACATTTGAAAACTGGGGTTACAATCTATCCTTTTAACCATAGACAAGTGAGTAGAAATGGCCTTTTTGATTGAACTAAATCACAACTCTTTTGGGTACTTGAGAGACAAAAGATCATTCTAATAAATTGAAGACATGAAGATGTCTGCCCAAGCCCCTCTTGTCCACCCCATATTTAGAGCTATGTATTCATTATTCTGTGGCCTAGCCATCACTGTCTCAATCAAGAGGCCCTTATTCTGTCCCCAAAGCCTGCTTTGTGAAGGTCCACTATCACCTTCATGTCCTCTATCTCTCTCCACCATGTTTAGTGCTTTTCTATCTGCTTCACCTAACTAAATGGGTAAGATTTAATTGAATCAAGGAACCAGGCCTCATTCAGTTCCTAAACATAAATATGTTAGTTTAACACCTTATGTAAATTGGATTAGCTGTTTGATGCCACATTACTGATATCAGCCTGCTCAGTGCTGATCGTTATCAACCTTTTTCTTCTTTCATTAGCTATATTATGAATTGAACGTGCAAATGAAAGTGACTCAAGTTAACAGGTATTAATGTAATTTTATTTATATTATGGAGCAGTATACAAACAATATATATATATATATATATATATATATGCTATGTACTTGAAAAAAAAAAAAGAATATTGATAAGATGCATAAGGAAATTGGAGCTCTAGTCTACATCTCCATCTTTAGATTGCCAGCTTCAAGTAGACCTGCAGAGATGCCAAACAACATTTAGAATTTACATTGAGTGGTATAGTATAACTAATTCGAAATTCGTTAATTATTTTAGGTGGTCTCAAAAAAGAAAGATTGTGAAATTGTAATCCCCTCCCTAGGCTAAGATGTCTTGATCCCGATCCTGGTCCAGGGCCTATTCATTCAAGTTGCCAATACAATATTATCCATTTTACTTCACAAAATACAGTTAACTTGCCAAATAAATTTAGTGTTTTTTTAATTTTTGTCATGTGATTAATGCCTTATCCTTCTCAGCGGGAAAAAAAATGGTGGCAAAGGAAAAGTAAATAATTTAAAAGATCCATTTTTAAAATTTCTGTTTTTTTTTTTTTCAAAAAAGGTCTCAGCATTTATATGCTCTCATCAATATCAGTGGGGCTTAACGTCTCCATCATGTATTAAAATCCACTCTCTTTTGCTTCTTCTTTTTGCTTTTAAGATACCGGGCTAAGGAAAAAGTGATTTCACAAGACACAAATTTTTAGCTACCTGTGAACAGCTGAGAAGGAAAGGATGTTGTTGGTGCTTGATCAAAATCCAAATTGTAAAGGTTGTGGAAATCACCTTCCCATGTTGAGGAAGGTAGAAATTGCTGCAATGCACGTAAATTAAAAAGATCAAATTGAGAAAAATGAGGAATATAACAAGAAAACTAGGGACAGGTAACCAACATTGAAACAGGAGTCGTCAAGAAACGTTTCAGGCATTGATACAGGAGCACTTATGGTCCTTCTAAGCCCAATATCGGAAGAGTTAATCCCCATATCTAATCCACCATATGAAACAATTTGTTGAGGTGAATTGAACTGAAGATAGGAGGAATTGGTGATGTCAAATGACATCCCCGTGTTTGGAAATGTTGAAGCACAAGCAAGAAACACCTTCACCCATCAAATAATAGAGTATGTCAGAATCAGAGAATGTAGGTGATCTAAAAGTGAAAGAGTAACTGCATCTCCCTTACCTCTTTCTCACATTGATCATCGATATTAGAGCCAAGCCTTGGGTTCACAGTAGCCAATTTCATTGACAAAAACTGCATGTGATGAGCATATATATAATAATATATAGTAAGTCACAAGGCCTTTTATACATTTGAGGGAAAAAAAATGAAGAAATGAAGAAATGAAGCAAACTGTTAGTCTCTCACCTCAACTTGTCGTTGAAGAGACTGAACATAGTTGATGATCTCATCTAGCATTCCTGCTTTTCCGGTGATTTTGTTGCAACCGGGTACTAAATCTTGCAAATACTTCATTCTCTCACTTATCTTTTCTCTTCTAACCTGCATGAAAATGTAGAGTGAGAAATGCATTGAACATTGCAACGCGTAGTTGTAGTTGTAACTTAATGAAACTCACTCTTTCAGCTAAGCTATGGCTATCAGTGGCTTGGCCACGACGTGCTCGGACATGAATGTAATCAGGCTTTTGAACCTCGGAAGGATTTGAATTTGAAGCATCTGCACAAGTTTCTCTGTTGTTGCTAATGCTATTTGTGGTGGTTGTGTTATTCTTGGTCTGCCCTGTGATTTTGGATTCTCCATCCTCCACACCCACTTTGATCTTCTTGTCTTTCTTATAATTTTCTGCAACAAACTAACATCAAACAAAATTTCTTAAGGTTAGTTCATCCAGCTCCAATATCCTTGAATGCGAAGGATGCAAATTCCACACCTTGGGATTGTGGGTTTTCCTCTTCTTAAAACACTCTTTCCCAATTGATGAGAAGTGAGTGGCTTTAGGCTCTGGCAGAGTGGGCGGACAACTAAAAGTCCTTGATATTGCACAACTCAAATCAAACCCAGCAGCAGGTGGAGCAGTAGCGGGTGCCATATCAAACTTGTGCAATACTATTCCTGCTCCGGGGTAAGCCTCAGAATTCTCAACATGCAGAGAAGAAGAAGAAGAAGAAGAAGAAGAGAAGACAGCGTTGAACCCAGTTCCAAAAAAGGAGCCCTGTTCCTGTTCCCACTTCATCCTCGCCTTTTGTCTTTCCAACACTGTCATGTCGGAGGAGCCACCAGCTAGATTCCCCGAAGTGTTGAGACAGTGCAACATGTTCTTCACTTACTACTTACTATGATTAGGAATTAGGTAATAGATAGAGTATTGTTGCGCCTAGCTTTAGCTTCTTGGTGTGGAGAGGGTGGCAGCAGAACAATAGTTGATAGAAAAGAAAAGTAGGGTCACTACACCGTCATGCCCAACACACGAACAGTAGGAGGGGGAGAGGAAATTAATATATATAAAAAAGATAATTAATAAAAAAATTATAACAGGGTGGATGTGTGAATTATTATAGGAGAGAGGATTGGATTGGATTTGAGATTCAGAACCGCGAGAGAGAGAGATGAGTCCATAAATCCAAGCTGCGGGCATTGGACCACATTGACATGACCGCCACGTAGTATGAATATCAAAATCAAATATTACATTACACCCTTTTAACATGGATTTGTGTGGAAAACGGCAATAACTGGGTCTAACTTATGTCGTCGACCACATGGGACTCGTCGTGGGGGTAACATGTCAGATGATGACGCGTCACGTGACGTGGACAAACTCTGAATCAGTCACTTATGGATTGGTATCATAGGACGGTATCCGTTACCTTACTTGGAACCATCAGAACTTTCCCACAAAAGACACGTGGCGCGTTGCTTACACCGTCCTAACACAGTGCATGTGCAATCTACGCGCGATGATGTCAAAGATACAATGAACAGTACCTGGATCAGTAACAGCTCCAGATTCTTAGCCTCCTGTTAGTCCGTTCCAAAAATAGAACAAGCCCCCGTTTATTATCAAAAAATATAAATTTTGGTAAAAATACTGATAAAATATTAAATTTGTTTATTTTTTAAATAATTTCGTCGAAATGTTGTGACATGTAACATCTTTGTCTTTGTTAACATGCTTTGTGACTACCTTTATAGTTTATTAGCGTTTAATGATATATATCGCAATGCTTAACCAATAAAATCTTTGTCCTTTGATTTGATTACTCATGTTGCCCATTCAGAATTAGTTTTATTTAGTTATTAAATTTAATTCACTTTCATATTAAGAGCTGTTCACTTAATTGACCAGTGAGTTAATGATGATCGTTTTTTGCTACTTTTGAATCCAACTGTGGATAGGAAGAGTCTATTTCAAAGCGTTACGTGCTTCTGATTAATCGACAAACACACATCGTCCCCTATCCTTTCTACTTTTTTCATTTATTATTATTTTAAGAAAATTTTGTTTTTATTTATGCACTATTTTTAAAAATGTAAGATGATATTAATTATATATTAGTATCAACTTACCTTTAACTGAAAATAAAAGATTAAATTAGAAAATATCAAATATATAATTTGATATTTTTTTTTACATGTGTGAAATTATATATGATAAGAATTTATGCTCAATAAATTTTATTAAATTTAACTTAATTCAATATAATTAAATATATTAATATTATTAAATTTAATAATTTTTAAAAAATAATACTTATTAATATTTTATCATGCGGTACAATTTTCTACAGAATAAAAAATCATATATTATCAACGCAACCAAATTACTCCATTAATAACATAGGAAGGAAGAAATATTCGAAAAATTGCAAATAAATTGTTTTATATCAATAAAATAAATAAATTATAGTATTATAAATATTTTTAAATATAATTTTTAAAAATGTTAACTAATAAATAATATATAATTTTTGTCCATTGTGATATGCCAACAAAGAGCAACAGATCCAATGTACCGGGAATCGTAGTCCTTGCAGCCCACTGACTAGTAGTAATAACTATTTAATGTATTTGGAGTAGTCAGAGAAATAATGAATTTGCCAAGGGAAAGATTTTGTAATGTAACAAGTGCACATTTATCAATTTTTTTTACATTAAATAAGTATCATGTTCTCGAATCTCTCTTATAAATTTTTTTAAAAAAAATTCATTGATCTTTAATCATACTAAAGATCAATGAATTATCAATGTTATTAAAAAAATTATTATAATTTTATAATAGTTAATGTTATGAATGTATTAATTTCTATGATATCTTGTTACTTTAATAAAAATTTACCATGTATAAGATATTATTATATACTTTTGTACACATGTTAGAAAAATATTAAATAATAATAAATTTTCTAAAAAAAATATTTTATTATTTTATAAAAATTATTAAAAAATATATATGCATTTGTTATCTTAAAATTTTGAAAATTTATTAAATGTCTTCTTATTTAACAGTTAGGATAAAAAGTGGAAAATTTTAAAAATATAATAAATATTATTTTTAATAAGAATTTATAATTCATAAATGTTTAAAATCAGCCTTGAAAACAAAATTATCAATATCAAATTTTTAAAGTACAAATATAATTTATTGTATTTTCAATCAACTGTGAGCTCACTGGTACACAGAATTTTGTATTTATGTGTTGCCGAGCTGACATCTGAAATTGGAGATGTTTAAAGTTAAAAAACTGGGAACTTGCTGGTACTGTATCATCATGCTAGGAAAGATCAAAAGTTAATCCAGTAAAGTTTGAAGCTTGTTGCATAGAGAACCCAAATGTACAAGAGTCTTTTTATTTTGTGCCCTGGAAGGCTAAGATGGAATCTAGGACTAGCCCACTAACAAGACAGGCCTGCAAGGAGACTTGCATCATTTATGGGCCACAACCACAACCATGTTATCTACCATTTTCTTTATCATTAATGTAAAATTTCACTACTATAAAATTTATCATATTAAAAATGTGCTAAGGAAAGATATAGTTGACGTTCCTTTATGGTGCAAAGTATCGTATCGATACCTTTACCCGTACTCAAATCACGTAGCGTGTCTCAATCTTCGAATCTCGTGGAAAAGCACCCTATCGGTAGGAACAAATTTATACCACAAATACATTATCAATGCCACACACTTTTTCTTACCTTTCTATTGCCTTTTATTTGCATCCTCCAACGTCCAGTCACTTTTTCCTACCCTCCCTTTAAGAGCGATAGAATAGAAATTCTTGCCCAACTTGCACGTATCCCCTGCGAAACAAGAGCTACGTTAACTAATGTGATTCCTTTTTGGTTGTGTTTATGTTCAGTGACTCCTAACCATTTTAGACTTCCACAAAATGTGGTTTAGCTTAATCAATCAAGAACCGGTCGGACCAATAAAAAAATATTACATTAATTTACAAAAAAAATTATACATTAATTTAAAATTATTTAATTACTCATTAAAACTAGTTAATGAGATTTTACATAAACAATTAAAACCAGTATGTTTATCCCTCCTAGAAATAAGCTTTCTAACTCATTCATAGTTGGTACATTCACCAATCTATTCATCCTCGATCCCAAGGTAGTCGAATACCCTACACGAGGGGAAATAAAAACCGAAAGGACCTTAATAGTGTACTAGCAAAACATGCAGAAACAAACAACTAGATGTTACCATAGTACATATTTCAGGTGGCCAGCTAGAACCTTTTGGAATGTTGTTCGGAAACCCAATTCCAAAGACCTCAGAACTGAATAAAATGAATTAGTTTTGTTTAGGCCGAGTAAATTTATCCCTTCAACCCATCTTGTAAGCTTCTCACCAGTTCTTCAACAGATGCCGCAAGGGCTCACTGATATATATACAATTCATATACTTACTATTTTATTTTTTATACAGTATTTGGTATTAATGGATTCATTCTGTACCAAAAGAAGGGTAAATAAACTATATTTTACAAGGTTGCAAGGTTGTTATCGATGGTCATCTTCGCCTATCAGTGAAGAAAAATTTTGATTTAAACTATAGACAGCAACACTTGCCTAAAATTTAATCTCAGCAAACCTGACTTTGGGGAGTTTCACAAATTTTGAAATATTCTGCGTAACATCACATATTCTGAGGGACCCTTTACCGTAAATGAAGAGTAAATAAAATATAGCATAAAATCCGAGCAATTGAATTGACCCATATGAATATACCGCTATTCTGCTCTTTAATTTGTTCTCCATGCTCTATTTTATGGTTATTATACTTTCTTCCGATCATGTGGTTTAATTAATTGCAGATATTTATTAGCATTTTCTTCTTTTTTTATCAACTTCAGATCCAATGACAGCCCCCCCCCCCTCCCTACTTGTGCTTGATGCTTCCTTAAATAATGTCACGATTCTAACAAGATTATCTGTATATGCCTAACTCAAGTTAGCCTACATATGTTTGGTACTCATCACTTCAATTATTTAAATTCTGTAAGTTTGATTACAGAATACTTGGTGTAGCTGAAACACAGTTGGAAATTTCCTTAGCACAAATAAGTTTTGTAGGAATATAGAACTATGAAAAGATGAAGCTAAGCAAGGAGAACAACTTTATGTATAATAAGATAGAAAAGAAACGTGAAGATGGGCAAGGATGTGAAATCCGGAACCAGATTCATTTGAAACTGATTCCCCTCTTTGGCCTGCAGCTGTACCTTGTCTCTGCTTCATTTCGTGGTTCCAAAGCAGAAACTTTTGGCAATTCAGATTCGCTTATGAGTGAGCTACAACCCACTATCCTTAAGCCATTTATAAGCAAAGCAACCACATTATTTTCTTGCTCAAGTTATCCCTATCCCTATCTCTTCCTAGTGAAGCCTCTCCATTAGCTTCTTTTCTCCTTTTCTAGCTTATGGCCTCAAGCATCCTTAGCAAACAAAAGCCTTATGATTCATCTTGGACTCCAAAACAGAACAAGCTGTTTGAAAAGGCACTTGCAAAATATGACAAGGATACCCCTGAACGTTGGCTCAATGTAGCCAAAGCAGTTGGTGGTAAATCAGCTGAGGAAGTTAAGAGACATTATGAGATACTTTTGGAGGATCTCAGACACATAGAGTCTGGCCATGTTCCCATTCCCAATTACAAATCCACTGCAAGAAGCTAGCTGTCTAGCATCAATAGCCTTTAACAAGTTAGAAGAGAGAGAGGTAATGCTTCCTAACTAAAACCCTTTTCTTCAGTCTCTGTCTATTCTCATTGACTCATACCGTTACATACACTCTCTCACTTTGTAGCAAATAATGTTGGTTTTAATTCAAGGCATTTGTTGGGTGTAAGGATGAGAGAAACAGGAAGTTAAAAAAAAGTGAAAGATGTGATAACTAATGTAATAAAATAAAATAAAAAGATAAAAATATAAGCAAAAAGTAGATAAAAAAAGGATGTAAATAAAATAAGATGTGAAAATATTATTATTGTTTTGACAACACCAAGTGTTAATGTGGAAGTTCATATTTTTCTTTACAACTATATGTCGTTTGTGGAAATATCTATAAAGTTTGGATAAAACACGTTGTCTCTATCTTGTGACACCAATTGCTACTGCAAGCTGTCACTATTTTCTGTTCATGTTTCCATTTTTTGATGTATAATAATTACATGATCATGGTTTTATTTTGTTTTTGCTTATTTTGCACGTCCCAGGCTTCCCAAGTATCTACAGCTGAACTGATTCAAGCAATGCCTGCGTCAACATCTGCTATATACCTATAATGTACTATGAACTTGTACAATATCTTCCTCTGTCTCACTTCGCTCATCGTTTTAATTTAGGCCATATTAATGAACTATGTTATTATATAAACACTGTCAAGTTCTCTCTTTATCCTTCACTTCACTTCGTTCTTTTAATGGCAAGTGAATGTAAATATTCCTTGGAAACATTTTCTTGTTATTTATTAGACAAAATTTGAGATGAGGGGCTTAATTTTAATATTAAAAATATAATAATTAAATATGAACAACTAAAATTATAAATAGGTTAAAATATGAAATGTAAGCCTCTTTTGTCCGTTACTTTTTAACATCGTGAAATTATTTTGCAAAATCTCAAAGAAGTCCAGCCCAATACATAAAGGAAAGGATTTGGGTGAGCCCAGTACCGACATCATCGAAGTCGTGTTAACAAAAAATCAAGAACACCATTATTTATTGGAAAAATCAAACAGATAACAAATCCAGTTAAATCAAAATTTTCCCATCTAAATCAGGCTTAACTGGGTGCGAGTACTGAGTTGTACAAATTTTTGTTCATCTCCAGAAATTCATAATGAAAATAAAAAAGTTTTGTTCATACATACTAATCATTGACTCGTATTTGTGCTAGATGTTGTATAATTTCTTAAACCCACCTAGTTAAGTTTTAAGACGACGACAACCCTCGTGAAAGATACTATATTTTGTTTGTACTAACAAAAAGATTGAACACTCTGTTAAGCATCCTCAGTTCATGAGTACCATTTGTATTCTTATGAGCTAAAAATACATGGACTCCCTTGAATTCAGCTGTTTGTTTTATAATCTGCGAGCCGTAGGATTTTGACGGAAACCTACCAATGTCTTTGGTCTACAAAACTTAGCAAAAGGAAATTTCTTAATTGTTTGCTTCTAATTACAGGAAGCACTAATAAACATGCAACGTAATAGCTGTGGTGGTTGAATAACCAATGTTTAAACATGGCATTTTTAGAAGCTGTTGCATATTCCAATAGCCACGTCCATGTCTTCGATTACCCAATTATCCATAAATATATTGCCAACAGTCAATATTCAAACTTTGATTATTTCTATTTGTACCCGAAAAGGGGGGAAATATTAGTATAAGACACGCATCTTCATTGTAGACTCAATCTTAGAATATTCTACGAGGGTGCTCCCCGTTCATCACCTTTGCTGGTAATCAAATTTACCTACCTTTTCCAAAATACAAATACTTTATCTTTCCTTTATTCATCTTTATTTCAGATTTATTTAGCCAAAATTTATTCTGGGTAAATGAAATATTCTTTAATGTGAAACAATTTTGACCGTTAATTTTATATACATAGATAATGGAGTCGGTAGTATAATTAAAAAAGATGTTAATATTATCTCATTTATATGTGAAATAATAAGTACTTTTATTTATTTACATTTTTACGCTCTTGAACTTTAACTTATATGTAATTTTAATCTTTTTAACTTATTTTAACAATTTTTCTTTTTTTAAAAAAAATAACACTCTTTACCTTTCTTTTTAATATCTTAGATTAATTTGTATTTTTTTTTAAATATAAATAGGTTTATAAAATTAATTTGAATATAAATGAAAAATATATTAAAAATATAAAAAACTGATAATTTATTTAAATTTAGAAAAAGTTGAGATTTAAAAGATGATTTTAAAAAAATGAATTTATATATATACAAGCAAAATTTAAGAAAAACTACATTATGATATTTAACGGGGAGTGAAATAAATATAATAAGGTGGGACAAAATAGAGTGAAATAAAGTTGCATTATTATATATTTTGATGATGAATTTGAGGGAGGCAAAGTGATATCATCGTATACCTTCAGACTAGAGGGGAGGAAACAGCAAAAAGGTATTAGATGAAATACAATAAAATGAATTTTATTTTGAATAATTCAAATATTAAATATTATAAATATTTTCTTTTATTCAACTTCATTTTATTTATTTACATCAATTCAAACGTAAATACAACCTTAAGTTAAAAAATAAAATGCAAAATAACAGTGAAACCACGTGCCTTAAAATTGTGATGAAAGATGTCCTTACCATTAAGAACCTGGATTTTATCATACAGCGGCATATTCATATTTATTAATAAATTTAATTCTAGGGAATTCTAAAAAATTATAGTATCAACTAATTAAAATATATTGTAAATATAATTTTTATATTAATTATTATATGAATTAATAATTTTTTAATATGATAAATTATGATTAGATGACAATGTTAAAAAAATTATATTATCAATATATTAACATTAACTTTTTATTTAATAATATGTACAAAATAATTAGCAGACTAATATTTTCATTATTATAAAAATATTATTTTTAATATGGTTAAATTTAGCTTGAGATTAATAAAATTAATATTTTTAATGCTAATTAATAGGATATAAAGCTCATAAAGAAATGAAATGAGGGAAAAACTCTAAACAGCCTCCCTAAGAACGGTCGAGATTAGCCAGAGATCCACGTTCAGCGCATTCTTGGGTCAAACATTTGTTTGAGCACTAATCTGGTTTTAGAAGATAGAGGACCCTTCTCTCCCTCCCTCTCTCTCTCTCTCTGAAACACTGTAAACGATGGTAAAATAATATTTTATTCAAAGAGAACCATGCACGTGGTAAGTGCCCACAAACACTTCATGTGGCGGAACACAAAATGCGCTCAACTATTAACCTCGTTGGATAAGAAAAGTGTTTAAAACTTTTTCTCCATTATATTCCATTTTCATCTGTATCTATAGTTTCTGCTTTAAAGTTATAGATGTGATTGAAAGAAGAGGCAGAAAATATAAATTAAGTGTTAAAACATCATGGCTTGGTTGCATATATAGCGCTGACATCTGTTCAATTCAATAATCCAACCGCACATTAAATTCAAGTGTTTCGTTACTTATTTTAGCTTCCAAATTATTTATGTTACGATGAGTAGAACTAATTTTTAAAAAAATAATGAAATGAAAAAGAATGTTACCAATTTTTTAGAAATTAAATAATAACATATCAACCAACATTACAAACTATAGTTGGCAGATAACACAGTACGCAGTCGATTGAGTATATTGATTAGGATTCAATTCCTAATTATTTGCGTAAAAAAGATTACAATATCTACCTTGATCATTTTAATTAAAGCTTTAAAAAGATGTACAGATTCTAATTAATAAATAATAAAAGAGGTAGCATTGCGATGGCTGGCCATGTGGTTTTATACCAAGCAAGCATTTTAAAAATGGAATGCATCAAAGAGGCTTTTTAAAATACATGTTGAAACAATATAAGAGTACTTTATTACTTTATCTAGGTCAAGGCACTTCTTGCTTTTCGGATGCTAAACTGGGATAAGATAACGAATAACAATGCTCCATTTAATTGACGCTAGTATTTATTCTGTGTAAATTAATACTTATTATCTGCCCAAGGAAAGCTTTGTGTTGTGCGTGTACACCAAAGTTCCAGCAAAGTTGTTACTAAATTTATAAAACAATTGCCGGAGATCTCTGTATGAACCAACAACAAAGATAAAGAAATAGATAGTATTAACAGTGTTGTGACTTGTGAACAAGAATTACCAAAATAATGGTGTAATCACAATACAATCATACTAAAAGTTAAGTTCAGGCAACTCCGAACAGAAAAACTGACTCTGACTTCTAAACATCCAGAAACCCCCCAATAAATTCGAAAATAAATGCCAATTTGAGACGAATTGAACCTCGTTTTTTAACAGAAGAAAAAGGCAATAATTAAGACTAGGCAGCAATCTGAACTGGGTAGCTGTGAATGCAATCTTCCCAGGGACTCTTGGGTGAGGGTTTAACATGTGTGAGGGCCTCCCACACAGCACTGTTACACTTGAACCCACTTCCGAAAGCAATTTGCCACACTCTGTGACCCTTTCTCATCCTTCCTTTGGCCTCAGTGTAAGCCAACTCATACCAAATTGAACTTGAGGAAGTGTTACCAAATCTGTGCAATGTCATTCTGGAGGCCTCTACATGGTGGGGCAGAAGCTGAAGGTTCTTCTCCAGCTCATCGATCACCGCCCTCCCACCAGCATGTATGCAGAAATGATCAAAAGCAAGCTTGAAATCGGGTATATAAGGCTTCACCTTGGCATTGAAAACCTTCTTAACCACCAATGTAACAAAGAAGAGAAGTTGCTCGCTTATGGGCAGCACAAGGGGACCCAACGTGGTGATGTTAGTCTTGAGAGCCCCACCAGCAATTGCCATTAGATCCTTAGACAAAGACACACCCGTTTTCCCATTATCATCTTGCTCCTGATAAACACACCTAAACGCCTTGTCGTCTGCACCTTTATGGGTCCTCACCACATGAACAAGTTTGTACTTGGCGCGTCTTCTATCAGAGCCCTTGTTGGAGAGCAACACTGCAGCCCCACCAACGCGGAACAAGCAATTCGGTATCAGCATGGACTTGTTGTTCCCAAAGTACCAATTTTGGGTTATGTTCTCCGTGCTCACCACAACCGCATAAGTGTTGCTGTGAATCTGAAGCATGTCTTTGGCAAGATCAACGGCTATTACACCCGCACTGCAACCCATGCCTCCCAAATTGAAGCTCTTAATGTTCCCCCTGAGCTTGTACTTGTTCACAATCATGGCTGAAAGGGAAGGCGTGGGGTTGAACAAGCTGCAATTCACGACGAGGATTCCAATGTCCTTGGGATTAACTTTGGTGTTGGCAAAGAGATTGTCCAAAGCGCCGAACATGACCTGCTCTGCTTCTTCTCTTGCAGCCGCCATGGAGGGTCTGGGGGGGATGGAATGCATGGCTTCGGGGACGTAGGTTTCTTCGCCGAGTCCAGAACGGTCTAGAATTTTGCGCTGGAATTCGAGGGAAGAGTCGTTGAAGTCCCCGGTGAGTTTGGAGTGGTCCATGAACTGTTGAAAGCGGACGCGGAGGTGGTGAGGGGGGCGATAGCAGGAGTAATCGAGAAGGAAAACGGATCGGGGTCGGGTCATGATGTAGAGGGTGGATCCGAAGACGATAATGGCGGAGAAAGCGATGACTGTGAGGAGATTGTATTGGAGGTGAAGCCATAGGTGGTGGGTGTTCAATTGAGATGCTTGGATGATTATGATGGTTATGAGAGGGAGAAGACAGAGAGTGAAGAGGTGTGAGATGAGATAGTGGTATCCGAGCTTGACATACTTGAGCTTCACGCTCTGAAGAAAATCAGGTAATCTGTTTCTGTTTCTGTTTCTGTTTCTGTTGATGGGAATGGGAATGGGGTCCGAAGGGGAAGACATGGGACGCGCGCGTGTTGGATTGATTAATCGGAACGAATTGAACTGGGGATTTGGGAATTGGGATCTGAATTATAAGAGGAAGAGGGAGATGGGGTTGATGCAACTGCAAGTGCGAATGGGAGAGAGTGACAGCGCGTGTTGGTGAGGTTTGGCAACGAAGAATGAAAATATAACTATGAATGAGAGAGACGGTCAAAGGTAGAGAAGCGGCGAGCGCAGGCTTCAATGTCACTTCTTTCACCCTCCACTCTTGACTTTCGGATTAATTAGGGATTACCATTCTCTACTCTTTAACGATAAATGGAATAATTTTATTTTTAAATAAGTACTTATTATATATAACTATAAAAATACTTTTCTATAGGAAAAATCTACTGTGGGCAGTATGGTAATTTCAAATGGGAATAATGACAGTAGCAGACAGGAGACGGCAGCAATCATGAATTTATGATAGATAATGTTAAACTTTTGACCAATTAATTTGAATTCATCACATTCACACGTGAATCTGCCACTGCCCCTCCGTTCATTGCCATTTGTTGGGCCCCGCCCGCCAATTTCATCTCCCCACACACTATTATCATATTTTTCACTTTTTAATTTATAAATTTAACTGATTCCGATTAAAATTATAAGAGATATTCTCTCCAGTCTTTTTTTAAAAAAATGAAAAATTAAATCACTAAAATTAAAAAATTCATTAAATATATTATATTTTTTTTATAAATATAAATTTTATTCTAAAAATATTCATAATATTAAATAATATAGTTAGTAATTTATATATTTAATAATATTAATAAAAAAGAATATAATAAAATTTAATAATTAATACATCTTAAATTTATTATTTATTTTTTATAATAAAAATATAAAAACTATTTACTTTTATTTCTTATAAAAAAGAAATTACCATCTTTCATTTTCTTTGCCGGCTCCCGCCAGCTAGTTGTTTAGATCATAATGTCTACAGGCATTGTCACAGTTTTAGGTACAAAAAATCCCATTGAAAATCCTAATAGCCTCGAGAATAGAATATCGTAACCGGTAAACAAGTTTTAGATTTTCATTTATTTTTCCATGCTCGATGTTTATCGTGAAAATCACTCCCTTGAGTTGTTCAATGGATTCACTTTATTATTTCCTATTGTTAATTGTCTGTCCCTTACCAAGAAATCAGTGCACATTGATTCCTTCATATTATTAAGCATCTAGGTTTATAATTTATAATTCATGATTGTTAACTTAATCATCTAGTGCGTAAATCGCCTAAAACGAGACTGTTTTATGTTAACTTTCTTAAAAGGGGAAATTTTCAATTTATGATAGTTTTTAGATTTCATTTTTTTAAATTTACAAATCTCATAAGAAATTGATTAGACATTTTTATGGCGTGACCGGTGTATCCAGAATTTAATTTATTTGAGAGACTAAAATCGCTAAAGCAGATTTTTTATTTTTCAAGAAAATATCTAAACACACAATAAAAAATCAAACTTTGCTCAACATATTTAAAAATTAAAGTTATGTACTAATTAGGCAGGTCAAATTTTATTAGTATCGTCAAATTTCTAAACACAATTCCTACCTTTACGGAAATGATTTGACATAATTTTTCAGGCACAGCTGATTGGTGTTTTTTATTTTTTGATATTTGAAGTCATATATAAAGAAAATTGCATAAAAAAAAGAGAATATAGTTGTAAATTATTTTTAAAATGGTAGAAAAAACTTGTCTCTGGGTGTGTAGGCATGTGTAATCGTAATATTTGGTTGGTGAATTGAAGGATTGAACCCCAATTCTATGAATGACTACGCTCTTCAAAATTTTGTCATGAGATCTCCGTTCTGCCTGGGAACGAGATTCGCCCGTATTTGAGTTGGGTATTATATTTTTTAAATGATAAACAATAAAAAAAATATTTTTTTTCATTTTCATAAAGCTTATAAATGTTTAAAAGAAAACATTAATTAATAATAATAAACTATTGATTATATTGAATAAATTTAAAATAAATTATCAAATATTTTCATTTTTAAATTAATATATAAATGTATAATGTATAAAATTACTTAACATGAAAATTCAAAAATATAAACCTTAAAATTGGTCTTTTTACAATACTCTTTAAAATGTTTATATTTAAAATATTCATAAAAAATACTGTTATTTAAGAATTAATATTGAAAAATTAAATGGGTTAGAAATTTAGAAGATTATATACATTAAATATTTATGATTAATAAAATTTATTTTTATTGTTATATTTTATGGGTGTTTAAATGTTTATATTTATTAGTTAAAAAACAATTTTATGATTTAATTGAAAAATCTACTTAATAAAATATTTAATTAAAGTCAAATTAAACTTCAAATCCAAAATAGTAATTATTTATACAATATAAAATACATTAAGTGTTTGATTTTTTAAAATTTTATTCTTTTTTAATATTCTAAAATCGTTTTACTTGTTAATTTGCCCTTTTAATTCAATAATTTTTTTAATCTTTATATAAATTTTACTAGTTCATATGATGATTTGTGTGTGATGTTCATATAACTTTATAGTGAGATAATATTTGTTCAAGTGTTTAAAATGAAAAAAAAAAAAAAAACGAGCGACTGATCAGAAGCGAAAAAAAAGTTGAATTAGTGATAGTTTGAGGATTTTAGTATGTAAGAAGTGTACATTAAGACAATTTTTTTTAAAACTATTGCATTTGAAGAAATAAAATTTAAAAAAACTAAAATTAAATTTTGTAAACATATTCAACACTAAAATTTAAAAAAAATTAATTGAACATCTTTATATGCCTATCCGAGTTGACAAAATTAATTTTGGCGATCTGTGTCTGAAAGTCTCCTGTTTGAAATATTCTAAAAAAATTGCATTTCAGAAAATGGAGATAATATCTCATCTCCTGTCCGGCTTGATTGATTTTAAGATTACGTATTTCCCTGGCACGGCGAATCCCATTTCAGTTGTTAACTAGAAAATGATTGATTGAATGGACATTTTAAATTTAAGAGAAAAGAATAAGAAAACATGAATGAGTAGGATCATAATTTCTGACTACGGTTTGTTGGATTGTTTATAAACAACCAGTACACAAATTCAGAGGTCAAAAACGAGAACCATAGCAACACGAAACCATAACAGAAGCTCAAACCATAAAGGATATTTCAAAACCTAACAAACATCACTAAGGCATAATCAACGGATACAACACAACCTTCCCCTTCTCATCCGCTAAAAACCTATATTAACGCAACTTTTAATTCCTCCAGCTACCATCAGAAGCACCACCTCCTCTTGAGTAGCGGGCCCCACCATCTCCGTACCCACGGTCTCTTCCACCGCCATAACCACCTCCTCCATATCCTCCGCCGCCGCCGCCTCCATAGCCTCCACCACCGTTGCGGCTGTAGCCACCTTCACGACGGCCACCGCCTCCATATCCACCTCCTCCACCACGGCTGTACCCTCCGCCGCCGTATCCTCCACCACCGCCACCGCTTCCATAACCGCCGCCGCCACCTCCGCCCCTTCCACGGGACTGAGCCTCGTTCACAGTGATATTACGGCCGTCAAGGTTCTGACCGTTCATGCCTTCGATGGCGTCCTTCATGGCCTGCTCCGTAGCGAAGGTCACAAATCCAAATCCTCTCGACCTTCCAGTCTCACGATCGTTGATGACCTGAAAACACGAAAAAAGCATCGATTCGCATCAGATCGGGCTAATTTTCGCATAAAAGTGAGAAATTACAAAAAAAAAACAGATTAGAACCGATCGATCTTCGCCTTTGAATCAAAGATGAAGATGAACGTACCGATTGGTGTGAGTAATAAAAGAATCATTATAGTAACACAAGTATCATAGATCAAGTAACGCAAAACAGATCAGAGAGCACAGATCAGATGGGATCGAGAAAATCCAAATCCGAATCGTGTCAGATCCGATCCCTGCAACAAACGGACCTTCGATTCGACGATCTCGCCAAAGGAAGAGAAGGCTTTCTCGAGAGCATCGTTGTCGGTGGCCCAGGCTAACCCACCAACAAAGCATCGGAACTCAATTTCTGCAGAAGCCATCAGAAACCCTAGAATTGAAAGAGGGACAAAAAGGGAATAAAGGGAAAAGAAAAGGAGGATTATCGAGAATCCACCTTGAAGAGAGAGCACGAAGAAAAACGGCTACCCCTAATGGCATCTTATATAGCTGAGGATGTCTTCTCTTAACTAGGGTTAACCCAACCGTTCCACCCTCTTATTCCTTCCCTCATTCAAACCACGGTTAATCTTCGTACCTGCCTCCGCGTGTTTCCTTCTTCTTTTCTTTTTTTTTGGTAAACCAAAACTATTTATTTTAGTCGCTCATTTTTCTATTTTTAAATTAAAACAGAACAGTTTTAATCTATATGTTGAATATTCTTATTTTTTTAAAATTGGAAAGGAAGCATTCAAAAACATTAACTTGTTAGCATTTTCAAAGTTAAAGAATTAAATATAAAAATATATTTTCTAGATAAAATAAATGAAATGAATAAAACATAATTTCTTAGATGTGAATAATGTAAAAAAATAAAATAAAAAAGAAAGTGTAAGTTGGTGTGTTCGTGAGGGTGGGGCACATAAATATATAAATTCTATGAAGTTTTCGAAATTTTTCTAGGGGTGTAAAGTATATATGTTTAAATTTTAAAATATAAAATTTTGTGATATAATAAAAAGATCGAAAATATTTTACTTAATTTTAAGGGGATTTTTTTATATTTTGTAGTATATATATTACGTACGATGTTAATTTTTAAACATTTGAAATTATATCGATTGAGTCGACAGAAAAGGAAGAACCGATATTTTAGTGGCTTCTTAAATATCTAGAGTTTATATAAAAATATCTTATGGGTAAAAGTACACTTGTGTCCCTGCCCTTGCCCAGAAACAATCTCTTCTCAATCATCGTGAATTTTAGGCACCTTCTTTGATGGTTAGGCTGAGTATGACAAGTTTTGTTTTGTTAATCAGCATTTAACATGACGAGATCATTTTATTTTAACGGTTGATTTTATTTCTCTTTTTTTCAGTTTAAATTTTATCTTAAGAGAAGTACAAGACTAACCGAGAACAAATATTTAAGTTTTTTTTAAAGTATTTCTACCGCAAATTAATTAAATATGAAAATTTCATTAAAAATTATGTTGAACTGAATTAAAATATTATTATTATTACTACTACTTAGTTGTTAACTTGAAGTTGAAATAGTAAATTTTTTTAAAAATATATGTATATTAAAATAATATTTATTGTCACTTTTAAATATTTATTATTTTTTAAATATTTTTTATGTCCATAACAATAAATCAGAGTACTTTATATAAAATAATTAAAGCAACAATAAACGTTTTTATATCTAAAAAGAAAAAATTATTAAATATTTCAAAATTTTAATAAAAATATTATCATTTACTAAAATATAATTTTTAAATAAAAAATAAAAATAGTATTATCATCCTTACTAATAAATTATTATTAGTGTTGCTTTCGTCTAAATAAATATTGTTTATTGTCATCGCTCTTAAAACAACCAAATTTTGTATAAAAGTAGTATCGTCATTTGTAAACATTTTATATTATCATCTACTTGGTTATTTGACGTGCATAAAATACATAGCTTACTTGTATTTATTTATTTATATTCTCATCATCTTTCGTTGTCTTATCCAACTTTAGTTTTATGCTTGTGAAAAAGAAAATAATTAAAAGAATATATACGTAAGGAACAAGATAAAATAGATTTTATATTATTCGATATAATGGGAAAAAATATTGCTTTATATATCAAAAGAAATTAATATTGCCTTAAAAATTCATTGTATTTTTTTAATTTGATATTCTTTTCAACCTCACCATTCTTGTCAAAACGAGGAGAAAGAATACTGACATCTCCTTATTCTATTCCCATCGTGAATCTTAGTATTAAGAATATATTTTTCCGGAAATTGTAGTATTATCTTATAAAAAGCAAATCATTTTTTATTCGTTTACTTATATTTTTTATATTATTTAATTAATATGCATTTAATGTATCACATAAACATTTATAAATATATATTTAATTTATATACACCAACCATTGTTACTTAATTTAACTGATATAAAAATTACATCCGGGATAAATTCTCATTTGTTGAGAGTGCAGATATTTTAATATCAACAGTATATTAAAATCAAACTCCTGTATTTTTAATATTTAACTTAACTAATAAAGATTTTTTTGAAAATATAAAGATGATATATTGTGTCCTTAATATTATTTAAAAAGAAGTTAATTATACTTTTAAAAATAAATTTTAATTAATTTTGTGAAAAATTGTTATTTTTTCTTCCAAATATCAGTTTGAATTTTATGTATTATTTTTTAACGATATTTGAATTATTTGAAATTAATTATGTACAATGCGTGTATGTATATGCCTTTAATATTTTTTACTGACACCTTCAGACCCTGTTTTTCATGAAACAGGTGAAAAGGACTTTATTCAATTAGTACATAATAAAGAACTTGGAAGAAAGACAAAATATAAATAAGGGTCACAAAATTATAGTATTGGGCTTTATGTCATTAAAATGAGGGATTGAGTTTTTCTTTTAATATTTTCCAATGACACCCTTGTTCTTGTTTCTTAAATCAGTGAGTTAGCATTCTTTTTTTCCTTTTTTGTTCACTTAGTTAAAGATAATGATTACTCGTGTTAATTGGCTACCAGTTTTGGTTTTTTTTTTTTAATCAAATGAGTTTAATCTTTCAGTTAAATAGGATTTTTACAGAGTATTAACGTAATTTATGTAGTACATAGATCTAAGTTAGAACATATTAAATATGAATCTATCTGTATGCTTCTTGACAGGCTATTTTTATTTTAATAGAGAAGACCATTGACTTCAGTAATTTCACGATATCCTACCAATTCATTTAATGCACTTCGAATGACTTCAAATCTAAGCAATTCTATGATTGAAAAACAAAAAACACAATTGTAAGAAGTTAATATTATTCACTTAAAATTCTCACGTGCTTAAGTTGATTATTGCTTGTAATCATGTTCACGCAACGCTTATTCTATCATATTATTTTATTTTATTTTACTTGTTATTTTCAATTCTATTTTATTTTTTAAAGTGAAAATTTTAAATTAAGAGAAAGTTCACCCCTACATAAGTATAAGAACAGAGAAGACCACTGCCTTCAGCAAAACAAATATTACAATTACATATGGCAATAATCCTAAAGTCGTTATAGATCATTATTCATAGGAATAGAAGAATGACTTGTAACAAAATCGTTATGTATCAATTTCTTTTTTTTCAAGTCAAACCTTTTTTCAGTGTTGATTTTTGGTCTTTTTTTTCCTTCTTTCCGTTAAACTGGGCTCACGGCTGAGCAGAGATGTCTCGCTATTAGAAGAAATATATTAGGGCTGAGCGAAGTTAGTAATTGTGATCCACCAATATATTTGGGCTTCATGTCTGAACATTGCATGCGGGCCTAGCCTGTAAACTGCGAAATAATTTTGGGGTTTTTATTAGGTATTAAGTGATCATAGCCTATATTTAAGAGTTAAAAATAATAAAAAAGTAATTTAAATATATCAACGCTGTCGTTTTTTTTAATATTTTCACTCAATAACATGAGTTTTTTTAATTAATGTTTTAAATATAATAGTTTAAAAGATGAAAGTAAAAAAATCATTAGTTTTGTCAATATTATATTATAGGATTGCGTCTAAGCATTTTGAAAATATATCGAAAAAATAATGTTTATTATGCTTTTATATTACTAATATAAAAAATACAGTTTTCAGCAAAATTTGTCACTTTTAATCACTTAAACTCAACCTTTAAAACCGGTGTTAGTATTTTTTATTCTACAAACACTTGTTAAGATCTCTCACATTGATATATTCATGATATTTATTTAAATACAGAAAAAATAAATAAAAATGTATCTTAAGGCTTGCAAGCCTGTTTGGGTTTCAACCAAGATGAAGATTACACAACTTCTGATGCATAAAAATTTCAATAACATTTATTGGACGCGAAAAGAAAAAAGAAAATAGTTATCCCTCCAATCCAGTTTCCAAATGCAGAAACAAACAAGGCCTTTATCACATTAAAAGATAATTAATAATCAACTGTTGAACTGGACATGTGTGTTTGTGTGTACAAGTCAAAGTTATAGGCTTTGGAACAGAGTTGTTACAACAAGCAATGTATTTGACTACAAATTCATAATTAGTTAGCTGCCCACATTGGTAACGTACTATTTATTGTATTAAAGTTCAACTTCAACGTTCAATGAATAGCGGCGCGTCATTGTTAAGTTCCGTCCATCTCAACCAAAGTCCAAAATCTCTCCCTCTTTTTTAAATAAAACATAATATTAATATCAACTCTTAAAACTCAATTTAACGAATTAATAATCATAATTTTTTATTAAAAATATATATCTATTATATATTTAATCTAGTAAATATATTTGTATTAAAAAAATATTGTTTTTAAACACTTAAAGTTGAATTTAAAAATTGATATTAATAAAATTTGTAAAATAAATATTAACTTTAGCTTCTTAAACAATTAGTGCTGATTATTTTAATGTTTATAAATTAATTCCATGAAGTGATATTTATTTTAACTTTTTATACATAAATTAAAATAAAAAATAAAGGAAAATAACTAAAATAATTTTTTTAATTAAGAATGAGAGCAAAAATTTTTATAAAGCTAAAAGTTAAAGTAATTAGAGCTTATAATTTGAAAGACTAAAAAAAAAATTTTTTCTTGTAGCGTGTATCCATACAATCATAGTGTTACATGTACTTTTTTTTCCAACTTCAAATTAATATATATGAGTACATTCTCATGTTTTTTTTTTTTTTACATATATATATATATATATATATATATTAATATTAAAAATTTGTCATATAATTTATAAGAAATGTTAATTTTGGTTGTTTAAATAGAGTTTGAGCAATTAAACTTAGTATCATATCAAAATATATTTCAAAATAGAAAATATTTAAATAAAAAATATGGATAATTTATAACAAATATTATTTATAAAATTGAAAAAATATGGATAATTTATAACAAATAGTATTTATAAAATT